ATACTTGTGCGAAAGATTAGACAATAGAGGACAGGTAGATGTGGTGTACACCGATTTCTCCAAGGCCTTCGATAGGGTCAGCCACAGTATTTTGCTCCGAAAGCTTGAGTACCTGGGCTTCAACAACATTTACTTAGCGCTCTTAACATCATATCTGTTTGAAAGGAAACAGTATGTTTTTTATAATGGCTACATATCACATGTTTATGTCTCAACCAGTGGCGTACCACAGGGTTCGAATTTAGGACCACTGTTGTTCATATTGTTTGTGAATGATCTGTGTGAATCTTTGGCTTGTTCTAAGTTAATGTTTGCAGACGACCTAAAATTTTATTCATCCGTTTCGTGCTTGGAAGACTGTGCATTTGTTCAAGGTCAAATAAATAAATTGCAAAGCTGGTATGCTAAGAATCAACTTCATCTTAATATAAGTAAGTGTAAAGTAGTAACTTTTTCAAGGAAAACCAACCCAATGGTATATAATTATACAATGATCCAACATGTTCTTGAGCGCAGTGAAACTGTGAAAGACTTAGGTATCTACTTTGATCAACATCTAACCTTTAATGAGCATATCAATCAAATCATATCAAGTGCTTACCGAACCTATGGCTTCGTTATCAGGAATTGTAAATCTTTTGACGTTTTGACTTTGCAGACATTATACTTTAGCTTGGTTAGGTCTAAGCTTGAATATGGATCTTTAATATGGAGTCCGATTTACAAGCAGTACATTGATGTTGTTGATAAACTTCAAAAGAAATTTTTAAAATTTTTATGTTTTAAGATCGATGGCATATATCCTACTAGAGGTACAGAATACAACATCCTTCTTCATAAATTTGGCATTCAATCCTTAGAACAACGGCGTCAGCAATCAGCAGTTATAGTTTTATATAAATTACTGCATAATCTAATAGACTGCCCTACAATACTTTCACAAATACAGTTTCTGGTACCACGACTAACATCAAGGTATAATGTTCCTTTTTTATGTCAAAGAGCTCAAACAAAGTTATTGTCGAAAGCGCCTGTCAACATGATGTGTGTGAATGCGAATAAAATAGCCGATGTATGTGACATATTCTTATATAGCATAGGTGAATTGAAGTGCAAATTGCGTGCTCACTTTTGATTTATCTTACGTTTCTTATTTTTAAGCTGTAACTATATTTATTTTTTGTTATTGATACATGAATTATTATTGTTTTTTTTTCTTAACAAGCGACCTCATGGTGATTTCTTTTTTATAGTAGTTTGTTCTGTAAATGGTGTTAAACTGTTGGGCAATAAACGCTTATTATTAAGGGAACACATGCTGAGGGATGTGCAACGGTAATTTATCGGAAGACTAAGGCTGCGTATTCAACATGGTGGACATATTTTCGAACAGTTTTTGTAGATTAGGTCTTGAGTAGTGATAGTTGTTTGTTTATGTTGTTGTTATAGTTGTCTTTCTCTATTTCGCTTGAAGCTGAATACTGTTCCGATTGTTATTAGTTTTTACATCAAATCTGTACTCTTAGTGGCAATATGGAACTAGCCCACTGTTTGTCTTTTGTTTCCATGGATGATGTGATTTTTTCCTTAATTTTGGTGCGTGGTTCTATTAAAAGGTTAATAACTCAAAATCTAGTGATTTTATCTGAATCAAACCTTATACAAAAAAAAGCCGTCCACACATGGATGGGCCACCCTGTATATGTATTAACAAAAATTGAACAAAGAACAGGAAAATTGTAACGTAGCGCTCTGTAAGTACAATCTAACTTCTTTACAGAAACAAGACAGATATATTAATTATATTAATATTATTACAGACTAGCTCACTATAGGAAAATTAACGTTGATGGGGTTTCTAACATTCAATGTATATCTAAGGGTTTTGATGTGTATTTCACTAGCAAAAATCAGTTTGTCTCTTAGATACTTGGGCCTTCAAGTTGCGAGCAGTTTATAGAGGACGACCGAATAATGAAAATTAGTCAAATACACGAGCTTCATCCACCCAAGCGTGTTGTTAGCATGGCTAAAATGGTCATATTTTTCTTAAACCACACGTGAATCTGTTTTGAATCACTTGTAAATGCCTTTTAGTGAGCGGATCTAAGCTAGGCTGGTAAAGAATTGTAGTGATAATTTAGGGAACAAGGGATCCAGCCAGCTTTTTTCGCAATGCATATGGCAGAACACGTATATTTGCTTATAAAACACGTAATTTTCAATAGGATGTTTGTAATATGCTAGACTTTTGAATCTTAGGTATTCTCTTTGGTAATAGGCAGGGAAGTATTGGAATGGTAATTGTTCAATTTGACCTCTACTCACTCTACTTGATTCAGTATTATAGTCACAAAAAAATTATATTTGTGATTACAATGTCTTAATATTTCTTGGTATATATACATAACGAGAAACTATGTCTCAACTCATTTCCGTCGGTTTGTCTTTCTGTCGGTCTGTCCGTTTGGACCGCCTATAACTCAGAAAGTACTTCTCAGATTTGGATTAAATTTTGACACAAAGCTACTACTATGCCAAGGACCAAAAATTTTTGTATTTCTTGAAAATCTGTCCAGTGGCGACGGAGCTAGGGGCAAAAATACGAAAAATAAAAATTGCTCAAACGTCGCTTTTTAACGTTTGTTGGTAATTTTCAAAAAGATTCTTTTGGGGTTTAAAATCGGGGGTTGGGGGTTGTAGTGAGTGGAGGAAGGTATATTTCATTTTTTCGGCGACAGTATATTTATACGCTTCCAACCCCAGTAACTTTATGTATGGTATATCTGAAGTCACTTGAAATAGCATAAAAACCTTTGGTCGGCGCGTCCTTTGTAATTTCATGACGTATCACAGGCGTGCGGTGATTTATTTAGAACGATAATAATAATGTTTTTATATCACAATAAATGGATTTTACTATCTTCTTATTTTTTTGATTTGGGATAAAAAATACTTATATTTGGAGTTTAATTTATGTTGATTGAAAGTTAAGAAATGGAAAAATTACAGAATTCCAACGTTTGACATAGGCAAATATTTACATAGCAGGTAGGTATATAAAAAGGTATATAAAGACTTACATTATAGGTATTTATATATCATTCTCGCCTTCGGAGCTGTCGCTAGAGTCATCTTGTAGAGGAATTACAACGGGATTTACAGGAGGCAAAACACAATATTCATTTTCTTTTCCAGTAATATGCCTAGAACACTGCTTCCATAGGTCTGTGGCAGCAATATGAGATACTGCTTCTCTTATTGTGGCCAATAGCGATTCACTTAATTGAGGGATCTGATTATGTTTTCTTACTTTTTTTTTAAAGCAGCCCAGACCAACTCAATCGGGTTAAAAATGCAGTAATAGGGAGGTAGACGTAATACTTCATGGCCATTTTGCTGAAGCAGATTGTCAACAACATACTCTTTTTAAAATTTTGGTCTTTTAATAAGATCCAATACTAGGCTTTGGTTGATTTTTGTGGTATTTCCATTCCCTTATCCTTCATAAAATCAATAATGTCTTGTTTTTTTGTGCCTGTATTCGGAATTTTGTTTTTCTGTCGGGAATGGTATGGCGCATTGTCCATAATAATCACTGAATTTGGGGAAATGTTTGGTATTAACTGCTGCTCTATCCACTTTTCAAATAAGTCGGAGGTCATGTCCTCATGATAGTCGGCACATGATTCTTTGATATTTTTGGCAGATAACAGCAAGGCATTAGGTATAAATCCATTTTCACTGCCAGCATGGACAATAATGATTCGTTTTCCACGGTTGCATGGTGCATTTAAAATGCACTTGTTGCTGTCGTCAACCCAGCCGTACTGCACAACATCATGGGTATCATACCACGTTTCATCCAGGTAAATCAGATTTCTTTTCTGCTCTCTATAGATTTTAACTTTGTGCAAAAATTCTTGGCGCAATTCAACGATTCGAGACGACTCCATAATCACCATTCTTTTATCTAATTTTTTGTATTGAAAACCACACAGTTTTACAATACAGTGCAGTGAGTCTAAGCATTTGTAATTATAAAAATCTTCAGGATAATCTTTTAATTTATCCCGTATCATTTCCAACGTGGGCACCAAATTTTCTTTATAAAATCCGTATATTATACGACGAATATCTTCCTGAAAACCCACGTCTGTTCTTTTTAATTTTTGCCCTATGCGCTTTCTGTGGAAGGAATGGTTGACTACATCTCCCCTTTTTATAACCCGATAAATGGTAGACCGACTGATTTTTGTCAGGATACAAATTCTGTTTAAAATTTGATTTTGCGAGGAATCTGGATTTTCGTTTTTCAAACAATCATATATATTTAGGATTACTCTTTGGGTCTGTTCCTCTAAATCTTTATGAAAGAATTCTGCCTGCACAGGTTCATCAACCATCTCCTCGTGGCTTGGAGCATTTTCCCAAGGTCTCCAAAGAGCCATATTTAGGACACACAAGAACAATCAACACAACAATTAAATCAACAAGTAAACTGAGTATTTAAAAGTCAAAAACACACAAACTAATAAAATCTATGAAAAAACACGGACAGACTAAAGAAAACACGTTTATTCACCGCTACACGGCACTGGCTAAACTGTTTCAATTTTCAGTAGCCACCTGCACTTTTTCGGAGCTCTGAAATACACGCTTTCTCATTGGCTATGTCCACGCATAGGCGTGTTTTACTCCACGTGGACCGGTGAAACTGCCTTTGATCTTATACAGGGGATATTTGCTGCGAAATTTGGCGATTTTTGCAGCAACAGAGCGTGTTAAATATAGATATATAAAACGCACCCGGTATTTCACAGTGTTTCAAGTGACTTCAGATAAACTATACCTATCAGTACATCAAATATTTCCCAATACATTTTGTAGCTAGCTCAAAGGGACCAGCTTGGGCCGAACATAATCCTTCATCAACTGATGACAGCGTTGCGTGGGAAGTTCAGTCGTTTTTGTTTTTTAATAGAGATGTTTTGTTGCAGGAGGATCTGCCGAGAATAGAACGTGTAACGCAGATGAATTTAGGTGTACAAGTGGGAAATGTATTCCACAACGCTGGCAGTGTGATAATGAAAAAGACTGCAGCGATGGAAGTGATGAAGATCCACAGTCATGTCGTAAGTACCTAACGTAAAACGAAACGGTAGTTCAGTACCCAGTGACTAACGTTTTCTGAAAGTGTATTTCTTTTGGGGAGAGAGCACTGATGCAGCCACCTCACCCCCTCCCCCTTCAGGGTTAAGTTATTTAATTTCCAACGCTCTTCATCATGGCAATGAATTTGAGGATCTATATTTATCCAAATCTTTATCGGAACTCTTATTTTACTTTTGGATTTGGAAATAACGTATCTCAGTCCACGAAATATCCTACCGGGAAAAGTTTTGATTACTACCTGCAAATCGTGAATCAAAGGACAACTGCTTAGATAAAGGGTCCAAAAAAAAATGGATGATGAACGAGGTTAAAACTTTTTGCGTAAGATTGGCGAAACATGAAAAAGGCATTAAGTACATCGACAGTAGAAGATAAAAAGTTCGATAGAAGTTACCAAAAAATCGGATTATTCAATTCTAAGCCGCAGAATATGAAGAAACACGGGTACAGGGGCGTATTAAGGGGGGGCTTTAGGGTGCAAGCCAAACAATACGAGATGTTTGAGAGTAATGAGATTGGTTTTTAATTTTTTTTATTCAAACATAATTACAATAAATTTTATATTGTCACCCTCAAAATAACTTCCTTCTGAAGCCATTCAACGCTGGAAACAGTTTTTCCACTTCTCATTCTTGAGGTGATTTTTCAACTTCGAGAAGAGAGAAAAGTCACAAGGACTCAAGTCAGGCGAATGAGCAGGCTGAGAAGCCACAGGAATGTTTTTACTGGCCAAAAAATTGTTTATTGACATTGCTGTGTGACAATGAGCATTATTGTGATTTAACATCCAGTTTTTCTTGATATTTGGTCTTACACAAATCACCTTTTTTCGAAGTTTATCCAGAAACTTCTGCTAAAACTGTTGATTGACTGTTTGGCCTTGAGGTAGAAACTGTGGACGATTCCATGGATATCGAAAAAACAAATTTGCTGCATTTGATCTTCGACTTTGTCTTTATTGCTTTTTTGGGCCTTTGAGAGGTTGGAGTGTGCCACTACATGCTCTCGCGCTTGGTTTCTGGGTCGTACTCGAACACTCAAGACTCGTCACCAGTAATGACACGCACAAGACTCTGTCGATATTTTCATCGGTTCTTGCGGATGAAGACCTTCCGCTTCGTGGTTCATTTTCAACCGACTCTTCCCCTTCTGAAAATGCCCTAAACCACCGAAAAACCTAGGCTCTTGACAAGACTGTCTCCGTAGGCCTGCTGAAGAGTATTTTTAGAACACAATAGAAAAAACTATTTCACAAAAAAAAAAAATGCTACGGACAACCAATGACGAGCGACTACTGAAGACGAATCACATGTTCCCTTGTCTCACCTCCAAGCCCTGCGACTCCAGTGTTGCCAGATCGAACGCTACGTCGCCAGTCTCATTACTTCATTTTCAGACCTCGTATTTGAATCTTGCCCAGAAAGAATGAATCGCAGTCGTATTAAATTATTTAAAAGAATCACCTGAAAGCCATATTTGCCTGTTGTTTGAAGTTTGTAGACAAGGTGGATAAACTCTTTACTTTTTCCTAAAAGGGTTCAACTTGTGCCAAACATGAACGTTGGAAGTGCCAACCTATTTGACACCAGTTTTCTTACATGTACTCGCTTTGGAGGTACCAACCAAACAGTTTTCTAATAAGATATCTCATGGGCACTGGACTCATCTTGGACTAGAATCAATAAATTGAGTATATTTATTTGTTTGTTCCAGAAAAGAAAACGTGTAGTCTAGATGAATTCACGTGTAGATCCAAGGAAGGTGAATGCGTTCCACTTACTTGGATGTGCGATGATAACCAAGATTGCTCAGATGGTTCCGATGAAAAATCATGTAGTAAGTTTCAATATTGATATTGTGTAGTATATTACTAACGGGTGATTTTTTAAGAGGCATAGGATTTGATTTTAAAAAAAATCACAAAAGATTTTAAAAAACGATTAAATCTTTATTTGAGTCGATAGAACGGTCGATATAATTTAACGTTTAAAGATTATTTCATGTAAATGTTGGCCGCGGCTCCGCTTTAGATGGCCCATGCGCAAGGTCCAATTTTGGCACACTCTCTCCAACATATCGGCCGGTATCTCACGAATAAATGCTTCAATATTGGCTTCCAGTGCGTCAATCGTTGCTGGTTTATCCCTGTAGACATTAGCCTTAACATGGCCCCACAAGAAATAGTCCAACGACGTTAAATCACACGATCTAGGCGGCCAATTGACGGGCCCCAAACGTGAGATAAACTGTTCACCGAACACGCATCTCAATAGGGCCATTGTTTGGTGTGCGGCGTGGCATGTGGCACCGTCTTGTTGAAACCACATGTCAGCCAAGTCCAGCTCCTCCATTTTGGGCAAAAAAAAGTTTGTTATCATCGCACGGTAGCGCTCGCCATTCACAGTTACGTTCCGGCCATTGTCGTCTTTGAAGAAGTACGGCCCGATGATACCACCGGCCCATAATCCACACCAAACAGTGATTTTTTCGGGATGCATCGGTAGCTCTTGCAATGCTTCTGGCTGGTCTTCACTCCAGATGCGGCAATTTTGCTTGTTAACGTACCCATTCAAATAGAAATGAGCTTCGTCGCTGAACACAATTTTTCGATAAAAATGTGGATCTTCCTCCAACTTTGCCAGCGCCGATTCACCAAATTGGAAACGTTGTGGGAGGTAGTGTGGTTTCAATTCTTGCACCAGCTGTATCTTATAAGGTTTTACACCCAAATCCTGTCGCAAAATTTTCCACGTAGTGGAGTAACAGAGGCTCAATTGCTGCGAACGGCGGCGAATCGACATTTCACGGTCATTACTAACACTGGCGGATACAGCAGCAATATTTTCTTCAGTCCTCACTCTACGTCTGCGTGTTGGTGGTTTAATGTCCAATAATGTAAACTCGGTTCGAAATTTAGTCACAAGCTTCCGAATAGCTCCCTCAGTAGGCCGACCAAATTGCCCATAAATTGGAAGCAGTGCTCGATGCACTCTCTTAACCGAGCATGAATTTTGATAGTAAAATTCAATAATTTGCAAGCGTTGTTCGTTCGTAAGTCGATTCATGGTTAAATTATAGACCAAACTGAACAAGATTGACAATGACACAAGACACGATTCACGCGTCATCTGTCAAAAACAGTGTTGCCAAAAAGATACTAGCAAGAAAATTATTATATTATAAAAAATTTGTACCTAAATTATTAGATAAATACATTAATACCTACGATTTTACAGTGTTTAAAACGTATTCGTTATACTATTCTATCTTACTAGGATTAGCATGTAATGCATATGCCAAAAAAAAGCAGTTAACATGCACTTGAACAAACGAATCTGAAATCCGATTCCTCGAGTATCCATGACGTTATGACGTCGACTGAGGTGAATAGCTGATCAGCAAGTGACATATTTGTATTATACTGCACGTTGGCAATAAATAAATAAACATCAATAAACTATTATTATTATTTTACTAGTTAATCAGCTGTTATTCTACCGTATTGAATACTCCTGAAAAAGTCAGTAGCCGAGGAGTTTGGGTCCATCAGTGGTTTGTATTAAAGGAAATTTTCAAACCTAAATTAATGTGTATTCAAATCTCAAGCGAAAGGATACGCCGATCTAGTACTATTTATTTTGAAGCTGACTAAATGAGTTTTTTATATGGCATATAATAACAACATTATAAATATTTGCTGACTCTAAAATGTTTTTTTAGATGAGACGTGTAGGTCGGACGAATTTACGTGTAAAAATGGCAAATGCATTCAACTCAGGTGGGTGTGTGATTCCGATAACGACTGCGTTGATAACTCAGATGAAGAGAATTGTCCTGTCAACGATTGCCCGCCTGAGTTCCAATGCAAGGATAAATTCTGCTTTCCAAAGAAGTGGAGGTGCGACGGAGAGTATGATTGTAGCGATGGGAAAGATGAACAGGTACGCGAATTTATTATTTAATTTTTAGGTAAACATTTCACGAATTACTCTGTCTAAATCTTATCAATATACTGCATGGGCACCGATATTTTGTCGTTTTGCCGTTCTGTTTGACAATCATAAACAACGTCGGAAGCACTGAGTTAATCTGCTTGACTCTATGTTTCGTGTGTTCTGCATGGGCATCGATATTTGGTCGAATAAAAAGTAATATGGCCGTACTGTATGACAATCGTAAATACGTCGGAATCACCGAGTTAATCTACTTGACACCATGTTTTATGTTTTCTGCATGGGCTCCAATATTTTGTCGTACAAAAAGTAGTATAGCCGTTCTCTATGACAATTGTAAATACGTTGGAAACACTGAGTTAATCGACTTGCCTCCATGTTTCATATTTTGTGCATGGGCACCGGTATTTTGTTGTTCAAAAAGTAGTATTGCCGTTCTGTATGACAATCGTAGATACGTCGGAAGCACTGAGTCAATCTACTTGACTCCATGTTTCATGTGTTCTGCATGGGCATCGATATTTTGTCGCACTAAAAGTAATATTACCTTACTCTATGACAATCGTAGATACGTCGGAAGCACTGAGTCAATCTACATGACTCCGTGTTTCATGTGTTTTGCATGGGCATCGATATTTTGTCAAAAAAAAGTAATATTAACGTACTGTATGACAATCGTAAATACGTAGGATGCACTGAGTTAATCTACTTGACTCCATGTTTCATGTGTTCTGCATGATTATCGATATTTGTCGAACAAAAATTAATATTGCCGTACTGTATGACAATCGTAAATACGTCGAAAGCACTGAGTTAATCTACTTGACTCGGTGTTTCATGTGTTTTGCATGGGCATCGATATTTTGTCGAGGAAAAAGTAATATTAACGTCCTGTATGACAATCGTAAATACATAGGAAGGACTGAGTTAATCTACTTGACTCCATGTTTCATGTGTTCTGCATGGGCATCGATATTTGTCGAACAAAAATTAATATTGCCGTACTGTATGACAATCGTAAATACGTCGAAAGCACTGAGTTAATCTACTTGACTTCATGTTTCATGTATTCTGCATGGGCATCGATATTTTGTCGAAGAAAAAGTAATATTAACATACTGTATGACAATCGTAAATACGTAGGAAGCACTGAGTTAATCTTCTTGACTTGATGTTTCATGTGTTCTGCATGGGCATCGATATTTTGTCGAACAAAAAGTAATATTGCCATACTGTATGACAATCGTAAATACGTCTAAAGCACTGAGTTAATCTACTTGACTCCATGTTTCATGTATTCTGCATGGGCATCGATATTTTGTCGAAGAGAAAGTAATATTAATGTACTGTATGACAATCGTAAATACGTAGGAAGCACTGAGTTAATCTACTTGACTCCATGCTTCATGTGTTCTGCATGAGCATCGATATTTTGTGGAACAAAAAGTAATATTGCCGTACTGTATGACAATCGTAAATACGTCGAAAGCACTGAGTTAATCTACTTGACTTCACGTTTCATGTTTTCTGCATGAGCACCGATATTTTGTTGTTCAAAAAGTAGTATTGCCGTTTTGTATGACAGTTGTAAATACGTCGGGAGCACTGAGTCAATCTACTTGACCCCATGTTTCATGTGTTCTGCATGGGCATCGATATTTTGTCGAAGAAAAAGTAATATTAATGTACTGTATGACAATCGTAAATACGTAGGAAGCACTGAGTTAATCGACTTGACTCCATGTTTCATGTGTTCTGCATGATTATCGATATTTGTCGAACAAAAATTAATATTGCCGTACTGTATGACAATCGTAAATACGTCGAAAGCACTGAGTTAATCTACTTGACTCCGTGTTTCATGTGTTTTGCATGGGCATCGATATTTTGTCGAGGAAAAAGTAATATTAACGTCCTGTATGACAATCGTAAATACGTAGGAAGGACTGAGTTAATCTACTTGACTCCATGTTTCATGTGTTCTGCATGGGCATCGATATTTGTCGAACAAAAATTAATATTGCCGTACTGTATGACAATCGTAAATACGTCGAAAGCACTGAGTTAATCTACTTGACTTCATGTTTCATGTATTCTGCATGGGCATCGATATTTTGTCGAAGAAAAAGTAATATTAACATACTGTATGACAATCGTAAATACGTAGGAAGCACTGAGTTAATCTCCTTGACTTGATGTTTCATGTGTTCTGCATGGGCATCGATATTTTGTCGAACAAAAAGTAATATTGCCGTACTGTATGACAATCGTAAATACGTCTAAAGCACTGAGTTAATCTACTTGACTCCATGTTTCATGTATTCTGCATGGGCATCGATATTTTGTCGAAGAAAAAGTAATATTAATGTACTGTATGACAATCGTAAATACGTAGGAAGCACTGAGTTAATCTACTTGACTCCATGCTTCATGTGTTCTGCATGAGCATCGATATTTTGTGGAACAAAAAGTAATATTGCCGTACTGTATGACAATCGTAAATACGTCGAAGGCACTGAGTTAATCTACTTGACTTCAGGTTTCATGTTTTCTGCATGAGCACCGATATTTTGTTGTTCAAAAAGTAGTATTGCCGTTTTGTATGACAGTTGTAAATACGTCGGGAGCACTGAGTCAATCTACTTGACTCCATGTTTCATTTGTTCTGCATGAGCATCGATATTTTGTGGAACAAAAAGTAATATTGCCGTACTGTATGACAATCGTAAATACGTCGAAAGCACTGAGTTAATCTACTTGACTTCACGTTTCATGTTTTCTGCATGAGCACCGATATTTTGTTGTTCAAAAAGTAGTATTGCCGTTTTGTATGACAGTTGTAAATACGTCGGGAGCACTGAGTAAATCTACTTGACCCCATGTTTCATGTGTTCTGCATGGGCATCGATATTTTGTCGAAGAAAAAGTAATATTAATGTACTGTATGACAATCGTAAATACGTAGGAAGCACTGAGTTAATCTACTTGACTCCATGCTTCATGTGTTCTGCATGGGCATCGATATTTTGTCGAACAAAAATTAATATTGCCGTACTGTATGACAATCGTAAATACGTCTAAAGCACTGAGTTAATCTACTTGACTCCATGTTTCATGTATTCTGCATGGGCATCGATATTTTGTCGAAGAAAAAGTAATATTAATGTACTGTATGACAATCGTAAATACGTAGGAAGCACTGAGTTAGTCTACTTGACTCCATGCTTCATGTGTTCTGCATGAGCATCGATATTTTGTGGAACAAAAAGTAATATTGCCGTACTGTATGACAATCGTAAATACGTCTAAAGCACTGAGTTAATCTACTTGACTCCATGTTTCATGTATTCTGCATGGGCATCGATATTTTGTCGAAGAAAAAGTAATATTAATGTACTGTATGACAATCGTAAATACGTAGGAAGCACTGAGTTAGTCTACTTGACTCCATGCTTCATGTGTTCTGCATGAGCATCGATATTTTTTGGAACAAAAAGTAATATTGCCGTACTGTATGACAATCGTAAATACGTCGAAAGCACTGAGTTAATCTACTTGACTTCACGTTTCATGTTTTCTGCATGAGCACCGATATTTTGTTGTTCAAAAAGTAGTATTGCCGTTTTGTATGACAGTTGTAAATACGTCGGGAGCACTGAGTCAATCTACTTGACCCCATGTTTCATGTGTTCTGCATGGGCATCAATATTTTGTCGAAGAAAAAGTAATATTAATGTACTGTATGACAATCGTAAATACGTAGGAAGCACTGAGTTAATCTACTTGACTGCATGCTTCATGTGTTCTGCATGGGCATCGATATTTTGTCGAACAAAAAGTAATATTGCCGTACTGTATGACAATCGTAAATACGTCTAAAGCACTGAGTTAATCTACTTGACTCCATGTTTCATGTATTCTGCATGGGCATCGATATTTTGTCGAAGAAAAAGTAATATTAATGTACTGTATGACAATCGTAAATACGTCGAAAGCACTGAGTTAATCTACTTGACTTCACGTTTCATGTTTTCTGCATGAGCACCGATATTTTGTTGTTCAAAAAGTAGTATTGCCGTTTTGTATGACAGTTGTAAATACGTCGGGAGCACTGAGTCAATCTACTTGACCCCATGTTTCATGTGTTCTGCATGGGCATCAATATTTTGTCGAAGAAAAAGTAATATTAATGTACTGTATGACAATCGTAAATACGTAGGAAGCACTGAGTTAGTCTACTTGACTCCATGCTTCATGTGTTCTGCATGAGCATCGATATTTTGTGGAACAAAAAGTAATATTGCCGTACTGTATGACAATCGTAAATACGTCTAAAGCACTGAGTTAATCTACTTGACTCCATGTTTCATGTATTCTGCATGGGCATCGATATTTTGTCGAAGAAAAAGTAATATTAATGTACTGTATGACAATCGTAAATACGTAGGAAGCACTGAGTTAATCTACTTGACTCCATGCTTCATGTGTTCTGCATGAGCATCGATATTTTGTGGAACAAAAAGTAATTTTTACGTACTGGACGACAATCGTAGATACGTCGGAAGCACTGAGTTAATCTATTTGACTTCACGTTTCATGTTTTCTGCATGAGCACCGATATTTTGTTGTACAAAAAGTAGTATTGCCGTTCTGTATGACAGTTGTAAATACGTCGGGAGCACTGAGTCAATCTACTTGACTCCATGTTTCATGTGTTCTGCATGGGCATCGATATTTTGTCAAACAAAAATTATATTAACGTACTGCATGACAATCGTAGATACGTCGGAAGCACTGAGTTAATCTACTTGATTCCATGTTTTATGTGTTCTGCATGGGCATCGATATTTTGTCGAACAAAAAGTAGTATTGCCGTTCTGTATGACAATTGTAAATACGTCGGAAACACTGAGTTAATCGACTTGCCTCCATGTTTCATGTTTTTTGCATCGGCACCGGTACTTTGTCGTACAAAAAGTAATATTGCCGTACTGTATGACAATCGTAAATACGTCACAAGCACTGAGTTAATCTACTTGACTTCAAGTTTTCTGCATGGGCACCGATATTTTGTCGAACAAAAAGTAATATTGCCATATGTACGACAATCGTAAATACATCGCAAGCACGGAGTTAATCTACTTGACTCCATGTTTCATGTTTTCTTCATGAACACTAATATTTTGTCATACAAATAGTAGTATTGTCGTTCTGTATAACAATCGTAAATGCGTCGGAAGTACTGAGTTAATCTAGTTGACTCCCTGTTTTCGGCATGGGCACCGATATGTTGTACAAAAAGTAATAGGTGTATTACCGTACGGTATCACAATCGTAAATACGTCGAAAGCACTGAGTTAATCTACTTGACTCCATCTTTCATGTTTTCAGCATAGGCACTAATATTTTGTCGTACAAAAAGTAGTATTGCCGTTCTGTATAACAATCGTAAATGTTCCATGTTTCATGTTTTTTGCATGGGTACCTATATTTTGTCGAAGAAAAAGTAATATTGCCGTACTGTATGACAATAGTAGATACATCGGAAGCACCGAGTTAATCTAGTTGACTTATTGTTTCATGGTTTCGGCATGGGCATCGATATTTTGTCGAACAAAACGTAATATTGACATTCTGTATAACAATAGTAAACACGTAGGAAGCACTGAGTTAATCTACTTGAAAGTAATATTGCCGTATTGTATCACAATAGTAAATACACCGAAAGCACAGAGTTAATCTAGTTAACTTAGGCCCGTATCGTCAGTGGTCCCTACAATTGTAGGGCGCCTTTATGGCCTCCTTGATTGTCATAGTTTTCTACTTCTCCGTGTCAGAACTCTATTTTGAGGTTATGTCACAAACATCTATTTGCATCAAATTGTGCTTGCTTTTGAGTTATATCATGTTTTATCAGCCTGAAATTTCCTACAATTTGAAAAGAAAACATATCTTCACAATAGGAGAGCGCTGACGCTGACACGGGACAAGTGTAATCTAGAAATTTTTGAAGGAGAGAAAGGAGTATGACAATCAAGGAGGCCATAAACGCGCCCTACAATTGTAGGGACGTCTGACGATACGGGCCTTATTGTTTCATTTTTTCTGGATGGGCACAGATATTTTGTCGAACAAAAAGTAATATTGCGGTAGAGTATGATCAATTACATTTAAGATATGATTGCGATTGTGAAAAATCACTCTACTTGTGGATCTCGTAGGCGGGGCTAGGATGTATGCATGTTGCATGCACACGTTCCCCCTCTACTCGGTATCCCCCTATAGCCCCACGGTACCCCATGGGTGTTTAGGCCTTGGGCCTTCGTGCTAGTTGGAATATAGAAAAAAAGGACGAATTAACTTTGTGACGGCAAAAAACTACTTAAAATTGAGAATCGATTAAACTTTTCAGAAACTCCACGAATTCTTTTTTTGAAATTTTGTTAAGTGTTCATACTACATGGGAAACTATATGAGAAACGGTAACGAAGGCGAGAGTTATTCTACCCGACTATTTTTTTTTTCAGGGATGTCCAAAAACAAACCCCAAGCTATCCTTCTGCCTCAGTAACGAGTATGAATGTGCAGATAGATTTACATGCATTCACAAGAACTGGCTTTGTGATGGTAGCAAGGATTGTCCCGATGGGTCGGATGAATCTCTGGAAAACTGCCAAAACATCACATGCAGGGTAGATCAGTTCCAGTGTAAAGATCGTTCCTGTATTCCTGGCCATTTGCATTGCTCTGGACATCCTGATTGTCCAGATGGTAGTGATGAAGAAGAATGTGGTATGTTATTGGAAAATTGGTTATCTTGACATATATGTGTATGTATATCATATTTCAGGAACACCAGTTCAAGAATGTGACACCAAGACTCAGTTTGACTGCGGAGATGGCCAGTGTATACCTCTGTCACAAGTTTGTGATGGCAAACAGCACTGTCCTAATTTTGAAGATGAGCCTTCAGATAAATGTGGAGTGAATGAATGTCACAATAATAATGGAGGGTGCCAACACAAGTGTATTGATACGCCAGCTTCATATTATTGTGATTGTCATCAGGGCTACAAGTTAGTCAATCATACTGCGTGCAAAGGTGAGTTAGTTTACTTGACGCTGGTTTTTACTATCTATACCATCTACAAACACTGACTATCAAATATGTCTGTCCCTTTTTATTAACTTTCACATGTTATTATACAAGTTCCTAAATATAAAGAATGTAGTACAGGGCTCCCCTACGGAAATGCAGGCCGCTAAGCGACGCTACTGGAAATTAGTTTTTCTTAAATAACCTCATTATAATTATAATAAATCTTCAAAACTACTGAACTGAAGTATTTTATATCATTATAAATTGAAAAACCTTTAAAATAAGGTATCACTCGACCCCCTTTCCATTTAATATTTTGGGGGTAGTGTCACCCCCGCTTAGGGGGCTGCACGTGCTAACGTGATTTTTTGCCAAACTTGTGTCCCCCTCGAAAACAAAATCGTCGGATTTGAGCGTTTTTCAAAAAAAAATGAGCTGCCAGTAAATGCGTTTGTTTCGTTTTCGATGCGCCACCCTGTATACATGGCCTACGTAAGATGGAATAATAGTCCAGTCGACATAGTTATAAATTAGCTGCAAGTGTTATAAATTAGTGTTAAAGTAATAATACTATTTGCAATAATGTACAGTAAAAAACGTTGTTTGAATGTTTTAAAAAAGCAATCCTAGTAGTTTTCTATATTCATATGAATTGTCAAATCGTTGTGGAAGACTATATAAACTAAATATAAAAGGAATGAAAGATACCAAGCATGTAGGTATGATTTGCGTAACTTCCGGATATGCCCTTGGAGTCAACCTACTTGACTCAATAACTGCTGACAAGATCGATTTTGTATATACGAGGGGGAATTAAAAAAAAACAGAATTATTTTTTAAAAGCTATTTATTTTCAACTTTTCCACGAAGTAAACTTATCTCCTTCAAAATACTGTCCTCTACAACTAATGCACTTGTCCCATCGGTGTTTTCACTGCTCGAAACATTTTTTGAAGTCTTCCTTAGAAATGTCTGACAGCTCTTGCCTCGTTTTTTCCTTGGCCTCTTCAATGTCGTCAAAGCAGCGTCCTTTAATGCCCCTTTTCATCCGTGGAAATAAGAAAAAGTCGCACGGAGCCAGGTCAGGCGAATAAGGTGCGTGAGGCAGCGGAACCATGCAACTTCTAGCCAGAAACTGTCGAACAGAGATGGCTGTGTGCGCAGATGCATTATCGTGGTGGAAGAACCAGTCTTCTGACTGCCACAAATCGGGTCTTTTTTGCCGGACACTGTTTCGCAATCATCTTAAAACCTCCAAATAAAAGGTCTGATTGACAGTGTGACTTGGGGGAACAAATCAGCATTGTTTTGATGTTTGATTTGACTTGACGAAAATTATTTAGATTCATTCGCAATGGACCTGGTAGTGGAGAAACGGTCCCTTAAGGCCAATAATCTTAGGCGGCGATCTTCACGGTCTGTTGTTCTACGGCGGCGTCCAGTGCCCCTTGCTCTTTGCGTACGGCCTTCTCGAAGCCATGCCTGACAACACCTAACCACAGTGTCTACTCTTCTTTGCACTCTAACTGCAATTGCCCGAAAAGAAAGTCCAGCTTCCCGAAGTCCCACTATACGGCCCCTATCAAACTCACTAAGTTGACGAAATCGTACAGGTCTCCGTACTCTAGGCATCGTAACCGATCGTAAAGGATGTCAAGAACCAAAATCCGCCAACGTTGATTCTTTACTGCGGCTGAAATATTCATTTTTAGAGCGTTAGTGAATTAAAAAAAGCAGTATAAAAACCGGAATGTCCAACTGATCAGGCTGAAATTTTTTTCACTTGTTATTTACAGTAAGATAAATACATTCACCAACTTTTATTAAAATAAAACCATTTAAACTGGGTGTTCGGATTTATATGTCACTTAGTATATTTTCAACATTAACACAGTTTCAGCAGCATTTTTACCAATTAGAAAGCAAAATTTCACAGCTGCACGTTGCTCACTGAAGCTTGCCATCGTAAAAAATGAAACAAGCACGAAACAGCTCTAGCAAAAATAATGAGTCACGAAACAAGCCAGATGACAACTCAGGTGGCACGGAACTGGTAATGAGTTGCGCTGTACGCTGCTAGGGGCAGAAATGTGTACTACACAAGCTCCGCGCACTGCAATGCTATTCCGGTTATTTTTTGGTACCTCCTCGTATACGTGCGTGTGACATAGAAAAAAGAACACCCAGAAATAATAAATGTATAACAACAATTTTTTGTATACATGGCCAGATAAATCCAACAGTTGAAAGAATGTAAGTGTAAACAGTTAGGATCGTATCGTCAGTCGTTCCTACAATATTGTAGGACGCATTTCTGACCTCCTTGATTTTCATGGTTTTCTACTGCTCCGTCTCAGCGCTCCATTTTGAGGTTATGTTACAAATATCTATTTGCATCAACTTGTTCATGCATTTGATTTATGTCATCTGGTATATCAGCCTGACATTTCCTATAATTCAAAAAGATATCATAGCGTCACAATAGGAGAGCGCTGACGCTGACACCGAACAGTAGACATCTAGGAATACCCCAGCCTTTCTGAAGACTATGAAAATCAAGGAACCCATAAAGCTGACCTACAATCGTAGGAACGACTGACGATGCAGTCCTTAGTCAGTCAGCGGACAGCGAGAGCGGAATAAAAGGCCAGTCGACATAGTTACAATTTTTTTTATGAATTAGCTGCAAGTCTTATAAATTAGTGTTAAAGTAATAATAGTCTTTGGAGAGTCAGAACGGTGTCTTTGTTACAATAGGAATGGAAAACTAGAAGATATAGTCCAGATAAACTTTATAAACCGATAGCGTTGCCTGGGAAGTACAGTCAGCGTACTTGACGTAATTTTTCATTCTGGACATTGTTTTAGATATCGACGAATGCGACATACCCGGAAGCTGTTCTCAAATCTGTATCAATGACAGAGGAGGCTACAAATGCGAGTGTTATCCTGGCTACATGAGGGACCCCAGAAATGTGACTAGATGTAAAGCTATTGAAGGTCATGCGTCGCTCCTCTTTGCACGAAGAAGGGAAATCAGGAAAATTTCATTAGACCATCACGAAATGACGAGTATCGTCAATGAGACCAACTCAGCCACGGCGCTGGACTTTGTCTTCAGGACAGGAATGATATTTTGGAGTGACGTCACAGACAAAAAGATATACAAAGCACCGATTGATGAAGGCAACGAGCGTACAACTGTGATCAGTGATGACATCACTACTTCTGACGGCCTAGCCGTCGACTGGATCTACAATCACATTTACTGGACTGATACAGGGAGAAATACTATCGAGTTGTCGAATTTCGATGGTAAAATGAGGATGGTGCTGATCAAGGATGATGTTGATGAGCCTAGAGCTATTGCCTTGAACCCCATGGAAGGATGGATGTTTTGGACTGACTGGGGCATCAATCCTAAGATTGAAAGGGCGGGAATGGACGGTTCTCACAGGTAGTAATATATTTTTATCGTAGAACTACCGTAACAGTCAGTGATATTTTTTTCTCGATGTGCTGGACACACAATACGCATCAAGATTTTGCGGCCCGGGTAGCGCTTAGTAGATGTTTTGATGAAGTCAGGAAACAACAACGGATTTAGGAAAATCCTTATTTTTTTCGCATATTTCTGGAAGTACATTTCGAAACTTGTGTCATTTTCTCATTTTCATAAATATGCAACTTTGATGCCATTTAACCGACCCGTTTCTATTACCGTTTTGGGAATCATGAACAAACATCGCCCAAATTTCTTATTTTGACATTTCATCCTGATTCATTATTGAAGAAAGGTTACAAAATTGATGGGTGCTGATTGTAGGCGATGGGGGAGTTAATTCTATGCGCCTATTACGCATATTCCACTCGTATATTACCCCGTATATTTGCCCTAAATACTTATAATGAAGAAATAAAAAATGCAGTAGCCGCTGACCTCGGGCGAACATCATGATTTCTCACCTGAACAGTTACTATTAACAGGGTAATATAATGAATCGAATATAAATAATCAGATAGGGTAACATTAGGGTCGTAGCTATTCAAGTGTGAAATAACGGACAGAGGTACAGCAGTCTTCTGCGAATATGAAGATAATTTGTGGAATAAGCAAATAATACCGGCGCTTACGGAAGTTTAAAAAAAACCACAATACTTTTTCTTCAATATTTTTTTTATACTTAAATTACCACGAAGGCCAAAGACATAATCGTTCATGGGTACCGTGGGGCTATCGGGGGATACAGGGGAAAGGTGGAACGCCACAGGGACTCGACGGAGGGAACACCAGTGCATGCAACATGCTCACATTCTGGCCCGCCCAGTGGTACCTCCGCGTTCGACAGTCAGAGACCGTCTACCTCCTATGGCCAATCACAACATCCTAGCCAAGAGAAAAATTCTCTTGGGACGGGACTTGAACCCACGCAGCGCGCGGCGATCTATTAGGGGACCCATAACGTCTACCACTACGCCACCGCTGCTCATATTTATTATATTACATCAACAATGTTTTTTCACTGATATTCATTCTACTACGGCCTTATGCCAGGGTACAAGGATTTACGACAAATATAATAAAGATACCAGAGCATACAAAACTTAACTCAGATACTATACATGATGGCACGATGCATATATGTACATAGTCCTCTATTTGTCCATAATCCATAAAGTACACACTCAATCTACTTGACTCCATCCTTTTACTTATAGGCAAACCATCGTAAAGTACGACGTGAAATGGCCTAACGGTCTAACTCTGGACCTGGTAAAGAGACGGGTGTACTGGGTAGATGCCAAACTAAACAGTATTTCATCCTGCGATTATAATGGTAAAAATAGAAGAGTGATTCTGTACTCGCAAGAAAATTTGAGGCATCCTTTCTCCATTACAACCTTTGAGGATGGGGTTTACTGGACCGACTGGGATAAGGGAGCTGTTTTCCGAGCTAACAAATTCACTGGGGAAGACGTCAAGGCTATCACTGCTACAGAAATGGTGAGTAGATGCATTATTTCCATAAAGACTGGAAACAGGAAGGTAAACTCACAGAGTGGGGGTGAAGCCAACAGTGTTGATAATAAAGGCGGGCTATTTACGATAGTCATTGCGTCACGTTCTGTGCATGTGATATCTCTCTGATGTCTGCATCTCTCTCGTTCATAAAGGCTTTACGCGAGAGCCACGCCGTTCTTACCGACAATATTGAATTTTTACGAATACGACAGTTTACCCTTCTGATGCAAAATGTAAATTAATTAGGCGTTGTAAATAGACTATAGCCTCAGCCATCCGCCATTTCTGTTTGGCTACTCACCCTCCAAACAACCTGTATATGTGCAGACTCAATCTATTTGACTGAATGTCTCCAGTGGCGTAGAAACTAGTATGCATCGACCCTTACAAAAAAAGAAATATTCTCTACGTTACTGACTTTGTTGTAACACCAAATGCACTTTCGAATGAGATCTTAAATTTTACATGAATTGTCTCTATTGAGAAATTTTTGTCAGACCACTACTTTAGGAGTTAGTTTGAATATTTGAGGTAAAATTCGTATGCAAATAAACTTGAATCCAATCTACTTCAAAAATACGTTGAAGTCGTGGAGTTTTACATTGAAATTTGTATTTATTAAAGTACCGATGTACCTGTTTATAGGAACTAAAAATATTTACTCTTTTTTTTAAATCGCACTCAACTCATATTTTATTATCGTTTATTTTCAGGTTCAGAATCCAATGGTGATCCACGTATATCACCCATATAGGCAACCTGATGGTGAAAACTATTGCCAGGCTGTGAATGGACACTGTTCCCATCTTTGTCTACCAGCACCACAGATCAACAAGTATTCACCTAAAATATCTTGCGCATGCCCCATGGGTCTAAAGATGCACGATAACGGACTAACATGTATTATTGATGGTAAGTTTTCCCTTGGTTCCAATATTTCTCTTCATCCATATAAAAGTGGATAGGCAATCTAGTCTAATTATATTATCAAATCTCCACGAAATAATTGTAAAGTCTGGTTTTATTGATGCAAGTTGTATTTAAAACATAAAATGGGTACACCAACTTTTCTGGGAAAACTTTTTATTCGACAATAAAGAATGAGAAAACGTGTTCTTTGGGATTCAATCGAAACTGCTGGCAGGAACGTGAAAACTCGTCAAATAAGATTTTTAGGGATTTATGAGACCTATAGTATCAGGCCACACTTAAAAAGATCCCAATGATAGTAAAAAAGTTATGGTCGAAAACCGAGACAAAATGCTAATTTCGGCACTTGTTCCTAATGCGACGATAATTTCACGCAGCTACTTGAAATTCTTCAAATCCGAAGGTTTCTTACTTCTAAATAACCACAACAAAATTGGAGTTGATTGGTCAAGTAGTTTTTGACAATTTCTAATTGTTTATCCCAAAACACCTGTCTTCCGGCCATCACCTGTCTTCCGTGTCGTCTGATTCTGTAGGTCTCATAAATACCTAATAAACTTGTTTGAAGTTTTTTCGTTCCTGCCAACACTTTCGATTGAATCCTAAAAACACGTTTTCTCATTCTTTGTTGTCGAATAACAAGTTTTCTTAGAAAAATTAGTGTACCCATTTTATGCGTCCATGTTTTAAATACCCTCTTGAACAACTTGGATCAGTAAAACCAGACTTTACAATTATGTCGCAAACCAGTGGTATTTTCGTCTATGATCAGATTAATTTCAGTATCGTCAGAAAAAACATGTGGAGTAAAATTCTGGAATATTGTTGTCAGGAAACTTTATCTATAATTATTGTACGCTTTCAGAAGGCTATCAGTTCTAAAATAATGATAATAAGAATTGGTCTTTATTAGGGCACAGTTAAGTCATAGGCACTTCCACTTAACCCTTTTAAAACAGAAAAAAATCTGGTCGTGTAGGAATTACAATAAAAGGCAAGTAATAGCAAGCATACAGTTAAAACTTTTTGAAAAGACAGTTGTTTTTCACACAAACTGGATAAAATTAGGAATGTTCATAATAAACGATATAAAATACATAAATAAATGAAACGCCAACAGTATAAAATATAGATGATGACAATGAGAAAGCGCCACAAAAGAGTATTAATTTATGCCAGCATTTCCATGGCTCAATATATACATCGTAACTTCTGGTTTAAATTTATTCAAATGACTGGTAGCTATCTGGCAGAGAGTTAACTGAATTGTATATAAAAATATTTCGAAAGAAAGCAGTCCTGTGGTATGGCATTGTCAAGGTGCTATTATATCTTATATTTCGGGAATGTATCTGTAATATCTGTATACAATATAAAAATGATGATTAGTTTTCAAAAAATGTTATTATCTTTCTATTGACTCCCTTTTTTAAAAATAGGTCTTATTCGATATCTCACGTGTTTATTTCTTTTTATTTATTATATCCGTGTTTTTTTTTTCGTTGTTGTTTTGAGTTGTTTATTTTCCAACAGAAAACGCGCCAACTACTACGACAATTTCTGTGACAAACTCTGAACCAACAACTGTGAATATAGATTTCACATCAGAGAGTGAGTAAAAAAATCAGTGTGATGTGTGGTTTGCTCTCATGGTGATGGTTAACAATTTTACAAAGCACCATAGACAGTGTTATAGTGTCCTAATTTTTACAGCCTACTAATTTTCTTCTTTTTTCTGTTTTACCACTTGAGAATCTGTTAAATCAACGTTTCTAAATTATAAGACTATGGTCCTTGAAGTACACAATTGCCAAATTGGGTGGAAAGATGCCTCCATGGTAGTTACAAAAATGATCTGGCAACTTTTACAGATTCTTGAGCGGTTGTACTTTTTACACGAGAACAGGTGCTCTGTTGCAAGAAAATGTTTAACTTTTCTAGACGAGGCGAAGACCTCGCATTCTTAGAAATATTCCAACTTGATTTTTTTTCATAATTGTATTACATAAATCAATGTTTCTGGGCGGCGACTCGGTGCAGGTTTGAACAATTCTTTCAAACAAATTACAAATACTTGTTTTTTGCTCCGGACCAGGTTCCGGACAAGGTTTTTTGGATCATTCTGGACAAAAAACCCCTGAGTAACCGTTCTTTAAAGTTGACTACTTTCAAGTTATAAGCGGTTTTGGGTCTGAAATCCCTAAAAAGGTCCAAAATCTCGATAAAAAATCATTATTTTTGATATTGCTAAGCTTTTTTTCCCGCAGCTCACCTAGTTCTCTTAATACGTCTATTCCTTTCTCTTTCTATTCTGCTTTAGTTTATTCAGTAATAAATGGTGGAGGTTCTTAAAGAAACACATCTTATTTTAAATACTAAAGAGACCGTTTTATTTTTTTATAGCAGCAAAAAATACGTCCCACGGAAGCACTCAGGCTGGTGACAATTCTGACAGCGGAATGATTGCTGGAATAGCAATTATTATACTTGTAGCAGTTATTGGCGTTGTTGGAGGGGTAAGTAACGATGCAGTCTATGTTTCAGGACACTTCATTACGCAAAAACTTGACAAAAAACAGCATGTAACATCTGAAACCTATCCTGTAGTTTCATGTCGATAATCCCACATGTTTGTCTGGCCAATGAAACCACGTGAATTTGAAATTCTTCTTTAACGTATACGTTTTGGTCACAACAGTGACCTTCTTCAGTATATGACCCCTTTTTCCAGGGGACACTTGTTTCGCGGATCTTCCCGGTGTCTCTGTAACATTGACAAAACTCAACTCTTGGCAGATAATTCCGGGATTGTACGGATTGCACTCGCTGTACGTAGTACGGGTGGAGCTCGTTCTTTCGCAAAATCCGGTGGGCAGTACTTTTGGGCAATCCCGTGCTTGCTTCTATTTGACGTACCGAAGTACTCCGGTCTTCTTCGACTGCTTGTCGTACGCCGAGGGAAGGAAATTATTCCTTCACCATGTGCGTTATTTATCGTCCCTCTGGTACACATTCTCAAAATCTCTGTGATCGGGATGACGAACAGCATTTGGGTATACTTTATCTGAAGTCACTTGAAATAGCATAAAAACCTTTGGTCGGCGCGTCCTTTGTAATTTCATGACGTATCATAGGCGTGCGGTTATTTATTTAGAACGATAATAATAATGTTTTTATATCACAATAAATGGATTTTACTATCTTCTTATTTTTTGATTTGGGATAAAAAATACTTATATTGGGAGTTTAATTTATGTTGACTGAAAGTTAAGAAATGGAAAAATTACAGAATTCCAACGTTTGACATAGGCAAATATTTACATAGCAGGTAGGTATATAAAAAGGTATATAAAGACTTACATTATAGGTACTTATATATCATCCTCGCCTTCGGAGCTGTCGCTAGAGTCATCTTGTAGAGGAATTACAACGGGATTTACAGGAGGCAAAACACAATATTCATTTTCTTTTTCAATAATATGCCTAGAACACTGCTTCCATAGGTCTGTGGCAGCAATATGAGATACTGCATCTCTTATTGTGGCCAATAGCGATTCACTTAATTGAGGGGTCTGATAATGTTTTCTTACTTTTTTTTAAAGCAGCCCAGACCAACTCAATCGGGTTAAAAATGCAGTAATAGGGAGGTAGACGTAATACTTCATGGCCATTTTGCTGAAGCAGATTGTCAACAACATACTCTTTTTCAAATTTTTGTCTTTTAATAAGATCGAATAATATGGCTTTGGTTGATTTTTGTGGTATTTCCATTCCCTTATCCTTCATAAAATCAATAATGTCTTGTTTTTTTGTGCCTGTATTCGGAATTTTGTTTTTCTGTCGGGAATGGTATGGCGCATTGTCCATAATAATCACTGAATTTGGGGAAATGTTTGGTATTAACTGCTGCTCTATCCTCCTTTCAAATAAGTCGGAGGTCATGTCCTCATGATAATCGGCACATGATTCTTTGATATTTTTGGCAGATAACAGCAAGGCATTAGGTATAAATCCATTTTCACTGCCAGCATGGAGAATAATGATTCGTTTTCCACGGTTGCATGATGCATTTAAAATGCACTTGTTGCTGTCGTCAACCCAGCCGTACTGCACAACATCATGGGTATCATACCACGTTTCATCCAGGTAAATCAGATTTCTTTTCTGCTCTCTATAGATTTTAACTTTGTGCAAAAATTCTTGGCGCAATTCAACGATTCGAGACGACTCCATAATCACCATTCTTTTATCTAATTTTTTGTATTGAAAACCACACAGTTTTACAATACAGTGCAGTGAGTCTAAGCATTCGTAATTATAAAAATCTTCAGGATAATCTTTTAATTTATCCCGTATCATTTCCAACGTGGGCACCAAATTTTCTTTATAAAATCCGTATATTATACGACGAATATCTTCCTGAAAACCCACGTCTATTCTTTTTAATTTTTGCCCTATGCGCTTTCTGTGGAAGGAATGGTTGACTACATCTCCCCTTTTTATAACCCGATAAATGGTAGACCGACTGATTTTTGTCAGGATACAAATTCTGTTTAAAATTTGATTTTGCGAGGAATCTGGATTTTCGTTTTTCAGACAATCATACATATTTAGGATTACTCTTAGGGTCTGTTCCTCTAAATCTTTATGAAAGAATTCTGCCTGCACAGGTTCATCAACCATCTCCTCGTGGCTTGGAGCATTTTCCCAAGGTCTCCAAAGAGCCATATTTAGGACACACAAGAACAATCAACACAACAATTAAATCAACAAGTAAACTGAGTATTCAAAAGTCAAAAACACACAAACTAATAAAATCTATGAAAAAACACGGACAGACTAAAGAAAACACGTTTATTCACCGCTACACGGCACTGGCTAAACTGTTTCAATTTTCAGTAGCCACCTGCACTTGTTCGGAGCTCTGAAATACACGCTTTCTCATTGGCTATGTCCACGCATAGGCGTGCTTTACTCCACGTGGACCGGTGAAACTGCCTTTGATCTTATACGGATATTTGCTGCGAAATTTGGCGATTTTTGCAGCAACAGAGCGTGTTAAATATAGATATATAAAACGCACCCGGTATTCCACAGTGTTTCAAGTGACTTCAGATAAAGTATACCTCCCACGATAAAGCCTAGCTACAGCACTAGCATTGCATCTACATTTCCCATAAATGAGGTGCATGATGGCATATTCCTGTATGGTTTACACAGACATGGTGGCACTACACAATTATGAATTAATAAAAGTGGCATTACTGTCTTGCTGTCACTACGTAGAATGGGAACTAATAGATCGTCACAGGGTGTATTTTTCAAAGTTTTCCGATTTTTTTAAGCCTATAATTTGAAAAGTACACGATCTATATTTTTGTATCTTCTATTTATTATGACTTGGCCTATCCCTCGTTTCCGGCTTAACGTCGACTTCTGGACCACCCTGTATATTGACTGTTGATATCAATTTTTAATTTTCCAGGTCATCTACTTCGGTTACAAACACTTGATGCACCGCAACATGACTTCAATGAACTTCGACAATCCTGTGTACAGGAAAACTACAGAAGATCAATTCTCGCTCGAAAAGAATCAGTTTTTACCGCAGGCTAAACCGTACTTAAGTACTGTCGGAGAGGAGGTAAGAGCACTAACTCTTGATTATAATATACCTTCATCAAGATAATTTTCATAGTGAATGTTCTGACGTTATTGGCTTAGTGTACATTTTTTACTAAATTAGAAACATTGTATGCTGTTTACTAAGGTTCATCTTATTATCGGTCATAAGAGTAAAGCTACTTTTGAACAGCCATACTACTATATCTAACAAGGGCGGGCAAGGCAGCTTTTCCCTAGCTTGGCAAAAATTAAATGCAGAAAACATTTTTTTACAGAAATTAAATTATTCATTCATTGTTCTCCACAAGCTGCATCAATATCTGTTAGATGAGAAATTACTGGGATTAGTTAAAATCTATGTTGAATATGAACTTAATTTTTTGAAAAGCACTATATATGTTGCTTGTTTCAAATTCGAACCTCGCCTCTGGGATCTCGGAAACAGTAAAACAAATGTCATTTGTAGTATTTACTGTGGTCCGTACCATCAGTGGATTTCTGCCTAACACTATGAATCAATAATTACTAACGTTCAGGCTAGAGATCAATGCATATCACATCTCATGATAAATATATTGACGGATCACTTTAAATACTGATCTTGTGACATTCACCTAAACAACGCGCAGTACTTTATGGGGCCAAGTTGCTTAGGCAAATAAAAAATGGAACTTGGACAGTTTGGAAAATCAAAATATTTCCGAATTTACTGGTTTCATTTTTAGTCAAAAGCAAAACTTTTCAAACATTCACATTGCCTACCAATTTCAAACTAACTACACAATAACAACCACTTTTTCTCTTCTACACGGTGGTATAATTAAAATTTCGATCTGACGTTTCAGATCTGTCTTCTAAAATTATACCGTTTTCGATGTGTTCCTTATTACCCTTAAATGGAGTTGTTCCTCATTCGATGAACTTAAACCAACTATATGAAGGTAGGCACTTTAAGTTTTATATCAATGCGTAACATGTTATCATCTTTGATATTCTATTAAATGAATGACTATATGATAATTTCAAGGCTTACTCAGGAAGCATTTTTTTTTATAAAAATGTATGACATGTTGTAATATTTGAAATCAGAATTAAAAGCTATTCGCCTATAAAAAAATGACAACAATAATCAAAGTTGAGACCGGGGTTAAGAGACGAAATATCATATTAAGGTTCTATTTATGCCACCTTGCAGAGATCAAAAAGTGTAATGTGCAATTTATTTTGAAATCCTATCTTAAATAAATTTGAAACAAATTAGAAATGATTTTAACAAAATTTGTTCCGTATTTTGTGTTTCTCTGGAGATACTGGAAGCGTCAAAACTTTTCAAATGCTTTTTTTTTAAATATACAAATACGCAACTTTGCCACCATTCAACCGACCCGCATTTCCTACCGGTTCGGAAATCACACTGGTGAAACTATGACAAATTTGTTTTTCAAATCATTCGAGAACAAACCAGATACATATCCTTTTTTTTTTTCTCGAAAATTCAACACCGCTAAAAATTTTAGTCATTGTGGACATAAGTTTATACAAACCTTTCGTCATAAAATTATTTGAGGAATCATATCCTGAAGTACTAGCGCACCCTGTATTGTTATGGTTGCGAAGGTAGCTAAACTTTTTGAACACCATGTATGTGGGTTTATGGAACTGCATGTGATCTACTAACCCGCTGACGTGCTCATCTAATAAAATGTTCACCATTCGAGTACCATATTTAATACTATGTTAGATGAGCATGTTGAAATATATTTTGCATTATAGTCATTAGAAATTTGGAAAAGCAGTATTAATAACGCTCAATTTTTTTAATGGTTAGCTAAAAAATGACTGTACGTGATTTATTTTTAATAGTAAAAATAAAGTGTATGAATATTCTTTGATGTTGAAAGGAAATAGATAAATGTGATTAAGTTGAGATCATTGCACCATCAAGTAGTCTAAAAAGAGCTCAATCTTGATAATTCTTCATGATATATATTATTTCTTAAAATATTTATACGGACATCCTGTTGGAATCCTGTTTGTCTTTTAAATTTAAACGAAAGGAATATGTAACACTTACTAAAATTTGGACGAATTTTGTAGAAACCTGCTTGAGACTGCAGTGATCTATTCCGCCAGTTAGAGAAGCGTTATATACATGAACGTAACTTTTCATTTACATATGATTAAAAAACTTCACAAACACGCATGTCCATTATTTAGCTTTATATTGGATTGCGATATTTTTCTAATCAATTTATATAATATGCTGTGCCAAAAACAAATTAGCTTAAACTTTTAACTAACATACTCTTAACAATGCATTGTTCTGCACCTACTATATGGATTTCTACTAGCATTTTTCTTTTTTTTTTCGGAGGAGAGTGTAGATTCATTTTGAAAGATGTAGCTGCTTATATTTAAAATCACTGTAGACCATAGTTGATTAATCTGGCGATACTCCAACAACAACTATTGAGAGTCTAAAGCAGTGTGGTAAATCCATATTGTTATCAGTTCATTCTGTCATACGTCGTATAGAGTTACTATCATTGAGGCTGGAATTATTTTTTTTTATTTTTTCCTTTTCTGTTATTTTGTTTTTTATTTTACAGGCGCAAGAACCTTTGACAAATGGGAACAATGCGGTCTAAGATATTTTGTTTAATCGAATTAGGTTAAATCAATTTTTCGTCTAATTCATCTGTTATGGGACATGATCAAATAGTACTTACTCATTGTTACACAGATTTAAAAAATGGTTGAAGTTGAAAATTCGCAGCTTTAAAATGTTTTCCAAAGGTTGGATGTATAAATTTTATTTTAGTGTATTTATTTGTCTATTTGTAAAGTAGTTGTAAGGCTGAGAGGTATACCACGTCATATTGACGTATTGTCAGAATAAAACATGGAAAAGCTCAACGTACTTGAAGAGTTGGCATCGATATAGGTACAAACAACCAGGACTTTTTTGTATATTCAGATTGAATGGTTGTACTCTCCTTCAAACCCTTGTACTATTCTTGATGATATGCCATTTTATGTGATTTTAGTTTAAATTAGATAATTTTTGATTGTATTTTTAGATGTATATAGATTTGTTTTTTTATCTTTTTTGCCACTTATTTTGGCCCGAACAATTTAATGGAATCATTCATTTTTTGTGCAAATGCCCAAGCAGTATCAACCGGAAAATTCTAAAAATTTCAAAGTCATCATCACAATAAGTTTCAGTGTTGCTGGAGTGACAAAACCTTCAAAGGATTTTTGAACCAAAAATACGATATTTTCAAACAGTAAAATGAAAATATGGCTTCAGATATCCTGAAACCCGTCCACTTTATAATGAAAATCGATTTTGAATGCCTATTTTTGAATTTAAATGTATCTAATTTTCTTAGCGGTTGATGCTGCCTGTTTGGAATCGATTAGATGTGACACCCTGTGATTATTTATATTGTAATATATTAAAGTTTCTCTACTATTCGGAATATTGCCATGTGTATAGAATGCAATGTATTTCTGTTCACATTTATGGATTATTTAGCAATTTACATCACTTTGTAAAAAAGATACTGGTATTTGAAATTTACAGAAAAAATCAAATAAAAAGCATATATAATATAGTTATTTTATTTCAAAAATATCTATAATGTGCACTTTGAAAAGTCGTCCGCTACAATCTTTAAATCATAGTCCCTATGAATAGAGACCGACCGAAGGCGATTTTTTTGGCCGAAGCCGAAATTCGGTCTGCGGATCACCTTCGGCCTAAACCGAATTCAATCATGCAAAATTACACGAGTACTCCTCAATAGTTTCTTTTTGAAAGTTTTAGCAATCGATAATATAATTACAGTGCAATCTCCGTAATTCGAGCTAATTGTTGCAAGAAGATGTTCGAATTATGGAAAAATCAAAAAATATTTTTAATATACAGCTGCTGGATTTTCGGTCTTATTTAAATAATTTAATTTTGCCCACAGATGACTGATGCCATGTCCGAATCTAAAAAGAAATGTAGACACTACAGTGTTGATTATTTGAAATTTGGCTTCATTCCATCATTGCCGGACAAACAATCGCCTATGTGCCTTTTATGCAACAACGTTTTGGGCAATGACGCGATGAAACCATCTAAACGCCAAGATCATCTGAGAAGATGCCACCCTGATAAAACAGAGAAAGATTTGAAATACTTTCAAACATTCAAAGATAAATTTCAGAAGAGACCTACACTGGACAAAATGTTCGCTTCCACGTCACAAAGAAATTATGATGGTTTGCGGGCGTCTTACAATATCTCGTTACTTATAGCAAAATCCGGAAAACCGCATACTATCGGAGATAAGTTAATTTTGCCAGCCGTTGAAGAGGTTTTAAAAACTGTTTTACACAAACCTGCATCTGATATCATTAAATGAATTCCCTTAAACAACAATACTGTTGAAATACGTATTGATGAAATGAGTTCTGATATTGAAAGCTTCTTATGTAATTATTTGCAAACGACCCATTTCTCTATACAACTGGACGAGTCAACTTTACCTGATAATGCAGCATTATTATTGGCATATGTTAGTTTTATTATGAATCAAGAAATCTACGAAGAACTGCTCTTCGAAAGAACTTTGATAACAGACACTAAAGGAGAATCAATATTTCATGTTTTGAAGGATTACTTCATTGAAAAAGCAATTCCTTTATCAAATATAATACCAGTAGCTACAGATGGAGCACCTGCCATGGTTGGACGTTATCGTGGATTTATAAGCTATTTAAAACAAAATGTGTCAGGGGTGTTAGCGATACATTGCGTCATCCATCGACAACATTTAGTTGCTAAAAATTTGAGTGTTAGATTGCATGAATCACTTCATTTAGCCATTGATGCAGTAAACCAAATCCGAAGCAACGCGTTGAATACGCGGTTATTTGCGCAGTTGTGTGAAGAAAATGACGAACACTTTCATCAATTACTCCTTCACACTGAAGTACGCTGGCTGTCGAAAGGCTTATGTTTGACAAGATTTTTTGCACGTTTTGAGACTATTTTAGAATTTCTGGATACTAAAGATAAAATTTTAAAAGAAAATTTAATGAATAGGAAAACAGGCATCGCCTATTTAACAGATTTGTTTACAAAATTTAATATGGTTAATTTGAAATTACAAGGCGACAGTTTAAATTTGATTAAAACAAAGTCCATCTTATCAGCGTTTCTTGCCAGAGTTAAACTAATGAAGCAAAATATTGGAAGAGGCGAATTTTCTCAGTTCCCCAATTTGTCACAGACAAGCTGCCAGGAAGACGACGTTTCAACTTACGTTCAACATTTAAATGCCCTCTATTCAGATTTTGAATCTAGGTTTGAGGATATTTTGACTATGGTAATACCACCGTGGATAATTAATCCATATGGTGACATAGAAGAAACGAATGTCATAATACAAGAGGAACTGACTGAACTAAGTACAAACGAAGAACTTAAGGTTCAGTTTAAAAACGGATATCAGCAATTCTGGCTGCAAAACAACATACCCGTTACTTAATCCCGTATTATGGAATATAGCGAGGAAATTTTTAATTTCCTTTCCATCGTCATACCTAGTAGAAAGGGAGTTCAGCGCTGTTACCAATCTCCTAACGAAAAAAAGAAACAAACTGGACATCATTAGCCGAGGAGATTTAAGATTAACTCTTACAAAATTGACGCCAAATGTTGATAATTTATTATTAAAGCATCAGGTTCATCCTTCTCACTAAAAATATTGACTTATTGCTTATGTTATTTTATTTATAGTATTTTATGTTTATTGGTGTCTGACCAATAAATGCCCGCATTGGGAATAAGTGCCCGCATTGATTTTTTTTAAAGAACCCCCTTTATATAAAATATTTTTGTTTAATTATTCTGAAAATTCAAGGATAGGTACACACTAAAATTTGTTAATTTTCTGCCTATTTTTAGATAACTTAAACGTATAAGAAGCGGAATTTAATCAAACTAACAGTGAAATTATTGTAGAACATACGTTTATGTTATAATTAATAAACGAACTCGCTTATTGTACTATTTTAAGTAAAAAACTTTTTTTTATTATTTTTCACTTTTTTTTTTTATTTTACCTCTCTTATTTTTTTTTCAATACGGGCACTTATTGGTCAGACACCTGTTTATTTAATGTTACGTATATTTTACATAACAGATACAAAATTTTATTTTGAGTAGTTTTAATTTAAATTCAATTAATAAATATATAAATTAACATGTGTTTTTACTTTTACTAACACTAAACTTCACTTCAGTTAGACATTTACAGGAAATCAATATCAGGTAGGTAGGGGGTCTACTCAACACGGAAAAACATGGCAAGGGGTCTATGACACAAAAAAGTTCGGCGAACTCTGGCTTAAATAATGGCCGAATGTGGCCGGAGCCGATTAATCGGTCGGTCTTTACCTATGAATGTCTGTAGCAACAAGGAAAAACTCTTCGTTCAAGATCGGCAGGGTTATTAAAATGCCATCTTGTGCTCTTAGTAAAAATAATAGTAGGTTTATTGTCCAGCAGTGATCCTATTTATAGGGCAATTAAGTAATAATAACAAAGAAAAGGACAAAATCCAGCAGTGGTAAATAAATGATAGGTTAAGCCATCTGAAGTAATTTGTTAATGGAACATATAAGTATGTCACAATGACAGCTAATCGTGTTAAGGTGTTTACACCAACCTAACGTGGATAGGGGATTTAATTAAAATATTGTTTCTGGCTCATGACTATTGATCGACTATGGAAACCTTTACAAATGGTCACTTAATACGAGGGGCACGCTGTACATTTTGAGATGCGCATTAACTAAACTAGTTAAAACCCGCAAGAGTGCACTATTAGAAAGAGCGGTCCTTTATTAGTAAGTCGCCGCATTCAGTTCATTAGCAATCGTCCTACAGTGCACGTGGTGTAAACAAATTTAGGACGAAACATGGAGTTGTCTCGAGAGTTATCGCGCTATGATTTACTATGACTTTAAAGTCGGTTTAACTGAACATCAATGTATCGAACGCTTACGACAGGCATTTGCTAATGAAGCTCCGTCCCCGGCAAGTGTGTTTCGCTGGTATGCCGAATTTAAAAGAAGGCATGTTTCATTGGCTGATGGAAAACGAAGTGGTTGGCCATGAAGTGCAGAAAGCATTGCTAAAGTACAGCGGCCAATTGAAGAATATTATCGTTGCACATGTGCGACTATAGAGGCATTTCTTGGGGTAGGATCCGCAACAGTGCACTCCATTTGGCATGATCATCTTCATTCAGCATCACGGCAATGCCTCTAGCCACACTGGCCAACTATATAACTGTAGACTTTTTACGCCAACGCCACATCAAAATGCTAAAACATCCGCCTTATTCGGCAATGTGTGACTTGTGGCTCTTCAAGAATTTGAAAAAAATTGCGTGGTCGAAAATTTTCGTCCGAAGAAGAAATCGATCAAGCAATTAATCAGTTTGTTGAAGGTATTCCAAAAACTGACTGGTTAGAAGCATTTCATTTGTGCAAGGTCAGGCCACAAAAGTGCATTGATGCTGGAGGAGAATACTTTGGACATAAATAAACTAGTTTTCGAAAAATAGTTTTCAGTTTTCGTCTATCACAAAACATATAGCGTGGCCCTCGTATAATTAATATGTTTTGAGAACAAGTATCGAGTTTATTTGTTTTAAATAATCGAGGACAACTTTCGTACTACCTGGCATTATTTCTGCTTGAGGTAAAGGTATTAAAAATAGATGAGATTCTTGGTTCCACAGAATATCTTCATATTCCCTTAATTTGTTCATATAGAAAACAAAAACATACGAAAATATCACTTTTATTTCAATAAGTGTTCAAAATGTTGCCCGTTAGGGTTTGCCAAATCTACAATTCGTTTATAATTAAAAACTTAAACTACCAACACCAACACAGATATCCTGGACGAACTGTATTTATTGTTATACCTGTTGAGTTATTTGTTGCTAAGGGAAAGAAAGAATTTAATTTGCTGTCAGTTACCTTTGTGACAATCTTGGGATATTGAAAATTAATTTATTGATTCAGATTTTACTTCCAAAATGGTTTACACACTAGCCAAAAGAGTGGAAATGATTCTAACTTATGGTGCCCAAAATCAATGTGCTCGGCAAACTGCCATCACGTTTATCGCCAGACTTAAACTGGATCTGTTGCAAATAAAAAACGTGATCATAGGACAGTTTTGGATGAAGCCGCTCAAGTTGAAGTTTTGGGTCAATCCTAAAACTTCATTGAGCAAAATAGTTGCTGCGCCTGGTATTTCATTAGGCTCTGAACACACAGTCACTAAACTCCATAAGTTTCATCCATTCAAAATGAAAATATTGCAAGAGTTAACCGAAGATGATTTCGATAGGCGAGTTTTGTGAACAAACGACTGCAGCGATTAATGATAATACCATTCATGTAAAGAATATCTTCTTCAGTGATAAATGCACATTTTATCTAAATGGATTTGTTATAAGCATAATGCATATGTTGGAAAATACCATCAATTCGCTTATCGCTGAAACCATTGAAAACCAAAGAGGATGGAAACCCTATACAAGATGAGGCTGAAATATATTTCCAGAAAGACGGCGCTCATCCTGACTACGTTCTTCCGGTTCGGCAATGCTAGACGAGTTTCCAGATAAACGGATAGGGCGAAGATGGCATATAGAATGGCCTGCTGGATCTCCTGATCTGACGCCATTACACTTTTTTCTATGGGGCCATTTGAAATCTATTGTTTACGCCCCAACCTGGGAAGTTTGGATGAACTTCGTCACGCATCATCGAAAGCTGCAATCATATCGTCATTTGTGGCCGATAAACTTCATCATGTAGGCATTCGCAGATGTTTGAATCAATGGCTTGTTAGCTTTTTAGGGAATAGAACATTTTTATGTTACTGTCGCTGATAAAAAACCTGATGAATTTAATTTAGATTGGGCCGCAACGGCTTTGTTTTCAAGCTAGAGCATATTAGCACTAAAAGAAATGATTATATTGTTCTAAAAAATTATAAAAGAATTCAACGTATTTTATTTTAATTAAGTATGCCCTGTGGTGAATATCATAGGATTTACAGTTGTATTCAGACCCTCCATGTACGTAGATACGGATAATGTTATCCAGTATTTTTGGAAAAAATAGCATGACATTGATTTGTTTTGATCGCAATACTTTTAATATTTAAGCATTGTGCTTATCTGGACACGTATGACGTACCCGGAAACAATTGGATTAATTTATTTTCTCAAAAAATTCGTGGCCACTTTGAACTATTCGATATTTTCTATTGTTGTGGTTCTATTCGAATGTTACTGTTCAAAACTATTGACCTTCTGAATATTTTTTTTTACAAAAATATAGGATAACACTATTTCCATCCACGTTCATATTGAGCCTCAGCAACTGTTCAATAAATACGTTTCATTATTCATAGAAGTATTTGGAACATTACTCGTATTTCTTTAGTGAGCTTGAAAACAAAGCCGTTGCGGACCCATGTTCATATGGAAATTTCGTCTTCAAATTGACCAAGGATTTGATGGTTAAAGTTTGTCTACATACTTTATTAACACTCTGTCATATAAGCTTTTAACATATATTTTTCAGCACAGAAATGAGTATCTTAAGCATACTGACCTCCATGACTACAGCATCGTAATAAAAATAATATAGTTAGACCTGTCTTATCATACATTTCCTTCAAAATCTCGCATAACAGCAGGGATATGCATTTTTAAGTTATTATCTCCGAAGATCAAAAACGTAAACTCCATAGGGCTTTTCAAAAGACGTTTGCGGAACAAGCTATGGGTGTGCGCTTTTATGACCTGGGTGAATTTGTCACATTCCACAATGCTTCTGATAGATCTTCATAAATAATTTATTGCCATGTGTGTATGTATCATATTGCTATTTTGTATGTTTCTTTTGTTGTTTGTATTGTACTTCATTTTATCTATATTTTAAACTGTACATATACCGACTTAACCAATGTTTACAATGTAGATCTAATTGGATCAATAAGTGAATCTGAAGGTATACCATAGTTTAAAAATGATTTTTTCCAATTGTTGTTTTTAGTAAACATTTTCTTCTCACGCCTACTGGCGAGGAAGTATTGTAACCACGAAAAATTTCGAAAATTAGATATTTTTTCTTAGGTTACTACTATGCCAAAGGCAAAAAAATTTTAGGACACTTTTGGCAGCGGACAAAAGGGCCTAAAACGGGAAACTTTTTGAAGGGATTAAAAATTGGGGGTTGCAGGGGTGGGCGAGGGAGTATCTCGTTTTTTGACGTTTGTGTATTTATAAGCCTCCAACTTCAGTAATTCTACGCACCTAAAGTCTAATCATATTAGACGAAAATATCCTTGGTTTGCGAAATAATTGTAGTCTGGTTTTATTGCAGCAAGTTGTCCAAGGGAGTATTCAAAACATCGTCGCACGAAATGGGTACACCAATTTTTGTGGGAAAACTTTTTATTTGACAATAAAGAATGAGAAAACGTGTTTTTGGGATTCGATCGAAAGTATTGGCAGGAACGAATATGAGACCTACAAAATGAGACCACACGTAAAAAGATCCGACTAATAGCAAAAAAGTTATGGCCGAAAACCGAGGCAAACTGCAGGTTTTTGGCACTTACTGGTAAAGCAACGATGGTTTCTCGCAGATATTTGAAATTCGTACTTCTAAATAACCATAACAACATTGGAGTAGATTTATCAAGTAGTTTTTGAGAATTGCTAATTGTTCATCCCAAAACACCTGTTTTCTAGCCATCGCTACTAGTTTATTGGGCAATATTCAGGGTTAGTTCAAAGGGCATTTTATAGCAACATAAACTAGTTTACCCTGCCGATATGAATCGCAAACCATTCCGGAAGATAAATGTTATTTTTATGCAAAAAAAGATGGGTTACGTTTTTTCTTCTAAACAAATTCAAAAATTTCGTATTTGTGAGTAATTCGCAACAAAAGATGATGGAAACATCCGCTTTGTTTTAAAATGTGTATAGTAACGTATGTTTGTCGAATATCGTAGCGCATTCTTTCAATTACTCGCATTTATGAAATGTTTGAATTTGTTTAGAAGATAAAAACGCAACCTTTGTTTTTCGCATAAGAATAACATGTATCTTTCAGAATGATTTGTGATTCATATTGGCAAGGTAAACACGTGCATTTTGCTATTAAATGCTCTTTGAACGAATCCTGTATATTGCTCAATAAACTAGTAGTGATGGCCGGAAAGCACGTGTTTTGGGATAAACAATTAGAAATGCTCAAAAAACTACTTGACCAATATACTCCAATTTTGTTGTTGTTATTTAGAAGTATGAATCCTACGGATTTGACGATTTTCAAGTAGTTGCGTGAAATTATAGCCGCATTATCAACATGTGCCAAAACCTGCATTTTGCCTCGTTTTTCAGCTATTAGTCGGATCTTTTCACGTGTGGTGTCATTTTGTAGGTCTGATAAAAATCTAAGAATCTTAAATGAAAAGTTTTTTCGTGCCTGTCAACACTTTCGATTGAATAAAAAAAAACACGTTTTCTCATTCTTTGTTGTCAGATAAAAGGTTTTCCCACAAACATTGGTGTACCCATTTTATGCGTCCATGTTTTAAATACCCCCTTGAACAACTTGCACCAATAAAACCAGACATTACAATTATTTCGGGATATTTGCTAATATGATTAGACTACTATTGGAAATATTTCACTCATCATAGATGTCCCCCATACATTTACAGAAATACCTCCAACAGTGAGAGAGGAGCACAGAGTCAACATACTTGACACCATTTTTTTAGGGAGATCGCTTACTTTCTGGGCATAGCCCAAAACGGGCAATTATTGTCAAATTTGAAAATAGGTTTGCTAAATCCACTTTATTAGAACAGGTATCTTGTATACAAATATAACAAACCATAAAAAAAAGAATATGGTCAGATTAAAGTGGTTTTATTTATTATGATAAAGGCATAAATAAAATAATGAAATGCGCCTATTCCAGCTAGAAATACACTAGTATTGCTTTCTTAAATGAAAAAATGTTTCAATGTCTGGTAAAATTGATGATTTGTCTTAAATAGTGAAAATAGAAGTAATGTTTTTTGACTTCATTATTCATCATAATTCAAATTTTACTTAGGCAGCAGCGGTGGCCGCAGTAGTAGACTCTTCGGTCTCCTGATCAGTCGACGTGCGCTGTGCGGGTTCGAGTCCCGTCCCAGGAGAAATTTTTCTCTTGGCTATGGATGTTGTGATTGTCCGTAGGTGGTAGACGGTCTCTAACTGTCGAACGCGGAGGTACCACCCGGCGGATCTCGTAGGCGGAGCCAGAATGTGTGCATGTTGCATGCACACGTGTTCCCTCGCCAGAGTCCGTGTGGCGTCCCCCCTTTCCCATGTATCCCCCTATAGCCCCACAGTACCCAATGGGTGCTTAGGCCTGGCCTTCGTGGTAGTTGGAGTATAAAAAAAACTATTGATTAAAATACAACTTTATATATGGTATACATTGTACAACTTCAGTTCATATGAACAAAAAGGTAGATGTATTATAAATACATAAAAAATACATATAAACATAAAGAAAATTAAAATGAGTTACCAGTACATAATAAGTTTGATACCAAGCATTTTCAGTGAAAGAAGGAAATTATATATCCTTTAAATAATCAGCTAGGTACAATCTAACAAATTCGTCTTGTAAAAAAAATATACGAATAAAATACTACACTTTGGGTACGAATTGATACCCATCTTTAAATTATAAAATTAAAGTCCTTTTTCACGTAATACTACTTTACATAGAGCATCAACACATCCGTTTACATATCTTCCTCATATTTAATTTTTTTAACTTGATGTACACCGTCGGGTACGCGTTTCGTAGGCTTATTTGTCGCTTGTAGATCTGAAAAAAATCAAAAAACATGCTAAATATTTGGCTGAAAGAAACAAATTAACGTTTCCAGTGAAACAATGATCTGCACAAGGCGAAAACCTCACATATGCGAACAAGTGATCCGCCTTCAGTACAAGTTTGAACTATCTAGAGTCATTTTGGTTGTACGTAACGTTTTTTTAGAGACGGTTTTTCGTATTGTGTTCTAAAAATGAACGACATCAATTTTGAGTAACGGTGTGCTATCAGGTTTTGTTTCAGACTTGGGCACAGTGCAAAGGAAACTCTGAAACTCCTGCAACAACGTTAGCACGCCTACGGAGATGGTGTTTTGTCAAGAGGCCAGGTTTTTCGGTGGTTTAAGGCACTTTCATAAAGGAGAGAGTCGATTGGAGATGAATCACGAAGCAGAAGGGCTTCATCTTCAAGATCCAATAAAAATATCGAGAGAATCCGGGATCTTGTGCGTTCAGATCATCGGTTGACAGTCAGAATAATCGGGGAAGAGTTAAATTTGACTCACACCACCTTTCATAAGATGTGGCTGCTCAGACTCCTTATTCGCCCGACTTGAATCCTTGTGACTTTTTTCTCTTCCCGAAGTTGAAACGGCTGTAACCGACAAGCTGAAGGTTATTCCAGTGGAAGAAGTGTCTCCAGAGCTGAGTCACTTCAGAAAGAAGTCATTTTAAGGTTGACAATATAAAATTGTAATTATATTTGACTAGAAGAATTTTAAAAAATCAGTATCAACACTCAATTTTACAGACCTCGTACCTCTCAAGGGATGATTTTAAAAGATTATCTAACGTGTTTTTTAAGTTGCAGAACCCCAGAAGCTTGCTATTTTGAGAATTATCTTGTTGAAGCGTGTGAGCGATGACGTCACATGACACCAGCTACCATCGCTACCCCAGACCGATGCGTCCGCCACGCACGCTCCGCGACATTTTCAAACGTTGCTCTGCTCAGTATTTACGACTTACGGTAAAAATGGGTCAGACGATCGACTTACAAATACTGTACCTAGGTGTGCTAATACAAACATATTAGCGCCAGAAAAAAACAAGTTTACCTGTGGCAAAACAGAAAAATTAGAAGTGTAGGGTAACGAACAGGGACAGAGAATGACTGGTATATGAATAGGTGTGTGGCCACAGTAGACCAGTGAATCGTAGTGAAGTATCGTGATTGACCCACTGAAAAAAAACAACCTTTCCTTTTACTATGAGTATAGTGATGTTCTCTGAACATCCAATTTATCGAGTCACTTTTACTTTTGCTAACATATTGATTTTTGTCAGCCTTGACAAAAGTGATAAAATTTGACATACCTTGCAGCCACCTAACTTGAGTAGCAAGCCCATATCCCTTGTCATTCTTAGCTGCAATTCTGAAAATAATCGCCGCTTTCGTCGATGTGTCCAAGTGAGCTGCGGCAAGAGACGTAAAATTTACAACACACATATTGTTCGGACCACAGTAAACTCTTTCAAACGCGAACTGCCCAGGAGGATTCGTTTTGTCCTGAAATAAAAATACAATGATAACTAAAACGAATTAAATTTTACAGTTAAGGAAGTGTCAATTGCAAGACTGTCCAAGATAGCGATGGGCACCACCTTGGATTTTTTTTAATGGATTGGGGGATATGTTATAACTGATTTTGAAGCTCCTTATCAGTAGTTCTTAATCCTAGTGTATAAATTTACTATTTTTCAAAATGGCGGCCGAACGGACGGTCGCTTCTCTAGCTCAACCAATGATCAAAACGTAGTATCTTATTATTTTGGAATCAACCAATGATCAAAACGTTGTAGTATTTTATTATTTTGGAAGGGTCTACCTGAATGTACTATAGAATATGGGATACTCCTTTTAAAAAAGACTACCGATTTTGATGTTTTTCAAATAGAATGTTCAAAATTTTAGTCCAAGAAAATTGATATAACATGTTATATACAGTAGCGGACAAAAGCTTGGAAATAAATATTAACATTATTATGAACTATTTCATATACCTAAATTAGAATTGCGAAGGAACAGATAAAATAAATATTAAAGTCTACCTTTGGCTCCCGTACTAATACAAGGGTGTATCTTATCAACATTCAAATTCTCTGAAGATAAAAACACGCGTTTTTAAATACCACAGTCTTTATAACGACAAAAGTATGGAAACATTTCAGTTTTGCGGTATTTATTCGTTCTGCGTTACTCTGATTGCGTGCGGTAAATATTAACATCAGTGAATTGCCATTGGGCAAAAGTAAAATAATTTTCAAAAGATTTAAGAGACAAAGTGATTGAATTATTTAGAAGTTGTGTCAGAAATGTTGACATTTCTCAAAGATTAAAAATGAACAAAGGGACGATTTCGAAAATTATTAGTAAATATCAAGAATACAGGGTTTGTCCGGAAAGTAATAGGACTCATTTTCTTCCGCCATGACTGTACTTCGGAGCGTGCGCGCACCGACTGGATTCGGTAGAGGGCGTTCCTAGCTAACGAATGAGCGGCTGGTCAGTTGTCTCCGAGCACTTGGAGAGTCAGGACAGGCATTTTCGCGCGACGTGTTTCTGTGAGTGGTGCAAGCCGAAAATGCAGCGTTCGTTAGAGCAGAGGTACGCGATTAAATTCTGTGTGAAACTCGGTAAATATGCGACAGAGACGTTTGATATGATTAAGCAGGCTTACCCAGGTGTTGCTTTAGCGAGAAGTGGTGTGTTTCGGTGGCACCAGGCCTTTTTGGAGGGCCGGGAAGAGGTCGCTGATGAAGACTGTGCTGGAAGACCTTCGACTTCGACAAACACCGATAATGTGACTCGTGTGCGCAAAGTTTTGAACTCAGACCGTCGACTAAGTATTCGTTTAATTGCCTAGATGTTAAATTTACCAAAATATTTGGTTCATGAGATTGTGACACAGCATTTGAACATGCCCAAGGTGTGCGCGAAGATGGTCCCAAAAGTGCTCACTGACGACCAGAAATTGCGGCGAGTGGAAGTGTGCCAAGAAAATTTGAACATGTGTGAAAGTGACCCCCAATTTTTGAATAACGTAATCACAGGTGACGAGTCGTCGATCTTTGAGTATGATCCTGAGACAAAGAGGCAATCTTCCGAGTGGCACACGACGACGTCTCCTCGCCCAAAAAAGGAAAGAATGAGCAAATCCAAAGTGAAACGATGCTCATTGTCTTTTTTGACATCAAAGGCATCGTCCACCAAGAATTTGTTCCTCCTGGACAAACCGTCAACGCCAAGTTTTACGTGGAAGTGCTTAGGAGACTCAAACGAAGGGTCAGTAGTCGGGTCCGACAAGACAACGCAGCCGACTTGAAGTTGCACACCGCCTTTCTTGTGAACAGCTACCTGACCAAGGCCGACATCCCAACGCTTTCGCAGCCGCCCTACAGCCCAGATGTGGCCCCCTCCGGACTTTTTTTTTGTTTCCTCGCCTGAAAAGGCCGATGAAAGGCAAGCATTTTGAGACGACAGAGGGGATCCAAGCAGCATGCACCGCGGCTCTCAAGGCTATTCCGGAGAATTCCTTCCGTGACACCTTCAATGCTTGGAAATCGCGCTGGCAGCGCAGCATCGACGCAGAAGGAGCCTATTTTGAAAGTTTTTAAAGAATTGTAATGGGGTCAATAAATTTTTTTAAATCGACTCAGTCCTACTACTTTCCGGACAAACCCTGTACGGATCAACAGCAACGCGGCCCAGGTGTGGAAAACCAAAAAAAAACCGATTATGTTTTGGATCGCTACATTAAACGTTTGTCCCATGAAAATCCTCGAATCCACGCCAGATTTTTAAGGAATCGTAGAAGAGTGTGCCGAGAATCTTTATGTCAGAACAGTGAAGATGATTGGTGGATTTTGGGCTTTTTGGTAGGCGTCCATTTGTAAAAGTCTCTCATTTAAAAAAAATAATCGTATCGCTCGGCTTGAATTGGACTGGACAGAACAACAATGAAATACAATTTTATGGAGTGATGAAAGCAATTTTTTGGATGTGATTTTACGGCATATGTGAGACGTCCAATACGAAAAAGATTCGACATAGAGTATCAGTTGCCAACAGTTACGCATGGTGGAGACAACATCATGGTTTGGGACTGTTTGTCTAGTTCTGGAACGGGTTCCAATTGTTGAAATTGTTGGAAAAATGGATCAAAAACTTAACAAAGATATTCATAGTAAACACATGCTCCCTTTTGCTGAAGAAGAAATGCCTTTAGATGGACATTCCAGCAAGCTAATGACCTCAAGAATACCTCAAAATTCGTAACGGACTGGTTAAGACTAAAAAATGTTAATTTTCTTACGTGGCCTTCGCAATCCTCGGACCTAAACCATATAAAACAACACTGGGAGCATGTTAAAAGACAACCGACAAGAAAAACTTTTGAAAATAGGAACGATTTATTTGATTATGTAAATAATGTTTGGCAAAATATTCCAACAGACCTCTGTAAAAAATTGGTGTCTTCTATGAGTAATATTAGCTAAACAGTATTTTTTAAATCTTTTTGTAGGGTTACTGTAATAATTTTGTAACAAAAAATGTTTCCATACTTTTGTCGTCTCATTTTCGGTCATAAAATAATATGAAGGTATTCTAATGTTAGTCTGTAGTACCACGGCAAACACAAATTGCCATTTGTATCCTCAAGACTGTAAGCAAACTATATGAGAAAAAAATAGTCCATAATAAAGAATAAAAAATTAGCACTTTTTAAAAATTAGTAAGAATGTTTCCAAACTTTTGTCCGTTACTGTAGCGTTTTGATCATCAACAAGAGTTAGAAGCAAATGCAGAAAAACACTCAACTGGGTAGAGTACCAAATTTGTCTGACGCCTTGAATTCAATGAGTACGAGAGTACGTATAAATAAATACATACGTTAGAAAGAGATAGAAGCCGACTGGATAGCGAAGCTCATCACCGCATTGCTTAGCAACGCTGACGTGGCGATCTGCCGCGTTGCCGATATGTTATACCAGTTCCTGTAATCAAGATGCATGTTCAAAACATGCGTTAGTGTAATTTCTACGCCCAAATAATGCTTTTATTTTGAGCGTACATATTTTGAATTGTGTCGCATCTGTTCAGGATCGATTCCGGATCGGTCCCAGCGGCGCTCCATTTTAGGTCAAAATGAAAGGTCATCTCGTACATCCTAAGGCAATGTTTCCACCTCCATGATCATATATGAGCGATTTTGGTCAGTACCCATCAAGCGCTCATTGGAGAGTGTCGTCCTAAGTCGTATCAAAATTAAAATAAATAATTCTAATCAAAATGAAAACAAAATATTACATTAAATGTCCAAACAGACCTAACACCTATTGTAGAAGTCTGTATACACATTTTCTGGTGTAACATATTGGCAACACGGCAGGTTGCACGACCTTCTGCGTCATCGTTGCTGGGCGATGACGTGATGACATTCGCTCTTCAGCCGGCTTCTACCTCTCTCTAACATGTGCTGATAAAGACTTCTCGCGCTTCCCTCTCGTACACATTTCGAACACAAGCCGTCAGACAAAATTGGTTTTCCCTGTATACGAAGGTCACGCTGTATATTTTGAGATGCGCATTAACTATACTAGTTAAAACCGGCAATAGTGCACTATTAAAAAGAACACTCCTTTATTAGTAAGTCGCCGCATTCAGTGCATTTGCAAGCGTCTTACAGAGCACGTGGTGTAAACAAATTTAACACGAAACATGGAGTTGTCTCGAGGGAGTTATCGCGCTACCATTTACTATGACTTTAAAGTCGGTTTAACTGAACATCAACCAATCGAACGGTTACAACAGGCATTTGGTAATGAAGCTCCGTCCCGGACAAGTGTGTTTCGCTGGTATGGCGAATTTAAAAGAGGGCAGGTTTCATTGGCTGATGAAGAACGTAGTGGTAGGCCATGTTCTAGTGTGACTCCAGAAAACATTGCTAAAGTTCAGCGACTAATTGAAAAAGATTCTCGCTGCAACAGTGCAAACCATTTTGCATTATCATCTATATTCAAAAAAGTTGTTGCAATGGTGCAATCATGTATCACGACAATGCCTCTAGCCACACTGCCCAATTAACGAGACTTTTTACGCCAGCGCCACATCAAAATACTAGAACATCCGCCTTATTCGTCAGATTAGGAAATGTGTGACTTCTGGCTCTTCAACAAGTTGAACAAAAATCTTCGTGGTCGAAAATTTTCGTCCGAAGAGGAAATCGATCAAGCAATGAATCAGTTTGTTGAACGCATTCCAAAAAACTGACTGGTAAGCAGTATTTAATTTATGGTAGGCCAGGCTACAGAAATTCATTGATACTGGAGGAGAATACTTTGAACGTAAATAAACTAGTTTTCAAAAAATAGTTTTTAGTTTTCGTGTATCTCAAAATATATGGCGTGGCCCTCGTATGTGGTCAGACAAACATGGGTTATTTACCTTTCCTCTGACTGCTAGAAAAACAGAATATTCAAGAATTTCACCCTGGTTGGTGCTTGCAGGTTCCCATGACAGATGTGCACCATCTGCTGATTTTTCTATTTTGATTGCTGATGGGGCACCGGGGAATCCAGGCAGACCAGTTCTGAATGCAGAAACCTGTAAAAATGATAGCAATTATAATAAATAGGTAAAAGAATGTCTATACAGAGGGTCCCAGAATAAGACTGCAATCCCTCAGATGCATGTAGAAAACAAAAGATGAAGCTTCCAAGTTCATATAAAAAATGTTACATGTCAAAAAAAGAAACGACATACTGTCACTTTTCAAGTTACGTAATACCCGCAGGGTCGTGAATGTAGCGGTGTTGGGACACAGCATACGAGGGATGTCTTTTAAGTTTTGCATATGGAAACAAAACAACATGGTAGGTAGTTTCAAATGACTTTATTGTTTTTCGAAGTATTCTCCACGAAGATTGATACACATCTGCATGCGCTCGAACCAATTTTCGAAGCACTTATTCCACTCGTTTGCTGGCAGAACCAAAACGGCATGCGTTAACTGCTTCTTCTGGTGACTGGAACCTTTGACCACGCAGTCTGTTTTTAATTTTCGGGAAAATAAATCGTTAGGACTTAGATCGGGAATATATGAAGGATGGTCCAATAATTCCACATTTTCTTCCGTTAAATACCGTCTTGTTTTTTGGGCTGTGTACGAGCTTGCATTGTCTTGACACAAATGTCGCGACCATCTTTTTCGAAACACTTCGAGAACGGATGACTTTTGTTGGCTTTTCTTCACCTTGGAACACCCAACAGCCGTTTATTTTCTGGTTCATAACAGTATATCCACGATTCATCACCACTAACAATGCTGTACACATTTTTTGAGTTTCCGGAATTGAAACGGTCAAGCGTTTTTTGACACCCCTGGCTGCTTTCTGCTCATCAGTCAACAGGTGGGGTATCCAACGAGAAACTAATTTTCTTACTCCTAATTCTTCATGTAAAATTTTTTGGATTGAGGTCTTTGAGATCTTCAAGGACGCCTCAATCTCGCGATATGTCACATGTCTATCTTCAATGATGAGATTGCGCACAGCATCGACGTTTTCCTGGGTGACTACCGTTTTTGGTGCCACACTGGGATCCTCGCTAAGACTCACCTGTCCACGTTTGAATTCTCCATACCAACGGGAAATTGTCGACTGATGTGGCGCTTCGTTGCCGAAAACAGACAGTAACTCAGCAAGGCATTCTTGTTGCGATGATTGTCTCTGAAAGTTGTAATAAATTATAGCGCGAAAATGTTCTCGGTTGAGTTCCATTTTTCTAATGACTTGGTGACACTTTAAAATTCACTGTAGTGAGAACACTGCACTGTATTGTTGTGAAACTTTGAATTTAAGTTTACTAAAGAGTGAGGTTAAGATTCAGAACTGACGTTCGATCCGCGCGGCCTACTATGTTTCTATATACAAAACTTAAAAGACATCCCTCGTATAGTTCAAGTAAAAAATGAGGAAATTATCCCGAAGCCTTAAGGCACCAGATATTAAATTCGTGTGAATAAGTAAGCCAGACCCTGAGTCCAGCGTGAAAAGGTGGCACGTTCGTCAGTACCCAAATTAGGAGCCGCGCGGTTTGTAAGTCAACCGAACTGTTTATTTACAAATTGAATTTGAAAAACTGACATTGGCACACTCCTATAGCACTAACGACATTACTGATTTGATGTTAGTTTACAGAGTCTTCAAGATGCTACCAATACTTTGCAAGTGTATTCAGATCGTTTCCCTGGATGTTTTCATCCCGAGCCGTGCAGGTTTGTATATATCGTACAAAGGCCATTTGTACGTAAGTAGACACAAAAGAAGACCTAGACAGTTCTGAATGTTGCTATGTATCAAAGAAATCAACAAACTTGTGTTTTTGAATAGAACAATGTTTTCAAACGGTATTTACGAGCAGCATGTAATTACTGGAACTGGTTTATTCAAACCTTGTTCGCGATAGCAGCTTATTAGAGGCCGTTCAGCATCGTGCTACACGTATGCCTTATGGCACACGTAAGCCAAGTTATGAAGACCGCCTCGAGTTATATAACCTGCCTGCTTTTGCTGATAGAAGAATGCGAGGAGATCGCATCATCACCTTCAGAGCACTGCATAATTTGTTTGGTGTGCACATGTCGCATCTGTTCCTTCTGGCAACGAACAATCTCAGAGGCCATAACTTCAAATTGCAGAAGGAAGCTTTTAGAACCTGTACTCGTCAGCGCTTTATCTCAAACCGTATCTTCGATGCATGGAATAGTCTTCCATCTTATGTAGTGAACTCGGCATCCGTCAACAGTTTCAAAAACAATTATGATATTCACCACAGTGTTCAACATATTGTTCCCATTCTGTATGTGTCTACTTCAGAAGTGCTAAGATTGTCAAACTGTTATATTTCTTTTGTCTGTACACTATTATCTATTATGTGTTTGAGTTTATAGTACTTGTAGTCAACTCTAATTTTTTGTTTAATAATTATAATAATTAGTTACCAGGAGATAAGCATGTGGAATATTAAGTGTTTGTACAACAGGAAGTTAAAGAGTAACACTGAATAATCAATGATTCTAAGGCTATGGTCGAAACATGCATGGCCGCAACAAAGCCTTGTCTATAATGAATAAAAAGATGTTTACCTCACTCCATTCGCCTCTGCCCACAGAATTGATGGCTACCACTCGGAACTTGTATGTCGTACCCGGTTCCAAATTCATTTTGGGATAGTGTGAAAGGTCTGGTAAGTTGTTAATTGTCAAATCGGCAATGTCGCCTTCTAACAAGAAATAATTATTGACGTCAAAACTGTTGCCCTTGACAAACCCAACTGTATACCAGGTGTCCTTCGCTGGCTGTTCCGAGTCGGTCGGCTCAGTCTTCTTGTACTCTTTTGAATGGTCCAAAGCAGCGGGTGCTAACGCTGTCAAAGGATCGTCGCTGACACTATCTGAAAAATAAAGGTCAACATCACACTATCTACCAGGATATTTCAACGTCAAAATACAAGTACAAGTGACATCTATTACTAGAATCGAGCACAGGAAAATTAATAGCATATGTGTACTGGAACTGTAAAGTCTCTCGGTTCACATCAACAAATGAGCCATCACTATGACCGCGTGATTCCGCCGATTCTGGCTATATAGTAGATAATAGTCTACTTAACCTCAGCAGGGCATTCGACTTTGTGAATCACCAGAAACTGTTGCAAAAATTGTCTGCGTATGGCGTAAACAGTGACTCATATACATAGATGGAAATATATCTGCTGTTTCCTTACCATCTTTCTGCTCATCCAAAGAACTCTCCCCAGTTTGTTGACTATCTCCAGTGAATGAACTATCAAACTCACTATCAGGTTCCATCTTCACGCTACTATCATCAAGGTCTACCTCCTCTTGTTTGATTTCGTCAAGTTCAGTGACCTTCTTCAGTATATGACCCCTTTTTCCAGGGGACACTTGTTTCGCGGATCTTCCCGGTGTCTCTGTAACATTGACAAAACTCAACTGTTGGCAGATAATTCCTGGATTGTACGGATTGCACTCGCTGTACGTAGTACGGGTGGAGGTCGTTCTTTCGCAAAATCCGGTGGGCAGTACTTTTGGGCAATCCCGTGCTTGCTTCTATTTGACGTACCAAAGTTTGGACCTTCAAAATGCAGTCGCTGAAAAGCTTCTCCTTCAACAATAGAATATGGTAACATATCAACAATAATGAGGTCCATAATCGATTTGTCAATACGGGACGATACCGGGTGATCATCGGCCCATAATGCAGGCGACTTGCGTTCTATTATTTCTTGTAAAGTAGGCTGGTTTGAGTGGTTTGTCCTGGATCTTATTCCCGTAGCGTCATGCGGAGTCAGATTGGATTTTTTGTAGACATTTTCTAAAATCTTTCGGTTTAGTAAAATAAAAATAGATATAAGACGTTGCCAACTTACCACACGAACTACTATAAACACAAGTAATTGATGATTGACATTAGTTATCTATTCTACTTAATTACAATTAGCGAAGAGCGACAAGATTAGGCGCCGAATTCTCTTACGTTAACAAGTACCAACCAAATACTGTGAGTATTTCCCGAACGTACATGGATCGTTGCCGTCGCCGAGCACATCGCGGGGGTGGAGGGGAATTACCGTAGCTCGTTCAGATTCGCTACGCGCCGACGGTCGACGAATTCACTTTCGCCTTCGGCTAAAACTTCGGCCTCATTTTGGCCGAAGCCGACTTTTAGCCGAAGGCTTAAACTTAAATAATGGCCGAATGTGGCCGGAGCCGATTAATCGGTCGGTCTTTACCTATGAATGTGTGTAGCAACAAGGAAAAACTCTTCGTTCAAGATCGGCAGGGTTATTACGTAGAAAATCTATATGAGAAAAAAATCATTAAAATGTCATCTTGTGCTCTTAATAAAAATAATAGTAGGTTTATTGTCCAGCAATGATCCTATTTATAGGGAAAAATAAAGGTCAACATCACACTATCTACCAGGATATTTCAACGTCAAAATACAAGTACAAGTGACATCTATTACTAGAATCGAGCACAGGAAAATTAATAGCATATGTGTACTGGAACTGTAAAGTATCTCGGTTCACATCAACAAATGAGCCATCACTATGACCGCGTGATTCCGTCGATTCTGGCTATATAGTAGATAATAGTCTACTTAACCTCAGCAGGGCATTCGACTTTGTGAATCACCAGAAACTGTTGCAAAAATTGTCTGCGTATGGCGTAAACAGTGACTCATATACATAGATGGAAATATATCTGCTGTTTCCTTACCATCTTTCTGCTCATCCAAAGAACTCTCCCCAGTTTGTTGACTATCTCCAGTGAATGAACTATCAAACTCACTATCAGGTTCCATCTTCACGCTACTATCATCAAGGTCTGCCTCCTCTTGTTTGATTTCGTCAAGTTCAGTGACCTTCTTCAGTATATGACCCCTTTTTCCAGGGGACACTCGTTTCGCGGATCTTCCCGGTGTCTCTGTAACATTGACAAAACTCAACTGTTGGCAGATAATTCCTGGATTGTACGGATTGCACTCGCTGTACGTAGTACGGGTGGAGCTCGTTCTTTCGCAAAATCCGGTGGGCAGTACTTTTGGGCAATCCCGTGCTTGCTTCTATTTGACCAAAGTTTGGACCTTCAAAATGCAGTCGCTGAAAAGCTTCTCCTTCAACAATAGAATATGGTAACATATCAACAATAATGAGGTCCATAATCGATTTGTCAATACGGGACGATACCGGGTGATCATCGGCCCATAATGCAGGCGACTTGCGTTCTATTATTTCTTGTAAAGTAGGCTGGTTTGAGTGGTTTGTCCTGGATCTTATTCCCGTAGCGTCATGCGGAGTCAGATTGGATTTTTTGTAGACATTTTCTAAAATCTTTCGGTTTAGTAAAATAAAAATAGATATAAGACGTTGCCAACTTACCACACGAACTACTATAAACACAATTAATTGATGATTGACATTAGTTATCTATTCTACTTAATTACAATTAGCGAAGAGCGACAAGATTAGGCGCCGAATTCTCTTACGTTAACAAGTACCAACCAAATACTGTGAGTATTTCCCGAACGTACATGGATCATTGCCGTCGCCGAGCACATCGCGGGGGTGGAGGGGAATTACCGTAGCTCGTTCAGATTCGCTACGCGCCGACGGTCGACGAATTCACTTTCGCCTTCGGCTAAAACTTCGGCCTCATTTTGGCCGAAGCCGACTTTTAGCCGAAGGCTTAAACTTAAATAATGGCCGAATGTGGCCGGAGCCGATTAATCGGTCGGTCTTTACCTATGAATGTCTGTAGCAACAAGGAAAAACTCTTCGTTCAAGATCGGCAGGGTTATTACGTAGAAAATCTATATGAGAAAAAAATCATTAAAATGTCATCTTGTGCTCTTAATAAAAATAATAGTAGGTTTATTGTCCAGCAATGATCCTATTTATAGGGCAATTAAGTAATAATAACAAAGAAAAGGACAAAATCCAGCAGTGGTAAATAAATGATAGGTTAAGCCATCTAAAGTAATTTGTTAATGGAACATATAATTATGTCACAATGACAGCTAATCGTGTTAAGGAGTTTACACCAACCTAACGTGGATAGGGGATTTAATTAAAATATTATTTCTGGCTCGTGACTATTGATCGAATATGGAAACCTTTACAAATGGTCACTTAATACGAGGGGCACGCTGTACATTTTGAGATGCGCATTAACTAAACTAGTTAAAACCCGCACGAGTGCACTATTAGAAAGAGCGGTCCTTTATTAGTAAGTCGCCGCATTCAGTTCATTTGCAATCGTCCTACAGTGCACGTGGTGTAAACAAATTTAGGACGAAACATGGAGTTGTCTCGAGAGTTATCGCGCTATGATTTACTATGACTTTAAAGTCGGTTTAACTGAACATCAATGTATCGAACGCTTACGACAGGCATTTGCTAATGAAGCTCGGTCCCGGGCAAGTGTGTTTCGCTGGTATGCCGAATTTAAAAGAAAGCATGTTTCATTGGCTGATGGAGAACGTAGTGGTTGGCTATGTAGCGCGACTCCAGAAGTTCAGCGGCTAAGTGAAGAATATTCTCGTTGCACATGTGCGACTATAGAGGCAACTCTTGGGGTAGGATCCGCAACAGTGCACTCCATTTGGCATGATCATCTTCATTCAGCATCACGGCAATGCCTCTAGCCACACTGGCCAACTAACTGTAGACTTTCTACGCCAGCGCCACATCAAAATGCTAAAACATCCGCCTTATTCGGCAATGTGTGACTTCTGGCTCTTCAAGAATTTGAAAAAAATTGCGTGGTCGAAAATTTTCGTCCGAAGAAGAAATCGATCAAGCAATTAATCAGTTTGTTGAAGGTATTCCAAAAACTGACTGGTTAGAAGCATTTCATTTGTGGAAGGTCAGGCCACAAAAGTGCATTGATGCTGGAGGAGAATACTTTGGACATAAATAAACTAGTTTTCGAAACATAGTTTTCAGTTTTCGTCTATCTCAAAACATATAGCGTGGCCCTCGTATAATTAATATGTTTTGAGAACAAGTATCGAGTTTATTTGTTTTAAATAATCGAGGACAACTTTCGTACTACCTGGCATTATTTCTGCTTGAGGTAAAGGTATTAAAAATAGATGAGATTCTTGGTTTCACAGAATATGTTCATATTCCCTTAATTTGTTCATATAGAAAACAATAACACACGAAAATATCACTTTTATTACAATAAGTGTTCAAAATGTTGCCCGTTAGGGTTTGCCAAATCTACAATTCGTTTATAATTAAAAACTTAAACTACCAACTATACAACAATTCGGAAGACTATACGTGGCAACAACCAAATAACGACCCGATTTGTTATAAGCATAATGCAGGTATTGAAGCAATGAAAATCCTTATGGTTTTTTAGAAAGGCATACCCAATACCCCCAAAAAAATTAATGTATGGGCAGGCATTTTAGGAAACAAAGTGATTGAGCCATTGTTTATTAATGGAAATTTGAATAGACATTTATTAGGATATGTTAGAAAATACCATCAATTCGCTTATCGCTGAAACCATTGAAGACCAAAGAGGATGGAAACCCTATACTTGATGAGGCTGAAATATACTAAGTGACATATAAATCCGAACACCCAGTTTACATGGTTTTATTTTAATAAAATTTTGTATAAGTACTTAATGAAGCATAATAAGTAAATGATAAAAATTTCAAAATGATTGCACTGCTTTAAAGCCCTTTGACCTTTAATAATGTGTGGATGCACCCTGATGTGCTACGCATTCTCCAACGCGCCTAGGCATGCTTCTGATCAGGTGGTCAATGTCCTCCTGTGGTATCTCATTCCAGGCAACCACTAACTCCTCTCGAAGTACTTCTAGAGTCTGAGGACGTTGCAAATTGAGCAATCTCCTACCCATCATATCCCACACGTGCTCAATTGGGGATAAGTCGGGAGATCTTGGTGGCCATGGTAACAATGTGACATCATTATGTTGAAAGAAGTCTATTGTGACTCTTGCAACATGTGGTCGGGCATTATCTTGTTGGAAAGTTGGATCTGCCAGGGTGTCAAGATAGGGTTCTAGAACTTCGTGGATATAACGCTGCGCGTTCATGTTACCTCTGATGAAGATTAAAGGTGACCTGGAACCATAAGCTATAGCACCCCAAACCATAACTCCAACAGTGTGATGAACATGTCTTTCAACAAAAAACTGTGGATTCCTCCTTTCACCACGTCGCCTTCTAACCCTGGCACGACCATCGTGCATGCCTAAACAAAATCGAGACTCGTCACTAAAGACAATACTGTTCCATTCCTGATCCCAGAGTGACCGTTGTCTGCACCACTCAAGGCGATTACGTCGGTGTTCTAGAGTTAAAGGGAGGACCCAGTGTGGCCGGTATGAAAACAAGCCAAAACTTCTCATTCGTCGGTAAACACTTCGTATGCCAATAGGCCTTCCGTCTTATGCAAACCATTCATTTGCAATGGACCTGGTAGTGGAGAAACGGTCCCTTAAGGCCAATAATCTTAGGCGGCGATCTTCACGGTCTGTTGTTCTACGGCGGCGTCCAGTGCCCCTTGCTCTTTGCGTACGGCCTTCTCGAAGCCATGCCTGACAACACCTAACCACAGTGTCTACACTTCTTTGCACTTTAACTGCAATTGCCCGAAAAGAAAGTCCAGCTTCCCGAAGTCCCACTATACGGCCCCTATCAAACTCACTAAGTTGACGAAATCGTACAGGTCTCCGTACTCTAGGCATCGTAACCGATCGTAAAGGATGTCAAGAACCAAAATCCGCCAACGTTGATTCTTTACTGCGGCTGAAATATTCATTTTTAGAGCGTTAGTGAATTGAAAAAAAAGCAGTATAAAAACCGGAATGTCCAACTGATAAGGCTGAAAATTTTTTCACTTGTTATTTATAGTAAGATAAATACATTCACCAACTTTTAATAAAATAAACCCATTTAAACTGGGTGTTCGGATTTATATGTCACTTAGTATATATTTCCAGAAAGACGGCGCTCATCCTGACTACGTTCTTCCGGTTCGGCAATGCTAGACGACGAGTTTTCAGATAAACGGATAGGGCGAAGAGGGCATATAGAATGGCTTGCTGGATCTCCTGATCTGACGCCATTAGAGTTTTTTCTATGGGGCCATTTGAAATCTATTGTTTACTCCCCAACCTGGGAAGTTTGGATGAACTTCGTCACGCATCATCGAAAGCTGCAATCATATCGTCATTTGTGGCCGATAAACTTCATCATGTAGACATTCGCAGATGTTTGAATCAATGGCTAGTTAGCTTTTTAGGGAATAGAACATTTTTATGTTACTGTCGCTGATAAAAAAACCTGATGAATTTAATTTAGATTGGGCCGCAACGGCTTTGTTTTCAAGCTAGAGCATATTAGCACTAAAAGAAATGATGATATTGTTCTAAAAAATTATAAAAGAATTGAACGTATTTTATTTTAATTAAGTATGCCCTGTGGTGAATATCATAGGATTTACAGTTGTTTTCAGACCCTCCATGTACGTAGATACGGATAATGTTATCCAGTATTTTTGGAAAAAATAGCATGACATTGATTTGTTTTGATCGCAATACTTTTAATATTTAAGCATTGTGCTTATCTGGACACCTATGACGTACCCGAAAACAATTGGATTAATTTATTTTCTCAAAAAATTCGTGGCCACTTTAAAGATTTATTGTAAAAAAACTATTCGATATTTTCTATTGTTGTGGTTCTATTCGAATGTTACTGTTCAAAACTATTGACCTTCTGAATATTTTTTTTACAAAAATATAGGATAACACTATTTTCATCCACGTTCATATTGAGCCTCAGCAACTGTTCAATAAATACGTTTCATTATTCATAAAAGTATTTGGAACATTACTCGTATTTCTTTAGTGACAGTGCTCTAGCTTGAAAACAAAGCCGTTGCGGACCCATGTTCATATGGAAATTTCGTCTTCAAATTGACCAAGGATTCGATGGTTAAAGCTTGGCTACATACTTTATTAACACCCTGTATATCTTTATAAACTTTTAACATATATTTTTCAGCACAGAAATGAGTATCTTAAGCATACTGACCTCCATGACTACAGCGTCGTAATAAAAATAATATAGTTAGACCTGTCTTATCATAAAGGGATTAAAAATTGGGGGTTGCAGGGGTGGGCGAGGGAGTATCTCGTTTTTTGACGTTTGTGTATTTATAAGCCTCCAACTTCAGTAATTCTACGCACCTAAAGTCTAATCATATTAGACGAAAATACCCTTGGTTTGCGAAATAATTGTAGTCTGGTTTTATTGCAGCAAATTGTCCAAGGGAGTATTCAAAACATTGTCGCACGAAATGGGTACACCAATTTTTGTGGGAAAACTTTTTATTTGACAATAAAGAATGAGAAAACGTGTTTTTGGGATTCGATCGAAAGTATTGGCAGGAACGAATATGAGACCTACAAAATGAGACCACACGTAAAAAGATCCGACTAATAGCAAAAAAGTTATGGCCGAAAACCGAGGCAAACTGCAGGTTTTGGCACTTACTGGTAAAGCAACGATGGTTTCTCGCAGATATTTGAAATTCGTACTTCTAAATAACCATAACAACATTGGAGTAGATTTATCAAGTAGTTTTTGAGAATTGCTAATTGTTCATCCCAAAACACCTGTTTTCTAGCCATCGCTACTAGTTTATTGGGCAATATTCAGGGTTAGTTCAAAGGGCATTTTATAGCAACATAAACTAGTTTACCCTGCCGATATAAATCGCAAACCATTCCGATAAGATAAATGTTATCTTTATGCAAAAAAAGATGGGTTACGTTTTTTTTCTAAACAAATTCAAAAATTTCGTATTTGTGAGTAATTCGCAACAAAAGATGATGGACACATCCGCTTTTTTAAGATGTGTATAGTAACGTATGTTTGTCGAATATCGTAGCGCATTTTTTCAATTACTCGCAAATATGAAATGTTTGAATTTGTTTAGAAGAAAAAAACGTAACCTTTGTTTTTCGCATAAGAATAACATTTATCTTTCGGAATGATTTGTGATTCATATTGGCAAGGTAAACACGTGTATTTTGCTATTAAATGCTCTTTGAACGAATCCTGTATATTGCTCAATAAACTAGTAGTGATGGCCGGAAAGCACGGGTTTTGGGATAAACAATTAGAAATGCTCAAAAAACTACTTGACCAATATACTCCAATTTTGATGTTATTTAGAAGTATGAATCCTACGGATTTGACGAATTTCAAGTAGTTGCGTGAAATTATAGCCGCATTATCAACAAGTGCCAAAACCTGCATTTTGCCTCGTTTTTCAGCTATTAGTCGGATCTTTTCACGTGTGGTCTCATTTTGTAGGTCTGATAAAAATCTAAGAATCTTACATGAAAAGGTTTTTCGTGCCTGTCAACACTTTCGATTGAATAAAAAAAACACGTTTTCTCATTCTTTGTTGTCAGATAAAAGGTTTTCCCACAAACATTGGTGTACCCATTTTATGCGTCCATATTTTAAATACCCCCTTGAACAACTTGCACCAATAAAACCAGACATTACAATTATTTCGGGATATTTGCTAATATGATTAGACTACTATTGGAAATATTTCACTCATCACAGATGTCCGCCATACATTTACAGAAATACCTCCAACAGTGAGAGAGGAGCACAGAGTCAACTTACTTGACACCATTTTTTTAGGCAATTATTGTCAAATTTGAAAATAGGTTTGCTAAATCCACTTTATTAGAGCAGGTATTTTGTACACAAATATAACAAACCATAAAAAAAGAATATGGTCAGATTAAAGTGGTTTTATTTATTATGATAAAGGCATAAATAAAATTATGAAATGCGCCTATTCCAGCTATGAAATACACTAGTATTGCTTTCTTAAATGAAAAAATGTTTCAATGTCCGGTAAAATTGATGATTTGTCTTAAATAGTAAAAATAGAAGTAACGCTTTTTAACTTCATTATTAATCATAATTTAAATTTTACTATTGATTAAAATACAACTTTATATATATACATTGTACAACTTCAGCTCATATGAACAAAAAGGTAGATCAATACAACAAATTAATTAACCTTAAAAAGTATATATAATAAAAAACGGACCAAAGTTAAACACTATATTATAGAAAATAGTACAATAAAAACGTCATACTATCGGATACAAAATAGAAGTTTTAACCAAGAACAGCAATGACATTCATTTTGCTTGTGTGTAACTGTAATATAGAAACTGCGTGAAATATACAGTACCGGTTACACAAACGATGGCAAAATATTTCAGTATCTACGACACCGATAGGAATTTTGTTTAAATCAAGTAACCACCACTGTAAATCGTATTCATTCAAAAATTACTTGGGATATAGCACTTCCTTCTGGGGTTCCTTTTCCCATGAAAATTACAATAGTTACAAATATTGGGTCAAAACCAATCAATGTTTAGAAGAAATACAATTCAATTAACACGTTCACTGCCACCAACGCGGCTCCCGCGTTCTTATGTTCTTGACCATGTGCCAGGCACGCGGCTCCCGCGTGCTGTATCTGTGGTGATATATACGGCTGGAATTTTGTCGGCATACCGCACAATCAGTTTATTTCAGGCAGGCATATAGTAAACAGGTGTATAGTTGTGAAAATAAGAATTGGTTTGCGTTTTGCTCTATTTCGTTTCTGCTGGCCTATATTTATTGTCTGAAGTGAATATACCGGGTAAGACGTGTTTAAATACTTATATTTTTTTCAATTTTGTTGGTAATTAAAATGTAGTTATAGTGTCAGTAGTTTTATTATTCATTGTAATGAGCTTTTTTTATACAGTACAACGCGGCTACCGCGTTGACGGCATATGGCATAATTTTTGTTGCTTAGTGTTTCGATATTGATTTCGGTCAGAAGTAGGTATTATTTTATGTAAATAATTACTTAAAACTATTTTTTTATAAAAAAGGGAAAATGTCACTTATTTTTACATTTTTTTTGCAGATTGGTTTCTAAATAAAACAATTCACAGAAAGAGTGAACATGGACAATGAAAATTGTGAAGCGGGTCCTTCTCAGCCCAAAGCAAAGAGGGCTAAGAAAACGCATTCTTTTCCTCTGTCAGATGCCGAATTATTGAAGTTATTAGAAGAGTCCGACGATGAATTAGAACTGTTAGCAGATGAAACGGATTCAGATTCCTCTGATGAGAATGAAATACTTTCCAAGACACCTGAGCAAGCCCATATTCCCGATTTACCCACTGCTTCTCCATCTCCTACTCCACATTCTCCGGCTGCATCGCCCATTTCAGATCTGCCTTCTGCACCACCTTCTCCACAGCAGCTTCTAAACCTTCCAGCGGACCCTTCTTCATCTGTTCGAACATGGCTAACAGATTCGCCCAATGTTGCAAGGATCCCATTTACAGGAGCTCCAGGATTAAAAGTCTTGTTAGATGGTCATAGTCCTATAGATTACTTCAATTTGCTAGCCGATGATGGTTTTTATGATTTAATTCTTGAAAGCTCTAATAATTATGCAGTTGAAATACTAGCACAAAGTACCGGGGACCAAAGCAGGATAAATTCATGGAGAGACATTACCTTTTTCCCATGAAAATTACAAAAGTTACAAATACTGGGTTCAATCAACCAATCAATGTTTAGAAGAAATACAATTCAATTCTAAAACATAGATGATGTAAACATTTAGATTAGAGAATTTACTCGAAAGGACAAAGGCCCTTAAGCTAGTTTTCAGACCTGACAGCTCATATTTCAAGATGATTATACAGGGTGTCCGCAAAGTTGGGGTTTTCCTTTACACGACGTGTAGATCTTGAAAACATAAGCAATTTTTCTTAGTACCATATACACCAATGTCTTAAGGGAACCGAGATAAAGGGCTCTGCAACATCAAAAATATCTGAATACCGTCCTGTAGCCGCGACATCCCCGACTGGTACTAGGACACTAGCTCAACCCGACGACAGAACTGGGTCGGGGCCAGTGTGTCAGGTCAGTATGCAACCTTCAACCGACGGTTACGGTCACGCGTCTAGAGGTAATCGCGTAGACGAGAATCCCTCAACAAGCACTAGAGACGTGGCTAGAGAAGTGGCAAGTATCAAAAACTGAAGTGTGGCAAACGCTGCGTGAAGAGGGGCTGTATCCGTTTCACGTCCAACGTGTACAAGCCCTTCAACCTGACGATTTTCCAGCAAGAGTGCGGTTTTGTGAGTGGTTGTTGCATCAACATGACAATAATCCGGACTTTTTGAAGTGCATATTGGTGACAGACGAATCTACGTTCACGCGTAATGGGGTGAATAACTTTCGCAACACTCATGTTTGGTCAGTAGAAAATCCGCACGCTGTCCGTCGGGCACATTTTCAACAAACATTTTCGGTGAATGTTCGGGCTGGCATGGTTTATTCTCCCAAATCGATTGGACGGGATGCAATACCTAGACTTTTTACGCAACATTTTGCCTTCCTTGTTTGCCTGCGTCTGCTCGGTAGCGCATCAGCTGATTTCATTTTCTGTTGGAGCGGTATGATTTCGGGCAGAGACGTACTTAGCCCTTCTCGTCAACTGGAGAGTGAGTACTTTTTCCTTTATTTTTTTTTACTTGGTCGCCCTCGTTTCACTACACATCACCCCAACTTTGCGGACACCCTGTATTGACGGTATACAGTTTTTTCATTTATTTCGGAACCACCGAGAATTTTTTAATAGTCGGTGTTCAGAGCATATATATTTTAGACTGTCTTTTTATTTTAGAGGTTGATTGTATCATAGCCCAAGGTTCGCATTTTTGTCCAAAATTCACTCATTGTGGATTTTATTTACCTTACTATTTTCAGACGAACGCCTTGTTGCAACAGATCTTTCTTCAAATTTATAATGAAACACTGAATATAAAAATGAAAACACAATTATAATGAGAATTAAATTTTTTATTATAGATTTGGACTAGCAAGTGTTGTAAGAATGCGTTCATATGAAGACAGCAAGTTGGGTACTTGAAAATGGGTTAATTTTGGATAAACATATCATAACTGTGACCTTGGGCATGGGCGCACATAGAAATTTTCCAGAGGTGGAGGGGGACCATCCTCCAGAGATAACTAGTAAATTTTCCCAAATCCTCAAAATTGTACACAAAATTATACTAAATATGCAAATTTCAAGGGTCCAACCTGATTCTAAAATAAAAATGTTGACGAAAGTTTAAATTCCATAGTCTGAGATAATGAAATGATAAAATTTCATTCACGCGAACAACTTGACATTGCGTTATTTTCAAGACCGAAAACCCTTACGAACCCGCATGCTTTGCAATACACATTTTTCCATCTAATTGTCAATTTCTCCGATAGCATAGCTTTTCATGATGACAAAGTGTTTTTTGTGAATGTGCTTTCAATCCATGAAAATAGATGTTTACGAGAAATTTACTTGTTAAATGCACATTTTCAATTTTCAGCACAGTATTTATTCACAGAATATCGAGATGCTTCCAATTTTAGATATTCCTCGGAAGAAGCATCTAGATGCTCCAAAGAATTGATCAGTTACAATGTGCTTACAACGACACATTTTCTACTTCTTGTATGTCTAATACACAGTTTTGCATGTTCTGAAGAAGAATCATGATAATAAAGAAATTTTAGCAGACTTTGACAGCCTATAAACTAAGTTGAAAAAGGTATTATAAATACATAAAAATTACATATAAACATAAAGAAAATTAAAATGAGTTACCAGTAATAACTTTGATACCAAGCATTTTCAGTGAAAGAAGGAAATGATATATCCTTTAAATAATCAGCTAGGTACAATCTAACAAATTCGTCTTGTAAAAAAAATATACGAATAAAATACTACACTTTGGGTACGAATTGATACACATCTTTAAATTATAAAATTAAAGTCATTTTTCACGTAATACTACTTTACATAAAGCATCAACACATCCGTTTACATTTCTTCCTCATATTTAATTTTTTTAACTTGCTGTACACCGTCGGGTACGCGTTTCGTAGGTTTATTTGTCGATTGTGGATCTGAAAATAATCAAAACACATGATAAAAACACTGGACAACAAATTTTAGTTTTTTAATTGTATAATAATAATAATGTCTTTATTAATCCCTCCCCACTGCGAGGCGAAGTTTAGCCAGCTGGCTACTCTACCACTTAACCTCACAGCGCAGGAACACATACAAAAGGAAAAACATAACAATGAATAGAAATCGACTAAATAATATATACAATAATTAAGCTTAAATAGATTAATCTTAATAATAAACAATAAAGACAAAAAAAATATAACAGCCAGCTTGGCTAGCAGACCCCAGAAGGTGGTTCTTAATGACTCTCTTGAATGCAAGTATTCCCATATTTTTGTAATTGTCATTATGACTATTATACACCTTGACAGCGTTGTAGGTGAAGCTACGATGGAAAATGTTGCTCCTATAACTAGGTATATGGAAGTCAGAGTTATGTCTCAGATTCCTGTAATTGAGATCCCCACGTGGTACCAGCCTTTTTAGTAGATAAGTAGGTAGCCTATTGATTTTTATTCGTTGTACTAAAATTAGTAAGTTATATGTGAAAAGCTGGTCAACCCTCAACCATCTAAGCTCCTTGATCTTCTTAGATACATGGCTAAACTTTCGCAGACCACAAACGAACCTACAGCAGCTATTTTGAATTTTTTGTACTCGATATCTAGTCACGTAATCAAGACAAGGAAAGTAAACAGCAATTGAATAATTTATTAACGATAGAACCAGAGTCTCAGCCAGTTTTTTGCAAGTCTTGAAAATCAGAATATGGCGATTGGTGTATAATAACTTCAAACGCATGTATGTTAAGCGAGATAAATGCGTAACATGTTGTTTAAACCTCAAATCTGAATCCATGGTGATCCCTAAATACTTCGCATGGTCTACTATCGGAATATGGGTTTCGTTAAGACTAGGAACAATTGTGCCATCTAACTGTTGTACTAACTGTTTTGGGCCAAATAGCATAGTAGAACATTTTGAAGCATTGATCTTTAGACAATGTCAATGTTTATCTTCGCCAAAGGCAAAACGATAGCTTCCTTCCAGCAGCTTGGAAAAATCCCTGTCTCTAAGGACACATTTATAATATGAGTAATGTGATTCAAAATTTCTGGTAAGCCGAGATGTATCATTTTACGAGTAAGTCCATCACAACCCGATGTTTCTGACTTGATAGAAGTTAAAACATCCAGCACTTCATGCTGGTCAACGTAGCGAAAAGTAAATGAAGGAACATTAGTGCAGAAGGAGCTATTATCATATTTATGAATTGTAGACTCAATTAGCCTCGAGTTCATATTAGCAGCCTGTGAGTTCAATAAAAAGTAATCATTCAGCGAGTCTGGTTCGAGTAGGTCATCTGGAATTTCAGTTTTTTCCGTCGACAGATACTCATATCTTCAAGGGTTTTCCAAGCTTGCTGCGTATTCAAGTTATCAATATGTGATAGGTAAGCCTTTTTTTTCCTCCTTATTGACGCTAAAGCATAATTTCTTAGTTCCTTGTAGTAAATCCAGTTTTCTTGATTGGGAGTACGTCTGAAAGTTATTAAGGCAGTATCCCTCTGTTTAAGTATAAGTTTTACTGTAGCTGTTAACCAAGGTGCGGCTCTTTTATTGACGCGAGCAACTCTGACAGGCGCATAGGCATCAAATAAAATAGTGAGTGATTCCGTTAAAATACATACTTTGGGAAAAGTGCACTTCTTTGTTAATTTTGGGGCGCTGAATCCAAAAATGACAATGAAATAAAAAAATTATTTGCGGTTTAGAAAAAAAACTTTTTATTTTTAAGGATATATTAAAAAAAGTAACAAGATTCATATACTTATAAGAATCACTATATGCGCTGTCTTTTTGCTGTTCTTTTATGGATCGTTTCTGGAGCATCTCTACCAAGAGTCCAACAGTAGTCTGCAAGCATGGAAGGATTCCACTTTCCCTGGTACCTTTTTTCCATTGTTGAAATATCCTGATGAAAACGTTCGCCGTGCTCATCACTTACGGCTCCGCAATTGTCAGGAAAAATGTCCAGGTGTGAGTGTAGGAAATGTATCTTAAGAGACATATTACAGCCCATCTTTTGATACGATGACAGCATATTTTTGACAAGGGTTTTATAGTTGTCAAACTTTCTATTTCCCAAGAAATTAGTGACCACCAGACGGAAATCATTCCAAGCAGTTTTTTCAATACCTGTTAAAGTGTTTTCAAACTGTGTATCTTTCAAAATATTTCGAATCTGTGGCCCAACAAAAATACCTTCTTTAACCTTTGCCTCACTTAGTCTTGGAAATTTCTGACGCAGGTATTGAAAAGCTGACCCATCTCTATCAAATGCCTTGACAAAGTTTTTCATTAGGCCCAACTTGATATGCAGTGGTGGTAATAAAAATTTTTTCGAATCTACTAATGGCATATGCTGTACATTTTTTTGACCTGGCTCTAGGAATTGACGAACAGGCCAGTTTTGTCTGGTGTAATGAAGTGCCTTTGCCCGACTGTCCCATTCACACAAAAAACAGCAAAACTTTGTGTAGCCTAGCTGCAGCCCAAGTAAAAGTGCAACAACTTTCAAATCGCCACAAATATGCCATTGGTGCTCATCGTATTTTATGCATGTCAATAGGTACTTCATATTGTCATATGATTCTTTCATGTGAACTGCATACCCTACAGGAAGAGATGGTAAAATATTTCCAATATGCAATAACACTGCCTTTAAACTCAATGTTGAACTGTCTATAAACAATCTCCATTCTTCTGGGTTATAGTTTTATATTTAAAGCCGCCAGTAAGCCGTTAATGTTACTGCAGAAAACCAAGTTATTCTCCATATTGAAAAATGGTTCTAAGTCTTTGTGGCATTTATGAAGAACACATACCGAAACATCGTCTTCTAAGAAGTTCCACTGCTGCAGTCTTGATCCAAGTAACTCTGCCTTACATTTTGGAAGTTCTAAATCTCTTACAAGATCATTTAATTCTGACTGTGTTATTTTGTGCGGTTGGTGGCATGACGTGCTCGGTATAAAATCAGGATCTCTTGACGTTGATGGCATTATCTTCTTCCTGACGAATCACTCGATCGCCATGATCTGACTCGCAAGTGTAGGATTCTGGAGGTTTTGGAATAGAATTTTCGTCACTGTGAGGCACAGGTCTCATCGCAGATGGTATGTTTGGGTAGTTAATAACCGATTTTTTTTTCTTGGACATACCTGTGGCTTGTCCAACACAAGGTACCATGCAAAAGTAACAATCATTAATATGATTTGTAGGCTCTCTCCAAACCATTGGGACAGCAAAGCGCATAGACCGTTTTTTGCCATTTAACCAGCTCCTCAGACTTGAAGCACATGTATTACAGCAGATGTGGGGTGCCCACTGTTTGTCTTGATCACCTAGTTTACAACCGAAATAACGCTGATTGTCTAACGTGTTTTTTAACTTGCAGAAGCCCAGAAGCTTGCTATTTTGAGAATTATCTTGTTGAAGCGTGTGAGCGATGACGTCACATGACACCAGCTACCATCGCTACCCCAGACCGATGCGTCCGCCACGCACGCTCCGCGACATTTTCAAACGTTGCTCTGCTCAGTATTTACGATTTACGGTAAAAATGGGTCAGACGATCGACTTACAAATACTGTACCTAGGTGTACTAATACAAACATATTAGCGCCAGAAAAAAACATGTTTATCTGTGGCAAAACAGAAAAATTAAGAAGTGTAGGGTAACGAACAGGGACAGAGAATGACTGGTATATGAATAGGTGTGTGGCCACAGTAGACCAGTGAATCGTAGTGAAGTATCGTAATTGACCCACTGAAAAAAAAACAACCTTTCCTTTTACTATGAGTATAGTGATGTTCTCTGAACATGCAATTTATCGAGTCACTTTTACTTTTGCTAACATATTGATTTTTGTCAGCCTTGACAAAAGTGATAAAATTTGACATACCTTGCAGCCACCTAACTTGAGTAGCAGGACCATATCCCTTGTCATTCTTAGCTGCAATTCTGAAAATAATCGCCGCTTTCGTCGATGTGTCCAAGTGAGCTGCGGCAAGAGACGTAGAATTTACAACACACATATTGTTCGGACCACAGTAAACTCTTACAAACGCTAACTGCCCAGGAGGATTCGTTTTGTCCTGAAATAAAAATACAATGATAACTAAAACGAATTAAATTTTACAGTTAAGGAAGTGTCAATTGCAAGACTGTCCAAGATAGCGATGAGCACCACCTTGGATTTTGCCATTGGGCAAAAGTAAAAGAATTTTCAAAAGATTTAAGAGACAAAGTGATTGAATTATTTAGAAGTGGTGTCAGAAATGTTGACATTTCTCAAAGATTAATAATGAACAAAGGGACGATTTCGAAAATTATTAGTAAATATCCAGAATACAGGGTTTGTCCGGAAAGTAATAGGACTCATTTTCTTCCGTCATGATTGTACTAGCTAACGAATGACCGGCTGGTCAGTTGTCTCCGAGCACTTGGATAGTCAGGACAGGCATTTTCGCGCGACGAGTTTCTGTGAGTGGTGCAAGCCGAAAATGCAGCGTTCGTTAGAGCAGAGGTACTCGATTAAATTCTGTGTGAAACTCGGTAAATCTGCGACAGAGACGTTTGATATGATTAAGCAGGTTTACCCAGGTGTTGCTTTAGCAAGAAGTGGTGTGTTTCGGTGGCACCAGGCCTTTTTGGAGGGCCGGGAAGAGGTCGCTGATGAAGACCGTGCTGGAAGACCTTCGACTTCGACAAACACCGATAATGTGACTCGTGTGCGCAAAGTTTTGAACTCAGACCGCCGACTAAGTATTCGTTTAATTGCCTAGATGTTAAATTTACCAAAATATTTGGTTCATGAGATTGTGACACAGCATTTGAACATGCCCAAGGTGTGCGCGAAGATGGTCCCAAAAGTGCTCACTGACGACCAGAAATTGCGGCGAGTGGAAGTGTGCCAAGAAAATTTGAACATGTGTGAAAGTGACCCCCAATTTTTGAATAACGTAATCACAGGTGACGAGTCGTCGATCTTTGAGTATGATCCTGAGACAAAGAGGCAATCTTCCGAGTGGCACACGACGACGTCTCCTCGCCCAAAAAAGGAAAGAATGAGCAAATCCAAAGTGAAACGATGCTCATTGTCTTTTTTGACATCAAAGGCATCGTCCACCAAGAATTTGTTCCTCCTGGACAAACCGTCAACGCCAAGTTTTACGTGGAAGTGCTTAGGAGACTCAAACGAAGGGTCAGTAGTCGGGTCCGACAAGACAACGCAGCCGACTTGAAGTTGCACACCGCCTTTCTTGTGAACAGCTACCTGACCAAGGCCGGCATCCCAACGCTTTCGCAGCCGCCCTACAACGCCTCCGGACTTTTTTTTGTTTCCTCGCCTGAAAAGGCCGATGAAAGGCAAGCATTTTGAGACGACAGAGGGTATCCAAGCAGCATGCACCGCGGCTCTCAAGGCTATTCCGGAGAATGCCTTCCGTGACGCCTTCAATGCTTGGAAATCGCGCTGGCAGCGCAGCATCGACGCAGAAGGAGCCTATTTTGAAAGTTTTTAAAGAATTGTAACGATTGGCTCAATAAATTTTTTTAAATCAGTCCTACTACTTTCCGGACAAACCCTGTACGGATCAACAGCAACGCGGCCCAGGTGTGGAAAACAAAAAAAAACGATTATGTTTTGGATCGCTACATTAAACGTTTGTCCCATGAAAATCCTCGAATCCACGCCAGATTTTTAAGGAATCGTAGAAGAGTGTGCCGAGAATCTTTATGTCAGAACAGTGAAGATGATTGGTGGATTTTGGGCTTTTTGGTAGCCGTCCATCTGTAAGTCTCTCATTTAAAAAAAAAATAATCGTATCGCTCGGCTTGAATTAACTTGGACTGGACAGAACAACAATGGAATACAATTTTATGGAGTGATGAAAGCAAATTTGAATTTTTTTGATGTGATTTTACGGCATATGTGAGACGTCCAATACGAAAAAGATTCGACATAAAGTATCAGTTGCCAACAGTTACGCATGGTGGAGAAAACATCATGGTTTGGGACTGTTTGTCTAGTTCTGGAACGGGTCCAATTGTTGAAATTTTTGGAAAAATGGATCAAAAACTTAACAAAGATATTCATAGTAAACACATGCTCCCTTTTGCTGAAGAAGAAATGCCTTTAGATGGACATTCCAGCAAGCTAATGACCCCAAGAATACCTCAAAATTCGTAACGGACTGGTTAAGACTAAAAAATGTTAATTTTCTTACATGGCCTTCGCAATCCTCGGACCTAAACCTTATAAAACATCACTGGGAGCATGTTAAAAGACAACTGACAAGAAAAACTTTTGAAAATAGGAACGATTTATTTGATTATGTAAATAATATTTGGCAAAATATTCCAACAGACCTCTGTAAAAAAATGGTGTCTTCTATGAGTAATATTAGCTAAACAGTATTTTTTTTTTTATTTTTTACCACGGCAAACACAAATTGCCATTTGTATCCTCAAGACTGTAAGCAAACTATATGAGAAAAAAATAGTCCATAATAAAGAATAAAAAATTCTATATTCAAAAAAGTTGTTGCAATGATGCAATCATGTATCACGACAATGCCCTAGCCACACTGCCCAATTAACTATAGACTTTTTACGCCAGCGCCACATCAAAATACTAGAACATCCGCCTTATTCGTCAGAGTAGGAAATGTGTGACTTCTGGCTCTTCAACAAGTTGAACAAAAATCTTCGTGGTCGAAAATTCTCGTCCGAAGAGGAAATCGATCAAGCAATGAATCAGTTTGTTGAAGGCATTCCAAAATCTGACTGGTAAGCAGTATTTAGTTTATGGTAGGTCAGGCTACAGAAATTCATTGATACTGGAGGAGAATACTTTGAACGTAAATAAACTAGTTTTCAAAAAATAGTTTTTAGTTTTCGTGTATCTCAAAATATATAGCGTGGCCCTCGTATGTGGTCAGACAAACATGGGTTATTTACCTTTCCTCTGACTGCTAGATAAACAGAATATTCAAGAATTTCACCCTGGTTGGTGCTTGGAGGTTCCCATGACAGATGTGCACCATCTGCTGATTTTGCTATTTTGATTGCTGATGGGGCACCGGGGAATCCAGGCAGACACGTTTTGAATGCAGAAACCTGTAAAAAGGATAGCAATTATAATAAATAGGTAAAAGAATGTCTATACAGAGGGTCCCAGAATAAGACTGCAATCTCTCAGATGCATGTAGAAAACAAAAGATGAAGCTGCCAAGTTCATATAAAAAATGTTACATGTCAAAAAAAACGACATACTGTCACTTTTCAAGTTACGTAATACCCGCAGGGTCGTGAATGTAGCGGTGTTGGGACACAGCATACGAGGGATGTCTTTTAAGTTTTGCATATGGAAATAAAACGACATGGTAGGTAGTTTCAAATGACTATTGTTTTTCGAAGTATTCTCCACGAAGATTAATACACATCTGCATGCGCTCGAACCAATTTTCGAAGCACCTATTCCACTCGTTTGCTGGCAGATCCAAAACGGCATTTTTGAATGCGTCAACTGCTTCTTCTGATGACTGGAACCTTTGACCACGCAGTCTGTTTTTAATTTTCGGGAAAGTAAAGAAATCGTTAGGACTTAGATCGGGAATATATGAAGGATGGTCCAACAATTCCACGTTTTCTTCCGTTAAATACTGCCTTGTTTTTTGGGCTGTGTGCGAGCTTGCATTGTCTTGGTGGAGGATGATTCTTCCTTCGGGGTTGATTTTTCGAAGCTCGGTGATGACTTTTGGCAAACAGATGGTGGTATACCAATCCGCAGTAACAGTTCTTTGCTCATTAAAAGGAATTGTAGCAATATGACCCGCTTTTGACACAAATGTCGCGACCATCTTTTTCGAAACACTTCGAGAACGGATGACTTTTGTTGGCTTTTCTTCACCTTGGAACACCCAAACAGCCGAATGTCGTTTATTTTCTGGTTCATAACAGTATATCCACGATTCGTCACCACTAACAATGCTGTACACATTCTTTGAGTTTCCGGAATTGAAACGGTCAAGCGTTTTTTGACACCAATTAACCCTGGCTGCTTTGTGCTCTTCAGTCAACAGGTGGGGTATCCAACGAGAAACTAATTTTCTTACTCCTAATTCTTCATGTAAAATTTTTTGAATTGAGGTCTTTGAGATCTTCAAGGACGCCTCAATCTCGCGATATGTCACATGTCTATCTTCAATGATGAGTTTGCGCACAGCATCGACGTTTTCCTGGGTGACTACCGCTTTTGGTGCACCCACCCTGGGATCCTCGCTAAGATTCACCTGTCCACTTTTGAATTCTCCATACCAACGGGAAATTGTCGACTGATGTGGCGCTTCTTTGCCGAAAACACACAGTAACTCAGCAAGGCATTCTTGTTGCGATAATTGTCTCTGAAAGTTGTAATAAATTATGGCGTACTGAATAATCAATGATTCTAAGGCTATGGTCGAAACATGCATGGCCGCAACAAAGCCTTGTCAATAATGAATAAAAAGATGTTTACCTCACTCCATTCGCCTCTGCCCACAGAATTGATGGCTGCCACTCGGAACTTGTATGCCGTACCCGGTTCCAAATTCATTTTGGGATAGTGTGAAAGGTCTGGTAAGTTGTTAATTGTCAAATCGGCAATGTCGTCTTCTAACAAGAAATAATTATTGACGTCAAAACTGCTGCCCTTGACAAACCCAACTGTATACCAGGTGTCCTTCGCTGGCTGTTCAGAGTCGGTCGGCTCAGTCTTCTTGTACTCTTTTGAATGGTCCAAAGCAGCGGATGCTAACGCTGTCAAAGGATCGTCGCTGACACTATCTGAAAAAATAAAGGTCAACATCACACTATCTACCAGGATATTTCAACGTCAAAATACAAGTACAAGTGACATCTATTACTAGAATCGAGCACAGGAAAATTAATAGCATATGTGTACTGGAACTGTAAAGTATCTCGGTTCACATCAACAAATGAGCCATCACTATGACTGATATATCTGCTGTTTCCTTACCATCTTTCTGCTCATCCAAAGAACTCTCCCCAGTTTGTTGACTATCTCCAGTGAATGAACTATCAAACCCACTATCAGGTTCCATCTTCAAGCTACTATCATCAAGGTCTGCCTCCTCTTGTTTGATTTCGTCAAGTTCAGTTTTGATATCTAGGTCCAGGTCCATTTTGTCACTCTCTTCCGACTCCGCAGGTTTTAGAGCTCCATTTAGAGTCTGGGTAGAATCTGCTTCGGCTTGAGTTGTTGCAGGTTTTGTTTGGTTACTCACTTCTTGCTCGTCTTTGCTTCCTCCAAACAGACCCAGTCGAAACCTGGAACAAAAAATGTTTGTGAATCCTATAGATCATCGACGATCCACCGATAGATGCATAGGTGGTCCAATAAATTGGACAATTGATACTATATATAAAAAAGCGATTGGAAGTAAGGAATACAAATACCATTAAAAAATTAAACAATACTCACCTAAAGTCTTTAGGAGGTAACCTAGATCCACCTTTAAGTCCTAATCTTCCGCCTTTCAACGTGAGCTTGGTAGGTACCATAGAACCTCCAACAAGCCCACTGGCTACTTCCATAGGAGTGCCAACATTTTCACTAGCCTCGGATCCTGTTTTCTCCATAGATTCTGATTCGATTTCTTCTTTTGAAGCTGCTTGGTCCTTATCTGGCTCTGGGTCAATTAAACCAGCTTCGGCTGCTAGCGCTGCCAATGCTGCGTCTGTCGTTGCTGGGCTGTCAAATGACGTTGAAGCTGCAATAAGAAGTAGTTTCAAGTGAAATGGGCTTATTGCAGATGATTGTTTGATGAAAGTTGTTGACAGTAAAACTAATGAAAGCAACCTATGTCAACAAAATATGAAGCTTATATTTTGAACTGGTTTTTTATACTGGAGCCACCACGCGGGTCTAAATACCAGTGGGTACCATGGAGCTATAAGGGGATACAGGGGAAGGTGCAGACGTCACACAGACTCTAGCGGGAGAACGCGTGTACATATGACATGCACACATTAAATTTGTTCCAACCTTGAGTCTTGGTATTGTACCAGAACCATCCAGTTATCATTTGGGACGATTTTGGAATCGTTTTTGTAACTAGGGAGTGACAGATAGCCCCTTCATCGCTACTCATCACAATGAAAACTGGAGAATATCAATAAATCATCTTTAAATAGAAGATAGACAGGCTATCAGAACACCATTACAGTTTCGTTGGAGGTAAGAGGCAATCACATGACAACAGTTCTACAATGCAGGCCAGTTCCTGTTATTCCTGAAACTATTATAGAACCACCTTAGAGATCCCGCCTGATGGTACCTCCACGCTTGACGATCTGAGACCGCCTACCACCTATCACAATTTCCATAGCAAAAAAAAATTCTCCTAGGACGGGATTCGAACCCGCGCAGCTCACGGTGACTGATTAGTAGAACTATAGCGTCTACAACTACGCAACCATGCTGAATGTTTTGACCAATATGTTTTTCGATTCTTGTGCGACAAGAATGTTAACAGAAAATCATTCTCTTGAACAAAAAGCCATAATAAATTGATTGCCCACTTATCACGAAGAACCATGTGACTGATTTCCATCTGTCTGTCTGTCCGCCAGGGTCTAGGCTATAAAATATATAAAAATGACGTCAAGTAGGTTGACTTTGAACTTCCCACGCAACGCCGTCATCAGTCAATTTTTTTTTGTATACATTTTTTTGGAGTTAATGACTAAATTTGATGGTCTGAAACAGGACATTAGCCATGTGGTTAAATGGGAATACAGCATTTTTGGCCGTGTTGTTTTAAAATCAGAATAAGTGTTACAGAGGCCATGAAAAATGCATTCTTTTACTTACCAATGGTTGCGGTAGGTTGTTTAGGTCTCGAAACAACCATCAATTTTGGCTGATCTGAATTATGAGCAGCAGCTGCAGAGCTGATTGGAAAACGAACAATTTTACCAACAGCTCCTGCTTGATTTGGTTGCACCAAAGTCAAAGTCTTGTTGCCTCCCGTCGCCATTTGTACAGTTACTTGTTTCCCTCCAATCATGACTTGTTTCTGAAAAGAGATAAGAAAAATTTCGAATCAAATTTATGAATCTCAAATATAATAATAAAGATAAAAACTTGCATTCTAAAACATTTTATTCCAACAAACTGCAAGATATTCTGTTATATGCTCCCTGAAATCGCTAACACTAAATGTTTGGTGATACTTACAGTGTTTTTGGAAATCGTGACAGTTTTCGGTGATCCAACGACTTGCATTGGCATTGAGATTGTGATTGGCTTTCCAGCTATTTTAACTCCTTGAAGACCGGCTAAAGAAGAGGCTGTCGCTACTGGCTGAGCATTTATAGTGGTTGTTTTCACATTGCCTAGATTCACTGCTTGAGCGTTTGTTAGAGTTTGTATATTCTTCAAACCTGCATTTGAACTAACAACTAGTACTTGTTGGTTACCTGAAAAACAAAAGCAAATAGTTTAACAAATGTTCCACCTGGATGCGATTCTGCAATAGATTCAGTAGTATAGGATGTCACAAAATTCGATTTTACACTGCATATTAGCTTAGTTATTTTAGCATAGTTGTTTTTGTAAAACAAAAAAAAATCGTCAAGTAGGTTGACTCAGCACTTCCTATGCAATACTATCAGTTCCTAAATGATCAAGTTCAGCACAACCCTTCGAGAAAAAAATTAGTTACAAACATGTAAAATAGGATAATTAAACTGATTAAGTCAGTCGAACAGGCTCGTGGGGAAACCTATGATGTGTGAAATATAGATAGCTAATGGGTGCATAGAATTACCGGGCCTGGGAGTGTATAAATATACTAATCTAAAAAATTAAAAACCCAACTTTCACAGCATCCTGTATGAGACTTTACCTATAGTTTGAATGGGTTGTCCAGTTCCTTTGGAAAGCACCAATTTGCCAGTAGTTTTATTCATCTGTATCATATTAGAAGGAATCGTCTTCAAAGTTGTTAACATCTTGTTACCAGGGCTATTTGGTACAATTTTCACAATTGTATTCTTAGCTTGTTGTTGCACCACTGTTCCTGGAGCCTTAGCCTGGACCAAATTGCTACCTGAAACGAAATTATTATCAATAAAGATCAACCCAAAACATTTATCTTGGAAAAATGTCCTTTTGTTACAGCTACCAAATTCAATAATGTAGACAAAAAATGGAAGGTAGCAATTACCTTTGGGCAATGCAGCCAAAGTCATCCCTTGACTCGTTTTCACCAATGTCACAACTTGCTGTTGAACTCCACTCGGAGTAGTTGTTTTTTGTATAACATTACCACCCTGTTTGACCAGCACCTGTTTGCTAACCAGTTGTGGTGTGATTTGCCGGACTGGAGTACCTGTAGTGCTTTGCACTCTTATGGGAGTACCTAACAACAAATATAAAACATTGTAGATTCCAGATGAAAATGTTCCGTCATGCAATCGTTTTATTTGAAAAGCATCGTCAGAATGACTTTGAGATTGATGCTACTCATATATTTGAATTAGCCACAGAGGGTCAAAAAAGTATTGGCACAGACCATTTTTTTCTTGAGCCTCAATAATGTAAACAACAATTTTTTGTTTCTAAATTTATTTGAACACATCCAAATAGTAACTTTTGATGGCAATAGATTGAGCAAATTGAAAGGATAATAATAATAACCGACTTTATTAAAAAATAACACTAATAGGAGTTTATGAAATTCAACTATAATTCTTATGAAAAATACGAGTTTCAGACTCTAGTAATGTTGCAGTCTTCAACTATTTTTTTGAAAACCGTTTGTTCTCATCACTGACTTTTACAATTTTTCTATTCCGGGGCTACAGAAGACAATCACCAGGAATGAAAGCATCTGGACCATAAACATTATTCATTCGTTCATGCAATAATATAAAATTTATATAAATATATTCTCGATCAATTTTTTTTTGACGTTGCCATAACTTTAAATAATTGAAGGAGATATTATGGATGATTTTATGGCGTGTGTTATTGGAGCTGCTGTTTTAACATATAAGTGGGTACTTATTTGTCAGAATAACAAAAAAAAGTTATTAACATAAGCAAATAGATAGACTATAAATTTACAACAGAATCAGATTTATACAATGTTGCATCTGGCTTCATGCACCATCTGGTAACCATGCCGGCATCAAAAAGATATGGCTGCTTGACATTGACGTAAGTCATTCGTGTGGCTCTCGGGATAACACTGAACTTTTTACCTTCTTCAATGTATACACCTTGGGAAAAACCATTATTATACATTATGATGAGGAAGAAAGATGGAAATATACAAAAGTATGTATTCTTGTTGCCAGTAGAGATACAACAGTATTGAGAGAAATCATGGACCGCTAGATAGGGCTACAACTACCATATGACTATCAAATAGTAGTGATAAACAGGGTTTGTTTATAGCACAGTTGCCTGGTGTGGCGAATTTGCGCCATAGGGGCGATTTGACAACTTTGAAGGACAACTATAACGGTTACTATGGTGCCCGGTATTCGGGAATCTGGCAATACCTGATGATTTCTAACGTTTATTACGCCAGATTGTTTGCTGACTTGGGCAGTACAACATGACAATCAACGTGACTGAGCACCTGGTAACCCTGGTTTAAGGTGTTATATTTAAAGAGCTTGGGGCAGTTAGGTATCTAGGTCACATTTTTTAATGTATTTCGAGAAATCCGTAATGTTGAGTAAATACTAGATCACGTTTCTTGCTTAGTTTGCTGAAAATTCTACAATAGACGTACATTTAGAGAAACAGAGATTTGGTGACGACAAAATCGTAAAAATATAACGCATTTTCGTAAAATAATTTCTTTGTTGAAAAGACTGTGGCTTCATGCCCCAATGAACGAGTAGAGTGTCCCGCTCCGCTTTGAATATTCGAAACACTATACTCCAGCAGCATTCAGCTTCAATGTTATCTTTATGAAGTTCTAACGTCTAGGCCATGCTGATTAAAAGCTTGAATGAATCAACACTTAACTCGAAATTCCCCACAATTCGGGAAGCTCTACTCAAATTGGCAACACAGCGTATCTGCCTATTATTCTCATTCGTGATACAGGTCTGCGGTTAACGGTAGGAAATATGTACGAATAGCGATGAAAGTAGACGAGCCGATGCGCTGTTGCCAAGAAATGATTTCCCATGTATAACAATGGTTTTTCCTAAGGTGTATGTTTTGTGGTCGTCACTACGTTGCCTCGTAAAGGTAGTGGGGAAGGCGCGGAGCGCCGCTCTAACTCCTCCCCACTGTTGTCGGGCAATGTGGTGACGACTCGTATCTAACTTCTAACACGCTTCTATCTCTCGTACACATAAAAATCTAAAAGGGAAAACGACTGGCCAGCACTGTACAATAACCTGGATAACCAATCAATGACATTCAGACAATGCTTTCAAATAGATAAATCAGAACGCGTTACACCTTTTACTGTGGTTAATTGTTCAACTTTTACAGCAAATCATACTATTCGAAATATATAAAGATTTAGTAAAAAATATTAACAATCTGTCTATACTATCTAAGAAAACAGTGTGCAGTCAATTGTAATTTTTTACACAAGATGGTATTCAAAGTGGAATACATGTTAACAGCGCGCTTGTATTATTTTGTTATCAATATTGCCAAAACTGGCTGGGATTAGCATTATTGACCAGTCAATAACGTTTTTGCTGATAACATACACAGTAAAAAGCTTGTATCTCATACATGCAGTAATCCTAACAAGGGTAACCTACCTTTAATTATTGGAGTAACAACCTTGGGCGTGGCTGGAGTCTGATTGGACACTATTTGGACCTTGGCACCTTGTGTGGGAGTGTTTGGAGACCCTACAATGGTTTGTGCTGGTTTTGGGGAGGACAGAAGGGGTGGAACAGTTACGGGGGTTTGTGCTGGGGCCGTCGATTTCGGAGTTGCCACTGGTGGCGGCGGTAAGTCATATTTCTGGATCTGGAAACAGTAAATAAAATCATGAATTGCTTTGAATTCACACAATTGTAAAAGTCAAGGTTCCAGAATCACTAGACCTGCACGATGTCTTTGGGACCTCTATAACGCTAAGGTTATTAACATACCTGTAAAACATAGCTCTGGACTGAAGGTGAGCCAACCCAGTTAACCTCTAAGGACTGAGTTCCTGCTTTAACCAGGGAAACTCTACTAGGTGCAGGAGGTTTATCCACTTCTAAATACCATAGATCTTTGCAACATACCTGAAATAAGATAAAAATGATAGATTTTTCAGGACGATACTTATTTCAAAAGCTTAAATACCATACTGGGTGTTTCAAATTCAACTCTCACCATTTAGATCTCTGAAACGGCAATAGATAAGGGGCTGGTTGAATGAGAAAAAACTTGCGTATTTATGAAATTAAGAAAATGCTTCTACATTTTGATACAAAATGTATTTCCAAAATCGTTGTTTTTATTTGAAAACAAAATCCCAAGGTACCTATTAGGACACTATATGGCCCCAAAAATATACAGATTGTGCTGAATAAAAAAATGGAAGTACCTGATTCTTCCATGCTTTCCTATATCCATCTCTACCAGACCAAATATAAAGACGAGTGCTAATGCCTACAGCACAATGTCCAGCTCTAGCACATGGCACCATATTTTCATTTTCTGAAGCAATGCTCAAGTCATCCCAGTTCATTGTTTCTAAATTCAGACATGCCATGGTGCTGGTACACTTCCATTCCTTCTCATTTGTAGCTGTCTTAACATCATCAGCCACCTTCAAATAGTGATTACAACTATTTTATTCATCACATAATCGAAAATTTACACAATTCAGGGCTTTCTTGAAGTTGATACTTGCCTTAACACAACATAAGGATTAGGCGAAAAGATACGTGCGTCAATATCCAAAGGTGCCTCCACCGTCTAGGTAAACATCTATTTGTTTAAAAATGAGCTTAAAAGACCAAAAATGACATTCCTATAGCAAGAATGAGGTGGTCAATTTGATGTTAGTAGAGAGTGAGTGACTTCCGAGTGTTGCTGACGTTTCGCGCTGGTATTCAGATTTGCAGGAACACCGTGGCACAGAGGAATACCTAGACATCCCCAAATGTTGCAATATGAGCTTAACAAACTTATGCTTATGAATCGAACGTCGCCAAAAGTCGCTTATCAAATGACCCGTAAGCACCTTATTGCAATTTGTGTTTACTGTTTCGGTGCTGTTTTACCGTACATATTTGCTTCTAAAAAGATAAGTTTCAACTTCCAGGACAGCCTGTAGACAGTGTAAATGGCAATACTGGATTAGAGAAGATATCAAGTCAGAGATTAGACACGCCACGGATCCGATGTTGCCATTTATACTTGCTATCGCGCTAAAGATGTATTGTCTCCATTATAACATAACATATAGTTGAAAAAGTATGTTACATACCACTGGCACCCAGCCACCAAATATGAACATCCTGTGACCAATCAGGGTAGCTGTATGTAGAGATCTTGGCAGAGGGGTAATGCCAGTGACATGAGGCTTCAACCATGTCATTGTTTCTGTTTCTAGGAACCATAGGTCACCTAGCCTACACCCACTCATGCCTCCATATATTACTAGGAAGGATCTTCCTTTATCTTTCTTATCGCTGAAAACGATGAACATATAGAGAAAGATAATAAAAAGGTGTCGTCAAGTAGGGTGACATTGTGCTTTCAACACACTTGTTGCAGGCAAAAAGATCACATTGACAAACAAATGTACGAGTACAGAGGCTTACAGGAAAATCTGAGTGCAAATTCAGCTCAAAGAAATATGTCAGATAGTTTATAGAAACACAGGTGCAGAAATCACTGTTTTTAGCATACAGTGTGATAATAAAGTTGAAAAAAATACACTGCATCGGTTCTTGCAAAAATAAGTCTAATTTTCTCAAAGCAATATTGATTATGCTTCAAATTTCCTTACATTTATCAAAAAAAATGTTGGATTGCTATATGCCTATATAGGACTGGTTGACAAAATTTGAATTTCATATAATGGTACATTTGCATGTAAAACTACACAGTGTTGTTTGAGTATTAAATCTGGTCTTAACATACATACTAAAGTTTTGCAAAGGCAACTAACATACTGTTTTTTTTTTCGCTAAACAAGGAGACTTGCTGGCACAAACGCCATTAATATGAGTACATAATAAAATAATTTTATACATGTTATATATTCAAAATTCCTTCCTCATATAATCTGCATGCTGTGGCTGTATTTTGTTGGCACTCTCCATATTTAGCATTATATCCACTAGTTCATTGTTTTCATAAACATGAGCCATTTTTTTGCACAAAATAATCAGACAAATGAAAGTATACACACTGATACAGTCTGATACAGCTGATCAAACCAAAGACTCATACTGAAAACCATACAATAACACAAAAAGTTTGCCAAATTTAGATAAATGATAAGAGTAGTAAACAAAAAAATGCTAATATTTTAGATGACAGTGGTCCAGCATATCAAAAAATGTGTGTAATAATATTCTTATTTTTTCAATTTTTTTATATTTTACTATTTCTTTTATGACGCAATTTTTATATAGGTGATTTTTGGTATATCAACTCTTTTTGACGAGTCCGACAAGCAGCTAAAATAAATGACTTAACATCGTGTATAATAATAACAGGACACTAAAATACAGAATGTACTAAATATACACACCCACTGCTCAAGATAAATTTACTAATGAGGCAGGTCACCTTTCTCTAAATAAAACAATGACACTACAAAGAATGTGTAACAGGTTAAAATTTGTGGTCTAAAGATTGCTGCTATAAGGTTCCAATTCTATGAGGATATCCCTTAAAAATATTAAAATTATTTTCCACCCTTATGTGATGCGGTATTTTATTTAAAAAAAATCATACACAAGTTTTCCGTTGCAGTACGTCAGTGGTCAAGGGTAATTGATCTTCTTTATGCTCTGAAAGCCCTGACTTAAATATCTGAAGATGGAATAAATGTTTACATAGTACACAATAACATGTTTTTGCAGACAACACCCTGTATTATGGAAACAAAGCGGTTTGCCTATGCTTACAATACACTTTATTTTAATATTTCAAAAAGCTGAATATGCCTTTCAATTCACCTGTAAACATCATGTGTAGCATCAAGAATCCCAACTGCCCAAAAACAAACAGAAATGTCAGACAAGGTAAAAAAATAGCGTCAAGTAAGTTGAGTCCCCACGCAACATGGTTATCAGTTTGTAAAAGATGTTCTGCACAAGTTACCCTTTGTGATAAAAAAGATAGCTACAAACATGTATAGCATGAAATTAAATGACTCTCTCCTTCACCATAAGGCAAATTCTTGCAGGCACACATGAAAGTTGCTATGACTAATCCTGCGCGGATGAGGATATTGACTTTCACAGCATACAGCCCACAACAGCACAGAAGAGACTACTTTGACCATCAGTTTTAAAAGGGTAAATGTACTGGGACATCTATGATATACCAATGTCAAAAAATTGAGATATACCCTCCCCACCCTCTGCAATCCCTGACCCACAATATGTAACCCCTACAAAAAATGCTTCAAAAATGATCAGGAGCTTCTGAAATGACAAAAAACGAAGTTTGAGAGATATTTATTTTATTTATTATTGGCCTTTTTCTCCACCGGACTGGACCAAAAATCCCAAAAATAGAATATCTCATTATCGAAAGTTTTCGCGATTACAATGCTAGATCACCAGTAGACATGGGAAGTGAAATAAGCAGAAAAATGTAAGGTACTCTGAATATTAACTAGTTATACTGCAATGGCTGATCCTTACCAGTAAGCCACTCCTGTATGAGATTCCCTGGGTGGTGGAGATGGTCCATTTGTCAATGGTATTTCCCACTGAACTGGAGTACTTCTAATGTCTAGTGTGTATAAGTCATTTAGATAGCGTGGTACATTATTCTTGGGGTCAGCACTATCATTAGCCAAACCACCAAACAAGTAAACTTTTGAGTTGACCAATGTGAAGCTGTGGCCTAGACGTGGACAAGGAGGTGGGCCCAATTTTGGTGGTTTTGGTTTCAACTTTTTCCATTCCCATTTTGAAGCCTATTCAAAAAATAATGTATTTGAAACATGCTGATTCAAGGTATTCGAGCAAGTGGCAAAGCATCATAATAAAAAATACATCATTCCATTTCTGATCAATTGTGATGATATAAATTGCCACTTGGTCAAATAAACCAAAATATGGCTTCTAAAAATATGATATTGCTTGTTACAGCTTTGCTAAAGAGCAATATATTTTTCAGTTAAAAGTTGTAAATTGTATATTTTATATCTAGTTGAAAAGTGAGCAGTTTTTGGGCAACCAATTTCATAACCTTAGGCATGAAGCATCAAAGAATATAATGTGTGACAACAATAAAGGACTCAAAGCAAGTATCATATAGATCTTTTTTCACTAATAAGACTTGAGTATTTGATTTTACATCACAATCATGAATTTTTTAATCATTTTAAAAATTTCTAGTTGCTGCTTTCAAACCCAATGGATCTAGCGCTGTAACCTTTTGACAAGGATGCAAATGTTGGTGGGTCGATATTGCTTATCTCTCAAAGGTTCAAAGTCAATTACTTGAACTGGCAATGAAATTGATTGGATACAATTTTAAATGTCAGTATTTCCTTAGATGCTTTTTTATTATCATTATTTACCTAGGGAGATTAAATACTACTTATCAATGGAGGATTGTAGTGAATAATGGCAATTTATCAGGTTAGTAGTAAGAAAATATTATATTCACAATTATTAACAAATTGAAAAAGATAAATATAACACACCAAAATAATACAAATACATTATAAGCATAATTCAGGATATGCATGATATTCTTATTACAACATGAATATAATTTCTTAATCTAGCAGTTGACCCCAATATCAATAATGTTTTGCAATCCCTAACACAAATGCATGCAAGCACTTGCAAGGAAGCACCATACAGTCTGCAAGACAACTGCATGCATACATGTGTAGTCGCAAGATGGCCCTGAAATGTGCTTTGGTTGGAGAACCTAAATGAATGAAATATCCCCTGTCACATTCCTAACTTATAATTTTGGTTTCAGTTGAGATTTCACTGTGTTGAGCTTCATGACCACCATTTGTACATGAGAAGCATGAAAACACTTAGTATCAACACTGACTAACATCAAAACAACTAAACATATACCTGTAAACAATTAAACATAACCATGCAAACTACTGGACCTGCTAGGGATAGTGGCATGTAAGTTACTAAGTAATCCACCAAGATTGAAGACAATCTTGGCAACAAAATCCAACTGATTGATTTTTCAGACAAGATCCAGCAATTGCAAGGTCAAGATTTCTCATGCATCTTGCTGACTGCAAAACATTTTCTGATGGTTCAAGATATTTTACCTGAAGTTCATATAATTCGTTACTGTATTTTCCATATTCTACCATGCCACCAAAGACAAGAAGCCTGGTGCCTTCCACAACAAACCCATATGCTGCACAACCTGGTGGGACATCTCCTTTTGTGCTAGGTACAAACCACTGATTTGTTGCTATAATAAAATACCAATATGAATGATGTATATTTCAAGAATAATTTGATTGATACATATTTCTATGATTAGAATATCTCTAAGCTAATTACATTGTATTTTAAGTAGATCTCCAACTCTCATGGAGTGTGGCATGCTAGCATGATCATGTTTATGGAATTGCTGCCAGATGAAAGAGTTGTTGTTGAGTTTGCCTCTGATATCATCAAGAAAGAGGCATATTTGGCATTTGATTTTCAGGCATGGACATGCCAGTCGAGACTTAAGGCCCAAATTTCTTCGTGTATCCACTTTATTGTTTCATCTGTCTATGTGACTCTCAACCTTTTTAGCATAACAATAAATTATGAACTCAAAAGAAAACAACTATCAACCAGAAGCTCCTTCATGATCAATTTCATGGAATTAACTCTCACTGATTCACTTTTAACTCTCCACTCAAGCAAAAAGATATTGAAAATTAAATGCCATCTGTCCTCTTTTTGCCCCATGAGAACATAGCTTTATGACTGATTCATGAAAACCTATATTAAACAAGCCTTGGATTTAACATGAGACAATTAGTAAGGTAAGATTTTGCAGGAAATGTGTTGCATAAGTTACAGACACCCTATTTGTTATGCCTTTAGTTATATCCAAGTTAAATTTGAATGAAACATCAGATTTAAGTATTTAAATGATAAGACAGTGACATTATTGTCAATTAATAAAGTCCACTGCAATAATATAATTAGTTGTAGGGACCAGGACCAATACAATAAGAATATATGAACATTAATAGATGATAATGCATATTTCTATTATAGAAATGCTTAAAATTAAAATGCTTGGTAAAACAGTTACTAAAGTGAAAAGCATTTACTGTTTCTTTCCATATATATTGTTTTATCAATTTTTTCAGAAGTGACAAATGTATCTCAGTTTCTACTCCCAGGAAATCTTTCATTATCCTAAAAATAATGTGCAATTTTTTTCTTTGAACAGTTTACTGGATCAACTTCCTATTTGAAACTAAATATCTCTACTTTATATGTGGAATTATATGAAAAGATGTTAATTATCAAAAAAGCAACCTTAACAACACCTTAAAAAACAATGTATGCAACAGGATGTCTGAACCAAAAGGATAAGTTTCTAATAACTAATTAAAAATTCAACTGATAATTCCATGCTACAATGTGCTAAACTTTGCATTCATTAATCATTTAATAAGGTTTGTTCCAACTAACCATCCAACTAGTTCTGAACTAAACAGAGCATGTGCAGATTGAAATTACTATTTCAACAGAAAATGGAACTAATTCTGTAACTGGCAATTCTCTGTACCAATAAATTTGTGAACTGAACCAGTGTTAAAAGTTCTGGTTTTAAGAGAACTTAAAAGTTCAAATTTGATAGCATCTTTGGGCTGTTCATTGTTGGATTTTGTGGATAATCGAAACACTTCATGTCATCTTGTGCATTTTCTTACTTTTCAATCTTCCTATATTATGACCTAAATGTTAACTGGTTATTGTGCTGTTAATTATACATACTCAAAAAATGGGTGATAGTGAAGGTTACTTTGGAACAGGAACAAGTGAACGTAAAGATCTTGAGTTGATTATCCATGAATCAGAAATAAAAGTTACTTAGCCAAGTATTGATATTGATGAATTTGCTTCAATTATTAGTAATATTCATCTTATATATTATTTTCAAGTCGACATAATAGTTGTTAAGACTCAATTTCGTCCTCTGCTGCTGTAGCAGGGCATGCTTCCTCTAAAGGCAAAATGTTGAGTTCCTCCAGCTCTACAAAAGATAAAACTTTACCTAGAAAAATAACTGGTAGTCCTGAGCTAGTTCAGAACTGCTTGTTAGAACAAACCTAGTCTATGGTAACAAGGGAAACCTAGGTTATGATTTTTTGAAATGCGAAACCGGCAATCTAGAGATTTTCCATAAACGGAAAACATTTGCATGTAGCAATCATGTTTTTTTTGCAAAATGCTTAGCAAATTGCATATTTACATTCGAGTCCTACCATTGCATATGCTATGTATATGCCGCCATGTTTGTTTCTAGACAAACAAAACTAACAGACAAACCGATGCTGCCCTTCCGATGCATTTTCCTGTCCACCAAACAATCCCATGCGAAGATTTTCAAGAATCCTGACATTTCCAACTTAATTTTAAGAAACAAGTTGTGAAAAGTCAATAAAAAGACTGCGCGCGCCATTGTACCTCCATGTCTAGCTTCATATTACCTGTATTGTAAACATGCAATTCGTCAACAATTCCTTCGTTCCCTCCGCCGAAAACTACCATCAAGTCTTTTATGGCAACTGCTCGGTGTCCGTGCCTTGGCCTGGGCTGGGGGCCACTGGGATCGCCCACTAATTTCCACTGTAACGCCTTACCCGCCATTACGTGATCACATTGCACTCGATTCTAGTTATCTGAGAAGCCAATGGGATTCCAGTCCGGTTTTAAAATTTCAAGGCGAACTTAAGCCGGGCCAACTTCGCGATTTCAACTTTGAAAAAATTGTTAAATGGGTGATGTTTCAGCAAAAAACTAGTTCAAAGAACATAAAGGCTCTCACTCCCCAAGCGGCAAAACCTTATAAAAATTGGCCAAAAATGATTTTCATCGGTCGGTAAAATGTCGGTAAGAGAGACGCATTACCGACGCCAAACTACGTTACCGACGGAGGCTACAGCGACATCTGGTGCTGAACATAACAAATAAATCTACCCAATAGCCATTGGCGGAGAACAAATTGAGTAGTAATTTTTAGAGATTATTATCACATTATGTAGAAGTTGGGGAGCTGCAGGGGGCGGGAGGGCGTCAATAAATGTATACGCTTCTAACCCCGATTATTATACGTAGGGGTTGAAAATTGGGGGTTGGACATTGTGAGGGATAAGGGAGGGAATATCTCAATATTTTGGGACTAATGTATTTACACGCGTTCATCTACAATTCTACGCACCTATCAAACATATTTCATACATAGATTTCCCCATATATTTACAATTAAGACTCAGAATGATAGAAATGTTTTCCATATCCTCATCAGCAAGTGCAACGAACATAACGTATCTAAACCGTTAGCGAGCCTTAGGCGGTTTGCTCATCAAATGATATCAAATTTGGGTGTTCTTGAGCGACCGCAGGGGTGCCAGGGGGTGGAGGCCTGGCATGCTTAGCAAGTGCTAAGCAGCGCCTCTGAGAACAGACGCCCCTGTAACACAATTGAAGAGTAGGTAATTTTATACTAAGATACGGCAATATGGAAAAAATCAGTCCGTTTCACAAAATAATAATGCCGCGAACCGAACTGCTCGACGAACCGCAGCGCGCGTTTTGACGAATAACATTGCAAATTGCAACGAACATCGCCACAAAACCGAACGACGTCGTGCAAACACATCGCGCAACAAAAATGACGATCCAATTTTGATGTTTGTCGTTCAGTGAAACACGAATACTAGCAGAAATGGATATAGAAGTAGCAGCAGCTGCCTATATTTATATTCACTACGAATTATCCAAAAACAAGCGACGACGACGTCCGAGACGATGGTGGCAAACGCAGTTATATACCAATAGATCAGCACACGATTGCAACAATTTGATGGCGGAATTGAAATTTCAACAGGTAAGTACATTATTACTCTGTAAAGTACAACGAGGATGTCTCTCACGGACTTTGAATATCTTCTCACGTTGATTTTACCAAAAATACGAAGACAAGATACAAAATGGTGAGCTGCCATTACATTACAAGAAAGAGTTCCAGTCACGGTGCGATTTTTAGTGACCGGTGATTTATACAGTAGTTTGCAATACATGTTTCAAATTTCAAAATAATCCATCAGCAACATCATTCCAGAAGTTTGTGGGGCATTGATCGAAGATTTAAAGGAACATATATACGTAAGAAAAATAATTACTTTACTTCTAAGTACATTACAAAATAACACAATGGTGTTCGCCGCACCGGTATGCCTGTCCAAACATGTGCAACTTCGTCGCAGGCCATTCCTTTGATGTTGCGCTGAAAAACCGACAGAGCCTGGATCAGGCCGAACGGCGAGCTGTAAGGCTACTTGCACACACACCGATTTTGGACGGCCGGTAAAATATATTTAATTTTATTATTATTATTTAATCGCCGTGATTACGACTGCATATACGTTTACAATGGATAAAAAGATGAACATCAATAATGACATACTTATTGCGCTAGTGGAAGCAAGACCAGATTTATGGGATCAAGCATTGGACATATTTAAAGGCAGAAACGCTACTAGAAAAGCATGGAGCCAAGTTTGCTGCGAACTTAATGAGGATTCTAAAGAAATGGAGTCCAAAGAGAAAAATGAATCCAGAACTTTCGCTTAATTCTCTGACGCTTTATACGCTGGTACAGTAACCACATGGCAACAACTCGTTGGAGATTCATTAAAAATAATATTGGATAAGACCGATAAGAAATCGGTCGATATTTTACCGGCCGTCCAAAATCGGTGTGTGTGTGTGCAAGTAGGCTAACGCTATCAGGTTCGCGACGGCGGACAATCGGACGACGCCGACGTTCTTCTCACCGTCTACACAAGCACGGCGCGATTCGTCCCGTGGTTTGATTCGTGTTGTTACATATCTGTACACGGCTTTTTTTATCGAACTAAGCCCTGAAGGCGACGCGGGTCAGTAGTGTGTGCATGAGGGCTGCATGATATGTGTACAATTTTGGGAAAATTTGTCCCCCCTCCCCCCCTCTGAGGAAACTTTCAATCCCTCAGCTCTCTTCAGAGTTTTAGGGGCAGATACACCTTCACAAAAAGCTATCTCTCGCCGATGATCGGTGTCTTCCCGAAAAAAAATTCTTCGAGCGCACGTGCTTGGAATAATTTGTAGGAATTAGCACAAAACACATGAAACTGAATTAGTGAGGACTACTTAGGTTGACCGAATTAACGTATGATACGCCACTGGACACGACAGTTAGTGCGCGACATCTACAGGCAGTGAAGTGATGAAAATTAGCAGCGCCATCTATGTGAGAAAAGATATAGTAATAAAACGTTTGTTACCTTCTGAGAAAATGGATTGTTTGAAGTTCAAATTATATTTGAATGTAAATTAAAATAAATATAATGTAGCATTCGTAAACAATTCTAGAGTAATAATATAATGTGGAATGTAGCTATATATAATCTATAACCATCAAGTACTTCACAAGGCAAGAACGTCAGGTAGTGATAATAATATAATAAAAATGAATAACGCTCATGCTAAAGCATTTTATGAGACCAAAATAAGTCATTGATTTGATTAAACTACTTTTGTTGTCATTTACTTATCACATTACATATACCCCCACCTACGCTGTCTTTCTGCTTCACAAAACATTTTTCATTGAACTTTAGTAAACAATTCAAATTTACTTCCCTGTCATTCCGTGTTGACTGTTAAGTTTGCGTTATGCGATATCTGGTGGCAGATATATTAACTATCGTTTTGAAGGCGGTCAGCTGATAGGATGCTTTGATGGAAATAAAAATAATATTATTAGAACAAAGTCATCATTTTGTTGCATATAGAGTACATGTAGTCATTTTACAGAGTAATCGTAATTTTTTCATTAAATGTCCTCTTTTTAAAAATTTCTGTTTGCGTGGCGCCATCTACTGGAGACAAAGTAATCACTTACGCAAGATAGGCCAGTGTTGCCAGATATCATAAATAAAATGCAACTTTATTGATCATTGTTGCCCAAATGTTTTCATTTGTTATTAAATATTACTGATAAATTATAATTCAATAATATGTATAGATGTTCATTTTAGTTAGTTTTTGCTAAAGGATCGATAAAGACAGGAATCTTTGAGTAGATAATCAATATTAATGAAAGGGTAGTATTTTGTTTTTTATATGTTAACTATGCCCCTATATTATTTAAAACTTTGAATTTTTCTAAAATGTATATTTTTAGGATAGTTTTATAAAAGGGAAAAGCGTAAAGTAATTTGGAAATATTTTTTCAATATTGATGTTATTTATCTACTTTACGTATTTGTTATTCGCAATATATGTATAATGTTAATTAAAACCAAGCTGTTTGACAGAATATTTGATTATTGAGTCATGTATACATATATGTCCATACCAGATATGTAATGTCGCAAATGCACAAATGAATTTTGCAATACTACAATTCATTTTGTAAGCATATGGTTTTTTAGCAGGTACGGACTAGCCCCAAAGATAGACCAGCGATTCTAGATGTTAATCGTATACAAAAGTATTCAAGATATAAATCAGCTTCAAGAAACTAATCTCATGTAATAACTGGTTTAACAAATTAAGAGAGGAAACCTTACTCCGGAGTTATGTATATTTTGCGTTGGCAATATTCCTAATGAGGAGGAATAAGTGTTAATCATCTATTAAGATTCTGGCGCCATTTGTTCGACATTAGCGAAACACAAATATCAATTTAGAAATCTGAAAAGAGTTAGGGTGTCCGGTTCTGCCATTGTCTCATAGATGGCGCCAGGACCTGTAATTTTTTCCCCTCTATAGTGCTTATTTCAATTGGGTATCTTCTGGCATTGATTAACGTATTCACCAAAATATTCTCAATGTGGCGGAGCATTAAAAAATGGCGTCAAGTATTAGATTGACTCTGCACATCGCACTCGATGCTGCCATGAATTCTTATTTATAGGTACTTCAACCACCAGGAAGACTTAAGGATTTAGCACCCCTGGGTATCGTGGATCGGGGGGTTATAAGGGGATACAATGGAAAAAGGGGACGTCACACGAACTGTAGCGAGGGAACACATTTGGTGTACTATGCTATTGTACTGTGCAGTGGTGGGTTGTTCAAGCAACAACAACAAGAATAGCAAAGACGTTTCGAATTGTTGTTTCTTCAGTTTCTCAAAGAATTAACAAAGTATATCTTCTCGAGTTATAGTTTCAAGCTGCGATTCAGTTATAAAGGGGAAACGGATAAGCGGACAGACCGACACACAGACAGACCGACGGAAATGAGTGGCATGGTCATTCGTGATGTACATCTCATGTAACATTAAATAAGCATATTATTTCATGATCGAAATTTTTCTCTATCATAATGCTCCCTCACCAGTTGGCGTTGGAAGAAAAAGAAATATGGCATTAGGTCATTCAGGGCCAACACGGTCCTGTTCGTACATATTTGGTTGATCTTCATTTTGACACAGCGGGGAATGGCATAGTCTCCATCTTGGCAACACCGCGCTCCTAAAACAGAATGGTATTCTATTTGGGTTTTAATGTCAGTAAAATTATAAAGTATCCGGAAGATTTCCTAAAAAATGAATACGAGAAATCCTAAAAAGGGTCCGGTCGCCTAAGAAAATTCATGACAGTGCAATGAAGAAACGTGTGGTTGCGAATAGCACTTCCCGGTCAAATCGTGTAGAATCATAACAAAAGCAAAACTTAAAGCAATGGCCGGGTCCGAAACCGATTTTAACACTCTTCTTGCACAAAGGGATGCAATAATTCGTGAACAACGGGATCAAATAATTCGTCTGAAGCGCGAGCTTGATGGAGTGGCCAGCGAAAGGGACCTCCTACTGTGCGAAAACAGCAACCTTAGGTTCGAACTTGAGATGGTAGAGCTGAAGAGGCTTCAAGATGAGAGGTAACTTTATTCATATACACCTACTCATTACTGTTTTGCCTATTTATTTATCATTGAAATATAATTTGCGTTCCTACACAGAAATAACCATATGTGCTATTTATAATAAGACATGATCTTCACCCACTATTTCCTTTTCATACCGCTTATTATCCTGTGTCTGTGTTATTTAGGTTAGGGACACTATAATTAGGGTATGTCAGTAGGGGGTAAATTGCTATTTTTCGCCTATCTAAACATCGTGACATCATCATCAAACTTGGAGCATTATTGATTTTAATATAGTATTGATAACCCTATTTTTGCCTATCTAATCAAACATATACTTATACATTTATTGTGAATATATTCGCAATATTGTGGGATCAAGTCTTAATATTCATTCCATATAGTGTAAGTAATATAACCTGATATTTCAGGTGGTTACATACACCTCATTTGCATTATTCATAGCACTTCTATTGTTTAAACATTCCCATATAAGTACAGGGGGAGTTAGATAAGTATTTTTACATAATAACCCTACTTGAACCTGCATTAAAATGTGCATTTTAAAGCCATAAAATTCAGTAGCAACATTTATCATATGGATTATAGATGCTCTGTGCAACAAATTTATGTATACAAAAATACTTTTTATTTCAAATGTATTAGCAAACTGTTAGATTAGGATATCAGGATGACACTCCTCTTTCAAAATCCCCGTCTCCCTCCTTTTTGAGCCAAATATTTGCAGTTTCACTAACCTCAAGAACAACACCTAATATTGCAATGAGTTATTTAATTGGTTCTTGTGGGAATTCTTGTAGGAATCTGGTACGAATTATCCTGATGTACTTTCGTACTTATGTACATCACAAATGGCCAAAATTTGTGTTAAACATTTGTTGATTATTTAAAATGTTTAAGATTCAACAACTAGTTTAGTGATTTTCAATACAGACTTCTTACTGGAAATCTGGCGATTTTTTGTCACTCTTCAAGTTGATAAAAGTCAAAGACTAATTGGCATCTTAGGTACACTCTTGGTATCCAGTTTTATCTCTCAAGTGGTATAAAAAATGAATTAATGAATCTGCAATTTCTTACATTAAGATTTTCTTTGCGAATGGTCCTTCCCATTTTTCTAAATAGGTCAAATTTCAGATAAATATCTGGTGAGACTTATAACTATCCTCAGCTATATTTTGCTACAGTTCATCAGTCTGCTTCAAAATCCAAAAAAAAATATGTCAAACATTCCTGTATAAATTGTTAAGGTAAATTATTCTGCTATCCTCTATTCAAACTGATTTTTTTACTAGAACTTAAAATGGCGATTATGAGCATCAATAGGTGCAATCTTTCTTGATCATTATATACCCCAAAAAAAGATTCAAAAATGGGATTTTGATTTTTCTTCAAACGCATTTGTCTTTATATGTGTTAAAGAACTACCTCACCAAACTTCTCGGGCGATTTTTTACGTGATTCCAATAAGAGAAGTTCATATTAAATATAAATTTGAGAGCATTTTATTTCAAAATACAGAATGGCAAATTTTTATGAAAAAATGTTTTCTTCTTTTTCTAAAAATTGTATTGCTGAAACTCAAGGTTATATTAAAGAAGTAGACACATAAGTAAAATTAAAATCTTTTGGAAGGAGGACAAATTTAAATTCGGCAATCTGAATGTCCATGTTTCTGATTTTAATGAAGTATTTTTTGTAAATGATTTGAGTTGCATTTTCAATATGTACATACCTGCTTTGTATCAACAAATGTTAGCAAAACCGCCTATAGCCTTGATACTATTTTTTTGAAAAAGAGAATTTCTAAAAAAGCTGGATACCCTGAACCTTGAAAACTCAATTTACCAGAGCTATGGTAATGTGGACTTTTTAGAATGATAATCATCCCTGGAAGTTTTGCCGGATACTTTTTTCAATACCCTGTATTTTTAATTTTCCATCCCAATGAACTGGTTTCCAAAAATATAACAGCATTATCAGTGCAAAGCTCTCTGAGATTCCGCGGTGACGGAGAAGTTACGGCGGCAAGGTGGACGGAAAACGAGTGAAAAAATGCTTTCAACGACAGTAGAATTACTTTTCATACAGAGTGATCAAATAGTAATATTAGCAGGAAGTGTATCAAAAAATAAAATAAACAGTTACAAGGTACGTTTCTACGTCACTGATGACTCATTAAGAGCAAAACATGAATATTCTTCTAATTTTTTGGAGATTTTTTCATGATGGCGAAATTATAAATTCAGAGAGACATCTTAGGAATCATGCCTATGTGAACTTGAGACCCTACCCTAGAAATATTGTCATTGTTTTTGAATGACTCTGTGGAGTTAAGCAGGTGTTTAATACGTAGCTAAATGAACAATCGGAACAATATTATTCATACTATACATTTCATCAAAAAGGAAACAAAGGCTATTCATTTTTTGCTTCCTGGATTATTCACAGTTTTTCATAGCAACATGTCACATCATTAATATGAGAGATGTATAGTTATTGGATCTAAGAAAATGAAACACGGAAATGTTTTCCTCTACGATTCATCCTAAGAATGCTACAGAACTGGATTTCGCTTCAATCCAAACGCGAACTGATTTGAGTTACGTTTCCAATAAAGATGGTCCGATACTAAATTTTTCACGATAATAGGCGGATATCGATATTTCAAGAGCCGAAACATCGGTGTTATCGTCCTCTCGGCCATTTTTTTGATGACTACATCACGAAAAACCAAATCACTCATTTCCGTTGGTCAGTCTGTCTGTTGGTTTATCGGTCTGTTCGCTAATTTTATAACCGCCTATAACTTGAGAAGTACCGCTCGAATTTTGATATTTTCACACAAGGATGATACAGCTTTGTAGTTTTTGAAAATCGGCGGAGCTAGGGGCAAAAGCCCAAAAAAATAATAATCGCTTGAACTTTTTTTTTTACTTTTGACCTGGGGGTTTGGAGTTGTATGAGGTAGGCAGTTGTAAATATGACGTCTTTAGTATTAGTCAACGACGTTCTATCATTCAGATCCTTCTGATCCCGGTAAAAACGGGAAAATTGAATGATAAAAGTCCGATGTATAATGCGCTCAGAATTCGAAATAACTTGGCAATCGTTGGCGTTGCGTGCACAGCACGATGCTGCACCGTCGTGAAGGCCACTGCTGACTGTGCAACGGGTAACTAATTCCAACGGGTCTGCGGTGGTGTCATCACTGACACACCGCTACAGGAGGAATATTTAGGTATGTATTTTAGAAATATTTGGATATTATCGTAGTACGTACCACTTTAGCGTTCTGCGATGCTTTTGTAAATCCCTTACTATGCTTTCCCTGTATTGACTTGTCTGTTTTAATTTGAATATTAAATTAAAATGTCAGGTGATGAGGTTTCAAGTTCATGGTTTAATCACAGAATTATTCATAATCTTATAAATAAGAATAGGAAGAGAAGGGGCTTGAAAAGATGCTCTCAAAAAACCTGTTGTGTGTGCACGAACAATATAAAAATATTCTTTTTCAATAGCGCTGCGTGATGGAAGTGTCCTTGATCCACTGAAGATTCTGCGACGGCTCTGATTTTTTTTCTTATCGATTATGACGTTTTTGACTTGACTTCTTCTTTTTCGGTTCGGCAACACTGGCGCTTAGTCATGCAGGACACGTAGGAACACCGGCACGCCGGCCGCGGAGACGCTTGTGAAAAACAGTTTTCTATATATGTACGGGGCAATCTATGATATGTGAAATATGTCTAATGGGTCCGTACAATTATCGAGGTTGGCAGTGTATCAATATACTAACATCAAAAAAATTATAAACTCCTAATTTTTTCTAAAAAAGATCGTCTGAGACGTCAAAAAACGAAGTTTGGGTGATTGTTATTTTCTCGTTTTTGACGGCTTTCTCGCCGCCAATGAACCGATTTTCAAAAACTACAAAGCTATTTCGTCCTTGGTATAGTAGTAACCTTATGTGAAAATTTAATCAAAATCCGACCGGTACTTCTCAAGTTATAGGCGGGCTAAGGAGTGGCGGACAGACAGATACGCAGACCGACAGACATACCGGCAGTAATGAGTGGCATGGTGTTTGGTGATCTACATGCCATATAAGATCCAAAAAAACTAATAACTAATAACATGGTATTCCAATTTCCAATTTCCAAAATTTTGAATTCCCGCTTTCTGAAATTGCTCGCGAAATAGCGCGTGTCGGTCAAAAACCTCTTTTTTGCGAATAATTCTGAATATAAAAAAATCCTAATTCCACAAAATTAACGCTGATTAGAGTATGGAAACTGTTCTGAGACTTGAAAAATGCAATTTTATCTAACATAAAGTATAATTTTATTATTTCGATAGATACCACTTCTTTTTCCATAAAGTTCGGCAGCATAATCTTTCATAGCATTAGCATTTTATACTCATCAGTTCATCTGATTTTCTGATCGCTTGTCAATTTTTCTGAAATTGTCCTGTAAAATTTTCTAAACACGGTCCTGCGTCCTGCAGTGAAACACAGTTTTATAGGTTAGCCAAAAATAAATAGAATCCGCCTCTTGAACCCAATGGGGTGTTTATGTTTATTTATGTCCAATGTTTAGAGAATGTTTTTAGTTTCCACTTTATTTTGGCTGCCAGAAGAGAGTTCACAGCAACTTCAAAGACAGGTAGCGAGTAAATGTTACCTAGCTATTCTTAAATAAATATATCATGTTGCGTCATTCATACATCAAGTATACAGGGTCATTGCTTAATTCGGGTCTAGTGCAGGTGTTTTTATGGAGAATCAATTTTAGTCGCATTTGTGATAGAGTGTCCCTAAAATTTACGCATTGGATTTCGACCTTGAGAATAAACCTAAAGAGGTTTCCCATGTATTCAATTAATCAACATCAAAAACTAAGAGGCACCTTTTTGTTTCTTGAAAATATTCAAAACCCCTATTTAGGGATAGAAGTGACCCCTAAATCTAATGACGTTGCTAAGTTTTCGATCAAAGTTCAACATTTTTTCGAATTTTAAGTTACCCTTTCAAAGGGTAACTTACAATTTGGAAAAAGTGTCGAACTTTGATCGAAACATTCAGAGGCATTTTGGGGTCATTTCAACCACTCAATAAGGGTAATTTTTGAATATTTTCAAAAAACAAAATCTAGTGCTTCTTTTGATTTTTCATAAAGATGAACTTGAGGTTGCATTTTATTGGGGTTACTCTTTTCCAGAAACGATTTATACTTCCTACACCATGAAGTATTGTAATCGTAAAAAAATTTCTATGACTTTCCGCAAAATTTATGGCGTTATAATTGCGATTATTGTCTTTCAAGTATCAACGTTTCTTAATTCATTCATGAACACATATTCCCCCAAATAGCCTCAAAGGTAGAATCCGGGCATAGTCAAAACCGGTAAAGAGAAGGCTAACTTCAATTGGCGAATACCCTGTACAACCCCATATTTTTGAAATCCGTTCTCATAAGGACAGTGTAGGATAATCCTGAACAGTTTTTGAAAAATATTGGTCTCCGAGCAATATTTGATCCTTTCAAGTTTGATACACCCTGTATATGTGTAATTTTCTTTAACGGACAGTATCTGGGTCCCTTTAGGGGCTTGGAGGCTTTGCTCCTCAGCGCTCTCTTCCATGATGCCGTCTCGCGATGAGCTCACCAGACTGGCTCTCATTCTGACCGTGTCGAACTTCATATATCCAGAATTACTGGTCGTGCACCACTTCTTCAACCCTAAGGTGTCGAAGTTGTGAAACAATCTGCCTGAAGAGCCCTTTCCCAGTTCTGCTAATTTTAGACAGTTCAAAAATCGGATTAATACAGCATCTTTAAGCCCCTCATAGCGGCCGCGGTGCCCCGGTATTTAGGCTACTTATCATGAGGTTCATACACAGCATTCACAAAAATTAAATGTTTGGGCTGGCATTTTTGGCGATGATTTAGTTGGTCCTTTTTTCTTACCTGGAAATTTGACCGGTGAAATGTATTTGGAATTACTGGAAGAAGCCATAGATCCTGCATTAACAGCCATAATTTAAAATCAGAATGATCGGCGGTACATTTCGAAGAGGTTGATGTTCCAACAGGATGGTTGCCCACCACATTACGCATTACGTGTTGGACAATATTTAGATCAGACGTTTCCAGATCGATGGATTGGTAGAAGAGGTACCATTGAATGGCCAACAAGATCGCCAGATTTATCACCTTTGGATTTCTTTATGTGGGGTGATTTAAAAAGCAAAATCTATGCTACTCAGCCAACATCATTAGAAGACCTGCGACAAAGAATTGTGAATGAGTGCCTTCAAATTACTCCTCAAATATTGCAAAATGTACGTCAACGTTTTGAGCAAAATCTTTATTATTGCGTGGAGAGTCATGGTGGCCATTTTCAACATTCACTTGCCTAACGGGTCAGTAAATTCTTCATTTTTAAATTACTTTGCTGCCAAATGTATTGATCTCCACTAGAGGAGAGTGACCAAATATGGAATACCATTTTGTTTTTCACACATAATTTGCACAAACTTTACAAGTAAAAAATATTTTGTAGTCATTAATAATAATCATATATTTATGCTTTATTTTGTAACAAGTTTTGGTTACATTGTCAAATTTTAAATAAAATTTAAAACAAAAACTAAATAATTATAAAGGTATCTAAATATGGAATACTATAAATAACAACAAAATTTAACCTTAACTTAAAATGAGATTCTTTGGAAACGTTGGTATAACATAAAAAGGAACACAAATTATTTGCAAAACTCACAAATCCATGCATCAGACTCTGGTCCTGCGCAATCATTATGTGCCCAGAGCCCACACATGAGGCACTTGACCCATGTTTCCCCATGGGTATCATTTGAAAACAGCATGCCACAGAAAATACACTCCGCATCTTCAGAGTCTGGAGCTGTATTTCCTATCAAGGCATCGGGCTCACTGTCTGTATCAAACAGCATCATCTCCTCATCATCATCTGAATCTGACTGAGACTTAATCTTTTCTCTTAGCTTTTTACCTTTTGATTTCTTTTTGTTTTGTTTTTGATTTTTATTCTTTGCCCATTTATTTTGTTTTTCTTCTTTCTTCTTACTTTTTTCTATGAGATCCTCCCCCCACGATGTGGACTGCTGCAACAGATGCTTTTCTTCCTCTAATAGAAGGTTTCCTTTTCTTCTTTGGTACTGGACTGATGTCATATGGAGAAACGAATCCTAAACTACTGTGAGAAATTCCGGAAGTTGAGGGCACAGGTTCAATATTTGTATCTTGTCTGGATGTAGAAGCTTCAGTTAAATGCTTACCATCAGCAGGTGTTCTAAGATTGACCATCGATTCTTCTAAAGGTTGGAGACTTAATGTCATTGGTGTAACATATACTGTGCAACCATCTTTAACTGCATCTTCTTGCGCAGCAAGATAGTCGACCGCGGTAAAAATATTTTTATTCAATGGCCATAGTCCTGTAACCCGAAATCCGTTGGCTGCTATCTCATCCGTTTGTACTTTTAAATAAGCCCTACCAAACAGCTCCGTCATATCATAAGGGCTTAGTGGTCTATTATTGTCTCTGATCTACATTCGTATTTCTTCACTGTAATACGTTTTGAGAGGTCCCATAAACGTCTTATCTAGTGGCTGGAGCTTGTCGGTTGTGTGAGGAGGTAAGGACACAATGTCTTCATTATTTTCCCTAGCAAGATCTATCACGTCGATGTTACGAGTATGAGAAAAATGACCATCCAAGATCAGTAATACTTTCGATTCCGGAGTAGGGTTGGTATGTTTAATGAAATGTTTGAACCAGTCAGTGAATATGTTCATTTGTATCCATCCTGATGGATGTGCAATACCAACAGCGCCTGGGGGGCTGCCTCTCATTAGCTGAGCACTCATATTCTTGCGAGGGAATATAATAAAGGGAGGTACAAAATGACCAGTGACGTTCATAGCAACAACAACTGTCATTAATGAACCCGTTTCAACAGGGACACTGAACATATATGCCAAAAATTATTAAAATGCGATAAACATACGTAGTTGTTTACCTTTTTTTTGTCACTCAGTATATGTTCATATAGTTAGTTACAGTGCCATGTGTAAATCACTAACCCTTTCAAAGTACATTTTTAATTATTGCGAAAAGGAGAAACACCTACGTCATGTTTTTGTCTAACACATCTCGGATCTTCCTGTATATGCGTTTTGTATGACCCTGTATTCCGATTAGAGCTGTGCAAAGCCTGGTAATGGAACGAACTTTCTCTTTTTGATACGCTAATTAAATAAATAAGCCTGCGTACTCATTTGCATATATCTATTTTCACAAAAGTTTATATAACGAACAAAAAAAAAATAGTGCACGCGTAGGTACACGTATCTATATCCGTTATATAAAATCGAGTTGCTCACGTTTCAACCACATTTTTCCTCAAGCTTTCTGAAAAGACGTTATTCAGTCTCGGACAAAAGCACGTGATATAGGGGAGAAATAACACTCAATGACGAGAGCTGAGAGGTATCTACCCCATCCTTTTTCCCACTCATTAGGCTTAGTATACACGATGCAGAAATTTTACATTTGTCAGGCGGAATCTACGGGGTCGTACATAATTTTTATCAGGAAATTTTGAAGGTCGATTCCGTTGTTTCGTATTTATTTTTTTATCTTAAAAATATAATTGTGGTTTTTAAAGATACTTGGTGTATCCCAGTATTATTTATATATAATTTAATTAGTAATTTACATTAATAGTAACAACATTTGTCATAAGGCTTCTCCTACCTAAAATGGGACACGACAGGGGACTGTTTATTTATGGGTTTGAACTACATTAAATTTAATATTACAGTATTATACAGGGTGTTTCAGTTTATTGTTGCATAACTTTAAGATTCGATAGAACTTCTAAAATTAATGCATAAAGTCTATATAAACATGGGTCGAAAAATGCGTGGCTTCCGAAATCCAGGGTGTTTAAATTTACTTTCTAAAATAGTTTTTTTTAATATTTCGAACAATATTTGAGGTATAACAGTGAAAATTGGTATACAAGGGTTTTTTGGTACGACAAAACGAACCACGGGCATAGTTTTACTGTAGCCGCTAGAGGGCGCTCTCTACTGTACCTGAAGTGTATTAAAATGACTCAATTTTTTGCTTTTTGAATAAAAAAACTGATTCTTCGCACTTTTCAACATAGAAAAGCTCTCTTGTGAATTTTCGTTATAGGTAGCCGTTTTTGAGATATTTCGATTTTTAGGGTTCGATGCATTTTTAACTATTTATGATAAAATAACTTTAAAAAGTCAGTATCTCGATAATTTTTAGAAGTAGGCTGTGCCTGCAAATATTTTTGAAATTGAAAGCAGAATAAGGTTAAACGTCAATTAGTTGACAGTTAGTTTTGTTGCCTGTTGAAACTTTTTTGCAATTGTGAATGCACGAAATTTAGTTTCTTTTACCTGTTTTTTTTTGTAAGTTTTCTAAAAATGCCATTTTTATTCTCCAATCAAGAGTTAGCGAATATTCATTTTGTGTATGGCTTTGTAAATGGAAACGCAGCAGAAGCAGCCAGAGAATACGCACGAAGATTTCCAAACAGACGACATCCAACTCGCTCAGTATTTGTAAGAGTGCATCGCCAAATAATTGAAAATGGTTTTGGAAATCTCCAAAGGGATCAAAACATAAATTTTCGTTAGCGCAGATTTACCCGTATGAGTTTGATAGAGATCCAACCACAAGTGTTAGGAGAGTTTATGGTGCCTTGGGAATTTCAGCAAGCCATGTTCACCGTGTTCTTAGAAATGACCATAGACGTCCTTACCATTTGCAATCATGCTTCACTAGACGTGGAGTGGTAAATTTTCATAATCAACATATTTGGTCGCATGAAAATCCGCATGCAGTTTGGGAAAGAAATTTGCAGCATGAATTTAGTGTGAACGTGTGGATTGGTATCTACCGTAATCGACTATTTGGACCCTACCTTTTGCCTGCAAGGTTAAATGCTGCGACCTTCTTGGAATTTTTAAAGGCTGAACATGCAAATATGTGGGATGATATTATATTAGATTGGCCTGGTTCCAGCTTGATCGTTGTCCAGCTCATTATTCAAGAATAGTCAGAAATTGGCTGGACGAAAATTATCCAGAAAGATGGATCGGCCGTGGAAGACCAGTCGCCTGGCCTCCACGATCCCCTGACCTAAATCCATTAGATTTCTTTGTGTGGGGATTTCTAAAAGAAAAAGTGTAGCAGACTCCCTTAACCACAAGAGATATGCTAATAGACAGAATCAGGAATGCATGTGATGAAATAAGGCCTTATTTGAATAATGCTATACCACGTTCGATCATTCGTAGATGTGAATTGTGTATTGAACAATTGGGTTTACATTTCGAGCAACTACTTTAGATTTTGTATGTTTGTCCTAACTATCCAATAGCATTTTAGTTGTAAATAATTAATTTAATTTGTTAAAAATAATATTGGAAAATTAAACAAATTCATATTGTTTTTTTGTGTTTATTTGGAGTTAGGAATTATCGCTGTTTTTAAAAACACAATCTAAACGATCATCTTAATTACTTGTAATGCCCAAATCGAAAATGTAAAAAAAATATTATTTTCCCATAAATAAGAAAAAATGCATTGAACCTTAAAAATCGAAATATCTCAAAAACGGCTAACTATAACGACAACTCACAGGCGAGCTTTTTTATGCAGAAAAGTGCGAAGAATCAGCTATTTTATTCAAAAAGCAAAAAATTGCACTAAGAAAAATTTTTCGCTCATTTTAATATACTACAGGTACAGTAGAGAGCGCCCTCTAGCGGCTACAGTAAAACTATGCCCATGGTTCGTTTTGTCGTACCAAAAAACCCTTGTATACCAATTTTCACTGTTATACATCAAATATTGTTCGAAATATTAAAAGAAAAACTATTTTAAAAAGTAAATTTAAACACCCTGTATTTCGGAACCCACGTATTTTTCGACCCATGTTTATATAGACTTTATGCAGTAATTTTAAAAGTTCTATCGAATCTTAAAGTTGCAACAATAAACTGAAACACCCTGTATAAGAAAATGAACAATAGCGTATCAGGAATAGCTAATAAGGCATCGTTTTTATTACATAGAACTTAGTAATAATAAGATCTATTATATAAATTTTGCCTGGGACAACTATTTTCCAGTTAGTGGAGAAATGCCCTTATACGCTTTCAACTAATTATACGCACCTATTAGACGTATTTTACACGTCATAGATTTATCCATACATTTGCCCTTTAAACTTAGAATGCTAGAGAAATATCTTTGACATGCATCTCTTTCTCTCTCTCTCTCTCTCTCTCTCTCTCTGGGTTGACCGGCATTCAAGTCTCCTCTATGAGTGTCACTCAGTCACTGCCACGCTGCTGATTCAGACGAGTGGATTCATCGAGCAGTGGGGAGGAGAGACGTTGCTAGATAGACGGTATTATCGGTAGGGCAGGTAAATATTTTAATGAATTGTACGGGCCTTTTTGACTGACTTGCTTCTATTAGCTAGCTTTATTCTCAGAGAGTCTAACTTGTGAACATAATCTTTTATGAACTAATGACAGCGTTGCGTGGGAAATGCGGAGTCAACCTACCCTACGCCGTTTTTTTACAATTTGACTACAGTTTCTCATCCCAGCTTTGTTATTTGGAAAAGGGAAGCCCCAATTATTAGGACGCTCTGTATAATGGATGCAATGACCCTATACTCTCTCCTCCAAACTGTAAACGCAGGTCACCAGCAACAGGTTAAACAGGCAGCATCACCTGTCAATCGCAGATATCAATTAAGTTAAAACACAGTCTGTGTTTGCCTGTGTGAACATCGACATAATAGGTTCACATTAGTGAAGTAGCCATTCTTATGCACACAGTTAACCTAGTTGACCATGTCTAATGAGAAGCGTAGAATCTTGACCTGATTCCTGTCAATGATTCAGTGGGTACTGTAACTATCATGCTATTAAGACTGATGGCTGGTGCCTGGTGCATAGATGTACCGACCTGTGTTTACGATAACATGGGTAAAGGTGGCCATACACTTGAAGGATATGCACCAGGGCATGTACTTATCGAACTGTTCCGATATTTGATTAAAAAAACTTCCAAAGCACAGTACTGTACCTTGACAAACAAAAAGCGTCCCCGCGCTTATCTTATTTCGATGGATGGCCGAGTTCTGCCAAATAGCCGTTCATTTCGGCTGGTCGGAGTCCAGATCACCGAGGACTTGATCTGGCACGAACACAATCGTCAATAGCGGCAGCTGCTGGGAAAAAGCTAGGCTATCTGTTTAGGGTTAAGAAGTAGTTTTCTCCACATGACTTCCTCACTCTATAACACGCTCTGTTGCTGCAAAAATCGCCAAATTTCGCAGCAAATATCCCCCGTATAAGATCAAAGGCAGTTTTACCGGTCCACGTGGAGTAAAGCACGCCTATGCGTGGAAATAGCCAATGAGAAAGCGTGTATTTCAGAGCTCCGAACAAGTGCAGGTGGCTACTGAAAATTGAAACAGTTTAGCCAGTGCCGTGTACCGGTGAATAAACGTGTTTTCTTTAGTCTGTCCGTGTTTTTTCATAGATTTTATTAGTTTATGTGTTTTTGACTTTTGAATACTCAGTTTACTTGTTGATTTAATTGTTGTGTTGATTGTTCTTGTGTGTCCTAAATATGGCTCTTTGGAGACCTTGGGAAAATGCTCCAAGCCACGTGGAGATGGTTGATGAACCTGTGCAGGCAGAATTCTTTCATAAAGATTTAGAGGAACATACCCAAAGAGTAATCCTAAATATGTATGATTGTCTGAAAAACCAAAATCCAGATTCCTCGCAAAATCAAATTT